AAATGATGTTGTCCACGTCATCCTCGGTGCGCAATTTGTAGGCGGACTTCAGCGTCAGGAGCAGGTGCATATGTGGGAGTCCACGCTTCTGATACTCGATCACGTAGATCCAGCAGCTGGGCTCCCCGAAAATTCCGTCTTTTGTAAGGTCCTTCAGGATTGCCTGTGCTTTGAGATCAAAGACGCGCGCCACCAAATCGGGGCGGTCCGAGGCGGTTTGACCGGGGTAGAGATTGTCATCGATTTCCTTCCACCTTGGGTTGCAGGTGACGGTGATGAAGAGATCAGGTTTTCCGAATCGGTGGACATGGGCCATTGCATCTGTGTGGCGGCCTTGCATGTATCCGGGTCCGCCCTTGAACTTCGATCCCAAACGGATGATCCGGCCGGGCGCTGGCTCGTCTCCGTTATTGTTGTTGATGTGGGCACGCAGGCCTTGCACGTTGTCGAGCCGCAAGAGCTTCTGGTTCTGCCGGATGAACTGTAGCTCATTTTGTTCGACGCGCATAAACACATCCACGGCATATTGTTGGGCAAGGCGGCCAGCTCGGAGCAGCGGATTGAATTTGCCGGGCCTCGGGAAGAAAAGATGGGCATAGTAGCGGCGCATCGTGATCCGGGTATTTCGGCGGGTACCTGGGTTGGCAATCGTCAGGCCGGGGTGCCATCCGTTTAGTCCAGTTGCAAAAAGCAACGGATATGTCAGCGGATCCAGGCGCGGATCCAGAATGCTGATCGTTTTCAAGGGCTGGTTGCGCTCGTGGATGACAAATTGCCGCTCTCCGGGGATGTCCTCATCGTCTCCAACATAGATGACGGCGACCTCGGTGGCTGTGGCGGCATTGTATCGGCGCTGATCGTCACGCCCGTCCGTGACGAACACCATCTTGACTTCGGCTTGTCGTGGACGCCCGGCGGCTGCGGCTTGTCGCTCCTCTTCCTTCACGACCTCGTCCATGCACTTGAACGCTTGCGCATAGCGATGATGCCGGTTGATCACTTGGTGGAGTTGCCGGAACAGGTCGCTGTCGCATGTCCGGTTCATTGGACGCCCGGCCAACTCGGCTGCCGCTTCTTCCGTGTCCATGATCAGAATTTGCGCGCATTGGGGTGCCTGGCCGGGGTTGGGGTGAAGCGGGCCCGTCCGATGGTAGTGCGTGGAGTGGATCCGGAACACATATGGTCCATGTCCAGGCGGGGATTGAAAATCTCCGGCCATTGACGCCATTGCCAGGCCTCCGTTGAGCAGACGGATGTTTTGGTGAAAGTTTGCTCCGGCATTGTGGTCCCGTTCGAATAGAAGACGGAGTTCTGGTGGCGTGTCTCCAAAGGGGTCGACGATGACTTGCCCACCGCCACAGCATGCTTGGAAGGATTGTGGGCGCCGGCCATTGCCCTCGGTTGCGAAATGCAAGGCATTGCAGCCAAGGCAGAGGCGGAGCATAGCTCCGAGATAGTGCTGTGCGGGGCGCGAGCCCGGATCCCGTCCTGGGCGTATGGCAGCCGCCGCTCGTTGCTGCCGAACCGTTTGGCGCTGTTGATTCACGGCAGCCAGTTGAACCGGTGTGAGCTGCGCGTGCTGGGCTTGATGTTGAGCAGCATCCGCTTGTCGAATTGCCGCCGCAGTCCCGGGTGACAGGGTACGCCTCCGGGCTTGGTGTTGCGCGGCATTCGCTTGTCGAATTGGCGCCGCAGTCCCGGGTGACATTGTACGCCTCCGGGCCTCGTGTTGCGCGGCATTGGCTTGGCGAATTGGCGCCGCAGTCCCGGGTGACATCGTACGCCTCCGGGCTTGGTGTTGTGCCGCGTTGGCTTGGCGAATTGGCGCCGCAGTCCCGGGTGACATCGTACGCCTCATTGCTTGATGTTGCAGCGTGTTGGCCTGTCGAATTGGCGTTGACGTGCCGGGTGACAGAGTACGCCTTCGGGCCTGGTGTTGCGCGGTATTCGCCTGTCGGATTTGCGTCGACGTGCCCGGCGACATGCCGCGGCGCCGCGCTTGATGCTGCACTGCATCGGCAGCTCTCCTGTCAGCCGCCGCCTGCGCTGACTCCGCTGCCCGGCGTACCTGTTGTTGCTCCCGTCGGCGATCCGCAGCGGCTTCGCGTTCGGCGGCTGTCAGTCGGGCCCTTGGCATTTCTTGTAGCGTTGTTGTTATATGCACCTAAGCATGGAATATAAGAGAAGTAAACTGACGCTTACCGGCAATGAGTGGCAGAGCACGTGGCTTGAAAACCACAGCTCCCCTTTTCAAGGTTGGCTTGGACCGTCCTAGAAATGAAAAACGTAAACGATCAATTCAAAAGCTTTACCTGAAGGGATCACCCGTGTAGTAGGCGGCAGAAGAAGTGTTGTGACGCTGGAAGGCTTGATGTTGTTGGCAGCTAAGCATGGTATATAAGAGAAGTAAACTCAACTTTACCGGCAATGCGTATTGGCAGCACGCGTGGACTTGAGCGTCGGAGGCGGCTTCGCGCTGTGTTTGCCACCTAGACGATGAATGTAAAGAAGAAATAAACGCGAGTTTACCTGGCAATGGCGAATTGTTGAGGTCGAGATTTAGCGTTGCCGTGCACCGACCTAAAAATGGAAGCCGTAAGCGATGGATCCAATAAGTTTGCCTGAATGGCACTGCCGTGTGTGAGGGCCAAAGGGATCCTTGTGGTGTGGCAGCGCTGGTTGTCGTGTGTGCTACTAAACAAAGAAATATAATACACTTAAGATCAACTTTACCGGCAATGCGAAGTAGCAGCGCCCGTTCCTTTTGAAGTTGAGCAGCCAATGAGGATTACCTAGAAAATGTCACAAATTAGCAATAGACAGGAGAAAGCCGGAAGTTATGGAAATGAAATATGCAAGAAAATGTAACGTATAGAGAAGAGAAAAGCCTCGTCGCATTTCAGAAAACGACGAAGAAAACATCGAGAAAAGTAAAATGATGCTGAAAACCCGCCCCTTTCCCTGTAGCACGGGACTGGGCTGGGGCCTTACCGGACAGGCGATTCGTGGCGGGACCCAGCCCACCCCCTGTTCTCGAAACGCGCCCCCACTTGGCTCACCACGGTACAAAACGGGATGACGAACGAAGATGAGAAGATATTGTCATGCAAAACGACGGCTTGATGAAACGTCCGCAGTAGTGTACAAACATTTATTAGTAAAAAGTTAAAACGAATCATCCATAATTGCCTCTTCATCTAATTCAACTAAAAGCTTCTTGTCTTGCTCTGCCGCCTTTTCGTTTTCCGCTTCACGCTGAGCAATCGTTTCCTTCCACCGCCGGTTCGCATCGATATCGTCACTCGACTTCTTGAGCGACTTATCATATTCCCCGAGGATTCTTTCAAATTCCTTTTGCGCGTTTTCACGACCCGCCTGCAATCCAGCATGTTTCCTGAGTAGATGATCTTCCTGGGTCGCCGCACGTTCACGTTGGCGATCCAATGCCTTTCTCTTATTGGGCTGAATTGTAAGTCGCTGAAGAGTCGCACGCCGCTCCTGGTAATATTCTTCGTAGCTTCGCTTCTTCTTTAGAATGATGTCGACGGCTTCTTCCTGTCTTGGCATTAGGTGTTGTGCTACGGCAATGCATTGCACCGCCAGTCCTTGTCCGGCATCGTCATCCTCGGCATTCAGCTGCTCTACATCGCCTTGACCGGTAAGATGTTCGCTGGCTTCGGCCTTGATGTCATCATCGTAATCAACGTCGACGATCCTTGCGAATGACATCTGGAAAATGAACATTAAAATGACACAATGAAAACGCCGGTAAGCGAGAAGAGGCGAAGGGCTTAGTAAATCCTAAACGTAGACCATGAGCAAAGATCGAAGAAAAATTAACAACGAACGATGAAACCCCACCCATTTTCACTGTGGCGCGGGAGCTGGGAAAGTCCCTGACCGGGCAGGCTATTCGTCGCGGGACCCAGAGATCCCGCTCGCAACCACCGACCCACTTGCTGGGGAAAAAAAAATGGAAGAATCGGTATCGCGGCACTATCTAAATATACCTTCCTGATGGCTGCATATACACCCCATATCCGAAATCCCCTTCAAAAACTATCTAAATACCTGCCCGATAGCTTTAGATACCCCCCATGGCTGAAACAAATTTTAAACGATTTAAATAATAAATTAACATAATTAAAAAGTATTAAAAAGTATTAAAGTAACTTAAAAAAGCTATCTGGGCGCGCGAAGGGCCTGGGGAAGAGGGGCGAAGGGCAAGGGGGGCGTGGCCTCCCGGGAGAGGGGCCCCCACTCATTTTATTAAGGCGCCACTTTCAAAGTTAATTTTAATAATTTAAACTAAAACTTTTTCATAATTTTTTTATCAGTTTGGGGGTTTCTGACCGCGCTCTATCCGAATCCGAAGAGAGCTAAGCTCTAGCTCTTTTCCCCTTCGAGTTGAATTCGGCTTCAGACGGACGGACGGACGGACGGACAGAGACCACAGCAAAATTATTATAGTTGATACTGTTTTTCCCGGAATTCTGAACAGTTTTTTCGGCTATCTTTTTGGACTTTGCATCGATTTGCATCGACTTCCGGCTGTGAATTCCTAATTTCGCTTAAGAACTTGGGTAGTTTGGGTTGCAAAAATCGCTTAATCGAAGCTTATTTAATTAAATCTTACTTTGGAAAAAAATTCTTAAGGTAAAAAGGCCTACCAGATCATTTTCACTTAATGTTTAGGGGGTCTAATTCCACGAAAGCTCTATGAAAAATGGAAAATAAAGTTTGTTTTTGTTATAACTCGAGAACTACTATAGCTACAGGGCTATACGTCAGGATTGTTGTTATTTAGGGTCCGATACACCTCTGGGCCAAATTTGAGGCCGATTGGATGTAACCCGGCGAAATGCCAGATGGGGTCGTTTGTTTGGGACACCCTGTAGTGCTCTCTCGAATAAGTCAATTTCCAGCCAGGCGACAGCTACGAGGCGACGTTTTTGGCAAAGACGCAGCGCGGCACGACGTTCACCATCGACCTGTTCACGATGTATCGCGACTCGGCGAAACGCTGCTGCTACACGACGGTCGTCTACGGCCCGCCCGCATACAGGAAATTCCGAGACGAGTATCCGTGGTGTGTAACTTCATTAAATTTTTGGTTCTTTTGCATTGTCGGGGGGCGCGGCGCTGCGGAAATCACTACAGGCTAAAATCCCGGGAGCCAATATTTCCTATAGGTTTGAGGCCGACTTCTGCACGGCCAACCTGCACGGCTACGTCTTCCACGTGCCCTGCGATCCGGACCCAATTTTGGAGGTATAAATTGTCGGTTCTTTTGCATTATCGGGGGGGAGGGAGGCCGCACTTGTTTGTAAAAGTCTGGAAATGCGAGTTGGTTGATAAATAGTGTTTAAATAGTGTTTAAATAGTGTTTAAATAGTGTTTTTAGTAACATAAAACTATATCTGAACAAGAAAATTTGTCTGAAAACTGAAAAAGTCAAAAGTTTGGTAAAAGATTTGAGATTTTCGGTCAAAAAATTGCCATTTTTGATACCTTTTATTACCTATATCATTTAATACAAATATACAAATATCTAAAGCCATAAAAAAATGAAAATTTTTGTCCAAAATAGGCCGTTTTTGGTCGAAAAATCGATGTTTTGTTATTTTTATACAAATTTGTAAAGTTTTTACGCTTAGGTATTGTAAAAACCATTTAGAAACACTTCCACTATTTATATTTGAAAAGTTCGATCTTTAGAAAAAATTTGGGTCCCCCGATAATGGGAAAGAACCAAATAGCCCAGATCGGTTATTCAAAAACACGTCAGGCTGACTATGGCAAGAATTGGACCGCTGATCGACCCAGCAAGGGCTACCGCTACGGGCCCAACCTCGTCTGGAACGGCAAATATGGCACGAAAGGGTATGGGCTTGATTTTTAGGTTTTTCGAAATCCCTTCCTTTTCAGCGCCCAGCTGATGCGCTTCTTCTGATGGCCAGCCGACAATTCTTCAAATGTTCAGCTACGGCCATTCCCTGATCTCAACAGCCCTCTCTCTGTTTTTGTAATGATTATTCTTGTCGGCGTCATCTTGCTTGTGTATTGTTTGTGTACTGCAAATAAATCGATTTTAGGTGCTTTTGCATTAACGGGGGGGGGGGGGGGGCGAGAAACTTTTTCTCTAGTATCCAATTTTTCCAATCGAAGCAAACGAAAGTCTTCTAAATTTTTTTTCACGTTCTCTAAGGATAAAAATTTTATAAATTTTTATGAAATACAATTCATCCACAGGATTCATGATTTAAAAAAAGTTTATACAGCATTAGATGGGTTTTTCGCTTCAAACCTCATTAAATTTGATTAGAAATCATATTAAAAAAATTTACTGTTACGTTTCCAGGCATTGCCACTTTATTTCGCAGCCAGAACTTAAAAAAACCATCAAAAAGCGTAATTACGCCAACGCAATAATACAAAAGACGAATCATCGCAATCGCCAGAGATCAGAAAGTTCGGAAAAGCGTCTCGCTGAAACGTAAATAAAATGCATCCCTGTAGATCTTTACCCTTCCAGTGAGAAATTGCCGTTCGCCACCAGTTTGCCCTCGTAGAAATATCCCTTAGTGTGGCGATCGACGCGCCAATTTACCCCATAATCGGCCTGAAATTTTTATTATTAGTTTGACCTCAATAATGAACCTCCAAAATGCGGTCCGGATCGCACGGTACGTGGAAGACGTGACCGTGAAGATTTGCCGTACAAAATTCCGCTTCAAACCTGCGAAGGAATTTTAGAATTTAGGATTGAGTTGATATCATAATGTCGAAAATCTATAATGTCGAAATTTCCAAATTCCGAAATTCAGGATTTCGACATTTTTCTGCAGATGATCCGGGGGTTTTCCCCGGAAAAATGTATTTCCCCCTTATGTAAATTTCGAAATTATGAATTTTGACATTATGAAATTTCGACCGTTTGAAAAAACCTCGTAGAATTAACGTACCAAGGATACTCGTCTCGATACTTCTGGTAGTCAGGCTTGTCGTAAACAAGTGTTGTAAAGCAAATACGCTTCTCCAGATCGCGGTACATCGTGAACATGTCGATTGTGAACCACTTGCCGCGCCGCGTCTTTGCCCAAAACGTCGCCTCGTAGCTGTCGCCCGGCTGCAATGGCTAATAAGGAATGATTTTTTCGTGATTTTGGGTTTTCGGGGCTGGGACTATGCCTATTTTGTGCAGAATTTTGCTCTGCTCCCGACCTCGTTTTCAAAAAAATTGCTAATCGATGATTTTCAACAAGTTATGATTGTTTTTGTTGACAAAAAAGAGCTGAAAATGGCCACACTTCAAACCTTAAACTACAAACTTTATCGCAGGCACTATTTTGTGTCGAAATTTAAAAATTGCGTAAATGTTCGTAAAATTGTTGTTTTGCGTATGTTTCCGAGTGCGGCGCGCGCAATATTTTCACAAAGATCCTTTTATACCATTTTCTGTGAGGGTCTAGAGTTGGCCATTTTGAGCTTTTCCGCACGAAAAGTCGCATAACTCTCAAAATCATCGACGAACAGTTTTTGGTAACGGGTACGGAATCAGCTCAAAATTCTGCACAAGATAGGCTTGGTCCCATACCGAATTTCCTTGCAGAAGAAAAAATTACTGTAAGTAAGAACCGCAGCCGAAGACGAAGCTGAAGCCTAATCTCAAGCTTTTAAGCCCTAAAAAGTCCAATTCTAACCCTGCCAATTATCCTCGCGAGCTGTAGCGGCTTTCCGGTCATATTAATCGAGTCGTCGACGAGAGCCATCGGGAACTCATCCTCGAATATGGCAATGTCCATATCCGTAGTATGTGGAATTACGGTACATTCACGACGCCAACCTGAAAATATCGATAACGTCTCGGACAGCTCATACCTAGTAAAGTACCGCTAATCAAGAATGGTAGTGCGCGGTACTCGAAGTGCAAGTCGCGCACGACGGACAGCCAGTAGACGTCTTCCGGGATTAGATTTGGAGGCTCCGTCGGATTTCGAAGGTTCGTCACTAAAGTCGGTATGTTTTACGACCATAATCCCACAATTTAGGCACTCAAGCATTCGAGAGCCCGCCCAGAGTCGGGCGTGAAAAATCGGGTCTCGTGGCACGTAGATGTTGTCCACCAGCTTGTAGGCACTTCTAAAACGGCTTTTCTTATAGAAATTAAGATTCACAAAGATTTTTAAGGCTTCGTGTAACGACAGGGTTAAACCGACTTTGGCATAAGGTGAAGTTCGAAGGTATTGTCGGCTTGGACGATTTCGAAAAAGTCGTTTGAGGCAGAGTTTGAGAAAAAGAAGATCTCGGCATAGGTGTTGGCTGAAAAATTGGACTAAGCCCTGAAAAAGCAGTAAGAATGTAAAATACGTACTCTCCGACATGGTTGCGAGCTCGTCTAGGGTTTGATTCTCCTTGACCTCGACCGCTACACTATAAAGATGAGGACGAGCGGCAAAGTCGGCGGCGGTGTAAGCCCCAACTGGAAATTTGGTCTGTATGGGTACAGTACAGTATCGTGGGTTTTCCGAGCGCAAAAAGTAAAGAAAAACAAAAACAAAAAAGTATAATTTTTGTGAGTCTGCAATGCGATGAGTCTAGCAACCGACCGTGTACCGGTACTGGACTTTTTTAAGGGGGACTTATTCTCCCAGTATTCCCCGGCGGCCCTATCATAAAATCTTATAAAAACCATTTTATAAAATTTTACATAGTTTTTAGATCGAAAATGCTTACAAAAACTATGAAAAATTTCGAGTTTTTGGCCCGAAATTTATGAAAAATTATCAAAAAGCAATTTTCAAAAATTGTAAAAATATGTTTTGTAACTTTTTAGCGATCAAAGATTACTGAAAACCTTATGAAAATACAATATTTATCTTTAACAAGGGAAGAGGCGGGCAAAACAAAAAATAGTTTTCCCCCTGCTAAAAATAGGAGCGTTTGCAAGACTCCAAAATTTGTATAAAAAAATACAACATATAGAGTTTTTTACCCCGAAATCGCCGACTTTTAACTAAAAAAAAGAGATCGGGACGTTTTTAATGTTCTTAACCTAATACTAGTACCCTCTTGCTTACCAAGTATAATCATGTTTCCGGATACAGCCGGCGTAGACGACATGTTCGGTCTGCTATCCGGTATCAAGTCTCGTAAGGGAACACTTGGGCGGTAGTAGTTCCACGTTGGGGAACCTTCTGAGCTTCTTATGTTTTTACTTTTTACTAAACGTTTTTTTTAATGCATAGTGCTGACACCCCTTACCAGAACTGCTCGTGCTCAGGCCAGAATCGGCTGTAACTGTAGTGTTCTGTGGTTCTTCAGGAGTCATACTCCGTCGACTCGTCGTTGGCCTCCTTGGAATTTGCGAAATGCAGCCGATGACCAGCAGCAAGAGAACCGCGTAGAAGACCTTGCGTTTGAGCAGCACCCTGGGGAGCTGAAATGAAAAATTATACAAGTTAGTCAGAATATTGTAACGTACCGAAAAGTATTGCCTCAACATGTCTAGTTGAAGAAATCAATCAATTTACAGGTGAAGAAAAATTAATTCCGTACATGTACCGGGCGGTCTGTCATGACAGCCCTATTCCGCTTGGATACTATCATCTATTGGAAAAGCAAGTTCTATTCATCGGGGAGGCACAAAAGTTATGACAAGTCAAAAGCACGCAGCTTGACGTGTATGATGCAGTTTTGAGGAATACCGGGTACTTACCTGTTAGCAGGGGGGTAAGCCCAATTTTCCGAGTAATGTTTCCCAGTATGACAAAATATAAATAAATTTTATAGCTTTCTAAACAATTCTTAGCTTTTGGATATAAAATCACATAAAAAATGTTTTTCTAAAATGGTTCTAAAACTTTTTACAAAATTCAAAATTTTTCATACAACTTTAGTCAAAAATGTATGAAAAACCACCAAAAATGTAAAATGTTCCAATTTCAGAATTTTTCAAATATTTTCATAACTTTTTAGCGATGAAAAACGACGAAAATCACAATTTTTATAAGAACACACAATTCTTGATAGATAAACCAGGAAAAAGAAACCTTGGTTGCCACCGCTACCCCCCCCCCGCTAATGCATCAGTACCAATTTGAGTGTTGTGTTTTGCATGTGCCTGCGAGTTATAGGTTTTATTTTGGAAAACACCCGAGTTACCAACATAATTACAACAAAAAATCTGTATCGTGAAGAAACTATCTCATTGCTGATCTTTGCAGTTGCAGACTTGGCGAAAATTCGGTAGACTCTGTAATATGCAAGCGGCCGCATTACCGTACCTAAACCGGGTTGTAAAAAAGTGTTTTTTACGACCGATTCAGGCGGATAAATTCTTGGGGGTTCATGCGAAGCGTTTCGTTCTGCAATTCGTACGAGACCTAAAATTCAGCTTCCAGAATACCGGGTCAGGTTGACCTGAAATTCCGCCTGATTTGTCGTAAAAAAGTCCACTTTGTAAAGCGTAGCGTTACGTGCATCGGTTTTGGTCGTGATTGAGGTAACCTGCAAAACCAGTCGGATTCTTGTGGTATAAAAATGTAAAACATCATAAACAACATACGTTACGAACAGGTCACAGCGGCAAAATTAAAAATGAGTTTATCCCATTAACCCTCCCCCCCCCCCTAACAGCCCAGTACCCTAGCATTTTGGTAGGGAACGGCCTACATTAGCTATTCTAATAGCATCGCAATTTTCGGCGAGCCCATTTTTTGCGAGATACACGTCGGCGTCTTTTTCTATCATTGTCGGCAACTTGTTCCACATGCTGTCGTTGCTGTAAAAAAGTAATAGGCATGTTCCGTACTTCCTTTAATTGAACCCCCCGAATATTTTTTAAGGTTGCATTTCAGAACATAAAAAGGGAAAAACTTTTCTGGTTTAGCTTCGTATACTGCGCTCCGCAGTGGTTGTCAGCAGTTTGAACTCCTAGAAATCGTCGTAATGGCTCAAAATCCCCGAAAAAAAAACCCTTTTTCTAAAACACCGCCTGAGGTGATTGAACAATGATTCGGCCGGGGTTATATTAGAGGAGATACGTTATTTATTAAAACCCTACCTCTCCAGAACGCGATACGCTCCGTAATCGCAGATGCAATATTCGGCAGGGATCGGTAGGTATTTACAAGATCTCGGCATGGTGGGGTCTAGAGACCGAAGCAGCGAATTCCCGAGGGTTCCTGTAGAGGTAATGGTTGGAATCTCGGTACTGGACTGTTAGCCGGGGGGGGGGTCATTTTTCAGTTTTTGGGCTGTTGCGCGGACTAGTATTTTTACTGCTAAAAAAGTTATAGAAACAGAGCTCAAAAAATTTGAGCAACTATCCCGGCGATTTTCAAGCTTGCGTACTTCCCCAAATCATGTGATTAGGAAGTTACCGTAACGCGCGAAAATGCTAAAATACCGACGCTAAAAGCAAATTAAATCACCTGATCGATTATCGCCTGATCGAAAATCTACTGATCCAAAGATCACCTGAGATATCCGGGACATCAGCTCGAAATACCGTAATTAGGAATATACCGTGGCCTCGGCAATACGCAAAGTCCGATTTTTGCGAAAAATGCCGATTTTTTCAAGGTTTCAAGGTTTGAAGACTACCATAACCCAAAATACCGTAGTTAGGAAGTAATATCTCTATGCTCCATCTGCGCCCCCCCCCCCGCTAAAAGTCCAGTACCGTAATCTCTACAATAGAATAATAAAATACTATAAATTACCTTCAATTTTCTTGAATCTCGTGTCCGTAAAGTTGCTGGTGGGTTGGTACTGCAAAAATCTCTAAAAATCTTCTTAATCGCATTACCCGGATAATGTCCACCAGTGTCGCATACAAATCGTGATGGCTAAGCAGTTCATCTTTATTTTTCGCCAGCTGCTTCGCCATTTTTGTTTTTCTGGTAAAAAGTTGTGGCATTCAGATGAGCACTTACCGTAACCTTTCCGGTAGCGAAATCAGGAGCAACGGGTTCTTCCCCTCGAATATACCTTGTTCGGTGGCGGCGACCTGTAGTGTGGTTTTTAAGATTTACTTCTACATTAATTTACCGTTCCGAACCGTTGGCCGTGATCGCCGAGGAAGATGACGATTGAATCGGATAGCTGAAAAAAAACGAAAATTAAGAGTGAAACTTTAAATTGGATTTTCGGTTAAAACATCACTCTTTGTATCCCACCGGCTCCTTATTTTCCACCAGCATTTGATGATAGTATTTGTCCGAGTGTCGCCATTCTTTTTCGCTATCATGCGCTTCATCCAGCCAGCTGATTGACATTTTTGGTAGACCTTAATGGCATTAGTCTTTCGGGCTTAATATACCAAAAAAAAAGCCTAAAAGATTTTTAGAAAGAACTTTCTCCGAAATAATACCGGACTACCTGACTATACCTGATTACCTGAATAAGAGCGGATGAATTTCGAGGTGTAGTCGATGGCGTGTTGGTGATTGGTCCCGCACCTCGTCTTATTGCGCAGGTGAGCGCGGAGTAGGCCCTGGTCTTGGTATTTGTACCCGGCATCCTTCAGAAGCCTAAATTTATCGAATCTCGTTGGAATAGTTCTCATTTCTATGGAAAGTAAGCCGATCTCAAAATCCTACTCGGGACCCCATACATCCTCCGTCAAGAAAGTCAACAGCTGGAATGGTCTGAAAGAATCGGATTTTGGTGTCCACTGATAAGGTCCAGCCGAAGCCTGCGCCTAAGCCCAGGCCTAAGCTAAGCCTCAGCCCAAGATATGCCTAAGCCTAAGCCTAGGCCTAAGCTAAGCCTCGCATAAATTTAAGCTTCAGCCCAAGTCTAAGCCTAAGCCTAAGCTTAAGCCTAATCCTCAGCCTAAGCCTAGCGTATGCCTTGGCCTAAGCCGCCCCCCCCAAGCTTAAGCATACGCCTAAGCCAAGCCTAAGCCTAAGCTACGCCTAAGCCTGACAAGCCCAGGCCGAAACATAAACCATACCTCAAATGGTGAGTAGCCGGTTGCTTCGAGATTCCAGCACAATCATTGTAAGTCCAGGTGGCAGTGAAGTAATCTTCGGCGTACATGGTTCGGTATCCAGCATCCTGAACGCAACGTTGTGCCTTTGCCTAGCCCTACCTCGTACTCAAACTGGATATAAGCTCTCTCATCCAGACCCTTTTTACAAATTTCCGCATCGATGGTTGCATTCAGCTTCAACCCACCATACATCGAGCGATCTACCGTCGTGTCGAGGTCTCCTGAAAATCAAAACATAAAACGACATTTTTGTCGAAATGTCATTTTGTCGAAATTTCTCTTCGCCTAAGGATCATTTTGTCGAAATTTCCATGCACCAAAATTTCAATTTTCGGGTTTTTAAGATGAATAAACGAAGCAAAAAAGCATTGGAATCTCGACAAATCAAAATTTTGATAAAATTTGGTTTCGACAAAATGGAATTTCGATAAAATGAACTTCCGAAGAAGTGATACGTTGAGAAAATGAAATGTCGACAAAATGATATTACAAAAAAATGGATTTTGGCAAAACGCTATTTGAAAAACAAATGAAATTTGGACAAAGTGAATGTCGGCAAAATTATTTTTGTCAAAATGAAAATAAGCTAATTCGAACGTACCAAAGAATGCGCCATAGGCATTTGAGCGGCTGGCGTAACCGATTCGGCTCATCGCCGTGAAGTCTACCGCTTGGAACTCGTTTTTCAAGTAGGTAATCGTTTTGTTGAGTTGTCTAAAAGAGTGTGAAAAACTTTTTTAGCTTTTAGAATGGCTTTTAAGTAGGAATTTTCCCTCTACAAGCTCGTCACGCTGGCTCACCTCAAGGCCGGGAAGCGTCCAGCGGAATCGAGCACAATGATGTGAACACTGGGGTGGAAGCGCGTTTTCGGGTCTATTTTTGGTGTTTTGCCCGCTCGATAGCGTTCGCCGAAAATGGCTGGGCGATCTCGGCTGAAAACATACATTAAAATTTGCTGAGAAGCAGACAATCCGAACCTGAGCAAATTTAAAATTATTTATGCATGAATTAAAGACATTTTCCGGCATAATTTCAGACTACGGCCGACTTCAGATGTTATAAAAATCGGTAAAAAAAGACAGGAATTGCCGTAAATTTTTCTCTTCTTTGATCTGAAATTTATTTACAGCCTGTAGCGATCAAAAACTAATTTAATTTTTTAATTTGTCTTTTTTATAATTATAATCTAATAAACTTGTAATTCTGTTTAGCTAAAATAAAACACAGTAATTTTTATAAGCGCAAAGAATAGAGACTAGCTAACCAGTTAAGTTTGGAAACAAATACCTATGTTCAAAAATCTGCGTATGCAAGTCGATGTGGGTCAGATTTCCGTCTAGCCCCCAGCACTTTACATCGATGATATCGCACTCAAACGTCGTGCAGTTGTCGCCGACCACGCACTCAGGACCGTACTTGTTGATCCAGACGGTGTCATAGAAGGCGCATCTGGAAGTGCTGAGACATTCCCTGGCGTTAAAAATACCTAGCCGTGCAGTTAAAATCGTCAGTCCATGGATAATAAAGGTTGTGGAAGATTTTTCCACCTTCTAGATATGTTGGGCCTTCTTCCCGGATGCAAGCCGCTAAATACACGTGGTTTTCGACATCTTTCTGACTCACGCTCCTCAGTCGTGCTCCCGAGCAACTTTAAAATTTCGGGATTGTCGTGCCGATACCGGTGCTTTGGACATGTGTCAAACAACGGTGTTTTTGGAGGCAAAGGCACGGCTAAAAAGTTACGGTCTAAAAACTCTGTTTTTATACAACGCAAAACGAAGAATTATCAATACCGGTGACGAATCAATACCGGTGCTGGACTATAACGGGGGAGGTTTAGCGGGGTAACCAAAATCTTCGAGTAATCCTGTACGGCCTCACAATGAAATAAGAACAGTTTTTGTAGGATTTGGCATAGTTTTTAATATAAGATGCACTCATAAAAATTCAAATTTTGAGAATGTTTTAAAAAAATGCGTGAAATTACTAAAATCAAAAAATTTCTAAAGTTTCGAATTAATTTTGATCAATTTCTAGCAAGCAAAAATAACGCAAAAATAATATTCATTTTATATTATTAACAGGATAATGTGGAAAAATAAAAAAAATAGTTTCCCCACCGCTAACAGCCCAGTACCTCGCCGCCTACCTTTTAAATAATCGCTCGATCCACGATCAGGGATTGAGACAAAATAACCAATCGCAATCATGGCAAGAAGAGTTGTAAGGGCCGCGACCGATCTCTAAAATCATAAAAACCTTGAGGGTAACGTTAAGAAAGCCTAGTGCATAAAGATGCGCCAGATGCACCAAAAAAATATCTATCAAGATGTCCGTGAAACGAAAGCATACCATTCTATTGAGTGTTCCCACAAGCATTTTGGCCCGATTGACAATAAAGAAACACCGGTAAAGGCAACAGCTTGTAGAGGCGAAAATGAGTAGTCTTCGCCAGCTCATACATTCAACCCTTTCTAAGCATACGCGGTCCAAATATAGAACTTTGGCAATCGCTATTGCATCAAAAAAATATTGACTACCAGTCGGGTACGGCGTAGGCTCATCTGGACTCTTCGGGCCTCCAAAAAAATTAATTCAGCTCGCGTCTGGGGCGTTCGGCCTGGTCTGGTATATGTATCAGACGCTTGCGGTTTTCATCCGTCACCATGTAAGGAAGGCCGTTCCGATTCGGAATACCTTCATATATCGAAAATTCGAGTAGGCTACTCCTTTGTCAAAGCGCATAAAATAAATCGGATCAGCCCGTCTGATCTGGTCTGATCGTCTGATCCAGCACGGGGGCCCGGGCCCGTTGAAAACGCGTCTTTTCCAACTGTTTCAAATTGTGTTTTTTTAGTTTGTCTTGGCGCCACGTTCTGGACAGGACTGTATTACGCGAGAATCCCAGAATCGTTTCTTGCAGGCATGTTATCTGCTAACTTTTTTATTGAAGGCTACAATGCTAGTGCCCGCATCATTCATCAAAATTTCTTTAGGGATCCTCGGGTCCTCCAGGGCATCAGAAGTTGCGGTAGACTTCGCTGCTAAATGACAAATTGAACGTGAAGATGCTAGGCGCCCCCACAGTTCCGACGGCAAAAACCTTCCATTTGCGACGAACTTGGACTCGTAACCATACCCGGCCGACGGACGATCAGCGCGCCAGTTTTGCCCATACCCCGCCTAAACGAATTAGTACGTTTCGTGCTTATGTTCACCATAGCAGATGGTTTTTTATCGTGCAGAAACGTGGATTTATTATCTGCTTTTTTCTGTACTAAACTACAGGGTGTCCCAATAAAAACAACCCTTTTCAACTCGACGGAGGAGTATCAGATCCGAATGATAGTTACACCATTCGAAAGCCCTTGAAACGGCGAATTAGCAACAATCTTCATAAATATATTTTTTTTCCAGGCGTCACTTTACAACGCATTTCAAAACATTAGGAACGTCCCCTGCATCTAAATAACGGCCACTTCCGGTCATTTTGCTTGGGGAGCCCGCTCCGCTTTCTCCGCCAGAGAGCAGAGGATCTATGATGCGCTTAATAGCTTTCTCGTAAATTATTGCTGCAGAAAAAGTATTTTAGACTTGAATAATTTTTCGCTCATACCACCAATACTGCATCAGGATCGCAGGGTACATGGAAAACGTGGCCGTACAAAACGGCCGCACAGAGAATTCTGTCAATCCTGGAAAATCGGGTTTTTTTCGATTACGTCCTCCGGTACATCGATTTTTGCCATTTCTACGATACGACTGGCGCCAGGTATTCAAATCAAATTTCTCACCATGGAAACTCTTCCAGGTATTTCTCGTAGCCTGGATCGCCATAAACAAGCGAATTATAACAATGTTGGCTGTTTTGACTACGATACATCGTGAACATGTCAATTGATAATCGGAGATTGTGCGCCGTCTCGACGGACAGCGTCGCCTCGTAGCTGTCGCCCGGCTGTAAATGAGCATTACATGTTTAGGCTTACTGAAACCGAAACCGATGTGTCTCTCTGTCATAAACCATTAAATAATTAAAGCATACTACGCAAAAAACGTACGCGTCCGATGATGCGTGCGAGTGAGACAGGCTTTCCTGTCATATTAATGGCGTCTTCCACGAGCGCCATCGGATATTCATCCTCAAATGTAGCGATGTCTATGTCCGTTGTGTGGGGGATAACGGCGCATTCACGACGCCAGCCTTAAACTAGACGATTTCCGATGAGAATCAAACAGAATTCCGGTAAATACTGTTCCCGTAAAACCGAATATCCGAATTCTACAAAAATTAGATTCCCAAAATTCGGAGTCTCGAAGGTTAGAATTTGGAAAACCGGATTGCCGAAACTCGGAGTATCGAAAATCGGAACCCCGCAAATACCAGCAAAGATTGGGCTATTTTTGGGAGCCGGATGCCTACTTTTCTGAGCTCAGATTCTTCGGGCATAGGAATTTTCGGACTCCGACCTTCGCAAATATAGGCAAACCTGAAAACAGACCCGTAATCTAAGCGGGTGTGTAAAAAGCACTGGGCTTGCAAAGCTAATGCGATGTCGGCCCCGCTAGCCAAGCTTAAGGCTCGAAAAACTTGCCAAGTAACGTTCCCGCAAAGAGGAAAGGGAGTCCGCGATATTCGTGCTGCAGATCGCGCACTACGGCCAACCAGTAGAAATCTTCCGGGAGCATAACTGGTGGTTCGGTAAGGTTACGCAGATTCTTCACTAAATCACCCAACAATTTCTAGCGTATGTCGGCAACTGAATTGGTTGTAGCTAGACTTTGAAAACCCCCCGAGAAACCCCCCCCCCGGGGGAGCAAAAAATACCCCTAAAAAACCCCCCTGAGGAACCCCCCCCCCCGCGGGGGTGTTTCAAAAACCCCCCCGTCCAGATGCTCGTTAGTGGGACCGAATTGGCACCGATGAGTGGGCCAGGTATGCGTCTTTTGCTGAAAGGTGAAAGACGCGGACCTGGCCCACTGATCAGAAATACCAGTTCGGCCGATCGAACAAATGGAACTTTCGAGAACCCGGATTTTGGTTCAATTACCCAAGTTTGCGGCGGGGGGTTTTCAAATACCCCCGGGGGTATTTCTCGGGGGGGTTTTCCAACTCTAGTTGTAGCTCAAAACGGTGTGTCATTTTTCAAATTTTGGTTCTGTATAGAACAATTGTAACCGATCTTTTACACTTCAACGAGATGTGCGACGCTTCGGCTTTCGACACCCGAATTTTTAGCAATTTTTAGCATTTTTTATAGTCGCTACATGGCCATGAGAAACCGGCCCCTGACCAAGGTGGAGGCCATCAGAATGCTCTGCCGCGCTGCACAAACGGAAAATGAGAAATCCTGACGATTCAAGCATTCCAGTTTCCGGGAACAGGCCCAGAGCCGTTGATGGAATTCGGGGTCCCGTGGGACGATGAGATTTCCCAGGCGTGTGTAGGCGCTCCTGAAGAAAGGCTATTAGGGGCCTATTCCAAGGGAAGCACGAGCTATGGAATCATACTTAGGCATCAGTCGTATTTGGGTGTTGTTATCCTTGTCCATTATTTCGAAAAAGTCGTTATCCCTCGAATCGACGTACATGAATAGGTTTTTGTAGAGGCTTTCTGTCAGAGAAAAGTATATGATTAAGGCATCAAGCAAAGCAACAAATCAATTGGCTCGTGTTTCGTTAGAAAACAACCTCCAATCGACGTACACTCCGTCGCAAAACCTTAGGAACACCCCCTTTTTCAGCCGTATCTGCCAAATTAAACAAATACGATTAAAACCAAACACACCATTGTCTTTTCCGCATAGGAAAACCTTAGACAAAAATGGATCCAGCAAGCTCTGATGCGGCTACGTGCGTATAATTGGAAAAGCAGATTTAGAGCCGTTGCAAAACTTTAGGTACAGCTAAATGAAAATAATTATTTTGCCCTACGGTGTCTGCTTTGGCCATTTTTTTGTAGTAATTGCTTAATAAGATCTCAAACTACTATTTGGCACAATTAGATTTCCTGGAGATGGGCCTAAAACTTTTTTCGAAAAATCAAATTTTGTATTAAAATTCACGTTTTTCTAATTAAGTTAGCCAGTCAAATCTGTTTTGACATTTAAAGGGTGCCATCAGGAAGAGCACAATACGGCGCACAGTTTGGTATACAATACATAAATTTGGCTTAGAGTCTACGTTGGCTACGCCCCGATACGTGTTCACTGCCAGGTTTCAAAGCTTTTCCCCTGAATTTAGTAACGGGACCATGACGCAAACCTTTGACAGTGGATAGCAGGAGCATTAGAGACGTCCCGAGCAATTTAAATATACCAAAATGTGCGCCGAAATGTGTTCTCCCTGATGGGGCCCTTTAAATTGCAAAACAAATTTGATTGACCAACTGAATTTCAAAAAACATGAATTTTAGCACAAAATTTGATTTTTCGAAAAAAGCTTTAGGCCCAGCTCGAGGAAATCTAATTATGCCAAATAGTAGTTTGAGATTCCATTAAGCAATTACTACAACAACAAAAATCGCCAGAGCAGACACCGTAGGGCAAAATAATTATTTTCATTTAGCTGTACCTAAAGTTTTGCAACGGCTCTAAATCCGCTTTTCCAATTATACGCACGTAGCCGCATCAGAGCTTGCTGGATCCATTTTTGTCTAAGGTTTTCCTATGCGGAACAGACAATGGTGTGTTTGGTTTTAATCGTATTTGTTTAATTTGGCAGATACGGCTGAAAAAGGGGGAGGTTCCTAAGGTTTGGCGACGGAGTGTATGTGGCGGGTTTTTGAGAGCGGTTAAATGCTCTTCAAAAAACTGACTTTCCTGCAGCTGCAACAGCTCGCTGACGGTCAGGTTTTCGCCTATGTCGATTGCTACCGTATACAGATGAGGGCGTGCGGCAAAGTCGCCAGGAGTGTATGACCCTTCTGGAATGTCCAGGTTATAGCGTGTAACGCCCTAAAATAAGTTAGCACCTCCGATTAAGCATAGATCAGTGGCTTACCGAGAACGATCATACGCTGGCCGTTGCTGTCCGTTAGCTCAGACGTCGCATTGTTTGGATCCGGTTCACGATCAGGGATGAGATGGCGTAGTGAGACGCTAGGACGATAGTAGTTCCACACGACCTTCTCTGAAAAATTCATGTAATCCCGGGTTGTCCCAAAAAAATCTACCCCTCTAGCGGGCCGCGGAAGTGCCCGATTTTTACAATTAAGCTATCTATCGAAGGCTCTCGGTAAGGCGAGTGTACAGAGTTTAATTTAAGTTTGGGAACAAAATGCATCACAAACAGCGGATCTTATGAAAAATCCGCATATCAATTGCTTGCTCATCGGAACAGGCCGGGGCTGTTTCTAAGAACTCGTTTAATATCGAGCGCGAGCTAACAATAAGTTTGTAAAACGAAAGCCACATGTTTTCTCGCCTTTTCGAGGGCTTTCGAATGTTGTAAAAAGTGTAAAGTGTGTGTGGGTAAGTGTCAGTTTCCGATTCCGCTTTTGCGCTCTGGATTTCCGCGTTTTGCCGACCATATACTCACCAAGGATGACCTTTTCGTCCCCGGAACTCGATGCTTGGGTTTCTGAGCTCGTGTCTATGCTGGCGTCCGTGCCAGTGTCGGAGCTCTTGTCGGAGCTCGTCTCTGAGCGCTCGTCCGAGCCAGAATTCTCGGCGGATAGCTTGCAGGTTGTGGAGCCTGAAAGTCAGTTGCGTTTTCAGCAGTGTCAGTCAGAGCAGTCAGAGACGGTTTCGCGTTGAAAGTGCCGGAAAGTAAGTTCTCACCGGATCGTCGGTAAAATAAGCAACACCCGCAAACAAGCAGAAACGTCGCGACGCAAAGTGCAACCCTCAACGTCAGCCTGGGTATCCGAAACTAGGATGTGACATAATGCTCAAAATCGTGTGGTTTCCCCACCTGTCCGTTCCATCTTATTGTCAAACCGAAAAGCTTCACCCGCATAACTCTAGCAACACTAACTGTAAAGTGTTTTTACTCAACTTGGCGTTTCGGTTCGGGACCAAGTGCATTTTGTGCAGAATCTTTCGCTGATTCCGAATCCGTTTTCCAAATCTGCTACAGACGTTTATTTAAAAATACATTTTTGGTAAAAATTAAACCGAAAAGGTTCTGGAAATTTGGAAAACGGATTCAGAATCGGCAAAAGATTCTGCACAAGATGCACTTGGTCCCGAAACGAAACTCCAAGTTGAGTGAAAACTCCTTACGGTAAGCCAACGCTGGAAAAGAAGGGATAACTAAAACCTTGCTCACAGTAAAATCTAAGTACTTGCGAACGGAGCAGTTGTATCATTCAACTATAGTAAAACTTGCTAAACGGGCATAAAATTCGGGCTTTCACCCGGATCCCATGCTGTCTTGTCCATGAACGATTGACTCATTTCCGCAACAGCCAATCCGCGCCAAAATAAAACGCTCATCGACTTTTCTATAATCTGTTCATTTTTTAAAGGTACGAAAGTTTCGGTCGAACCCGTAGGGCTTCACGGACTGCTTCCGGATTTCCACCAAAATCACTCAAATAGCTCCAAGGAACGCGATGCTATTAGATCTCAGGGTCGGTTAGAGGTACGTTTGAAGGTGTCTAAAAAAGGAAAAATCTTTAGAGAGAAATGTTATGGGAGCCTGTTTAAGAGGAAAATTTGTCAAAGTCGTGAAAATAAGAATACCGAATTTTCCGAATCTCGAATTTTCAAAAACTCAAATTTTCAGTATATCGAAGTTTGAGAATACCGAATTTCCTCGTCCCGAAGTTTCCGTGGCCTGAATCAACATCAAGGAATTGTATTGGTAAACCCGAAATGTCTAATAAAAGATGCGACAAAATCACTATTTGCATGCAGGACTTTGGATACCCTATTAAGGAAACGTGTCTAGGTGCAGACCGAGTTTTGGGACGAGAAATTGAAGAAAGCGCTTCAAAAATTGAGCAAGGCGTACTACATACATACGTCGCCCGCTCAACGACGCTAGGATGTATATCATGAAAAATTATCAATTTCGGCCTCCTAAATGCCATAACTTGATGTGAATTTTTTCATCTCAGCCCGGTAAATCTTGCAGCTACACTCATAAGCATAAAAAAAGCGACGGCTTTGGCTTTCTAAAACACTCATTCTACGTTTTCTTCTCACTATCTCGGCTTTTGGGCGGTTGTAGGTCAATATGAGCATGTTTTTCAACAAACATTATTTATATATGTAATACTACAAAAATACCAGGGGCCAAAACAATAAAAAATTACATAATTAACAAAATTATCATTCAACCCCGGGTTAAAAAGCCGCGTCGCGACTTTTCAACCCTGGCCCCGTCTAACCCCCATCAGATTCTTGGCTCTGCATACGTCTTCCGATTTCCGATGAGAGAAATGAAAAATTCCAATCTATCGGGTTATATATAGGCCGCAGACACTTCCGGCGTATGTTAATTATTTCCTAACAAAGAAGGCTGCCCGATTTTTCAACAAAAACCCAATTTTAAAGGGATGCCGACGGCATAAGTCAATCGGTTACGCGCGGGAAAGAAAATGTCTCTGCGCCTCTCCCCAGGGCGCGCTCTCTGCCCTGTTGGCTACTTGCCAATTTGTTGATGAGGGGGGATCGACACATGCCGTCGGCAGCCCTTTAATGTCAAAAATAGCATAATTTGCAAAAGCTGATATGCGTGCAGTCATCTCGGGGCCGTTACGCACCTAATGACGTATCATACGTAGCTTAAAACCCTTCCCCTTGGAGATATTCTCCGGATACGATGACGGAAGTTGCATGCAAATGCACACACACGCACACACAGACACTATTTTTTTGATATATAGTAGGGCTAGGCGTCCAAGGGTTGCCAGTGCTTCAAGAGCATGGGCGTTGGGTTGACGTCCGGGGTGTAGTGACGGCTGACGTACACCTTCACCGACTCGTCAGCAGTATACGCAGCGATGATGCCGAATGTAGACTGGGAGGCTGGAAAATTTGTCGTAGAAATCGCAAACGCGAGAATTCGTTCTCCGTCACTTGGGGAAATCAACCCTATTCTTTCCGATGGCGTGCTCAAAATTATTATAAAAAATAGGTTTATAAAGTAAAGCAGCTTTTGTAGGGCCGGCGAACGCTGATTTTCATACTACTAAAAAATCGAAAATCCTCGAATTTGGCCAGTTGCACCCGCGCGCGGAGTGTGCGGCGCAGGACCAAGGGGTCGAAAACCGTGATTTGCATTTGCGTTTGCGCATAATTCTGCCCAAAACGCGATGGCAACAAGTGAAAAACTCTCGCAATAGGCCTTTCCCTTTCCCAGACACCCTCACTTTCCCTAGGCAGTGCACGACCTTTTCCGATTTTTTTTTGGAGTAGAACGTACCAGTCAATACGATATGGGTACAGTGACTTCCGAAGAACGCCCAGGTGTAATGCTTAGGAAACGGGTATCGAAATGTCCGGGCTGGGGGCAGGTACATTCGGGATCTCAGGTCTAAATTGACAAATTAATGCGTGATTTCTGCAAAGGAATATTCTATTCCATTGCAACGTAAGTTGGACACAGCCTCGTGGGTAAGACTCTAGTTTACCCCCCAGCCTTAACTTTTCAGCCATACGCCCTATTAATGCGCGGAGTATCTCAAAATGTTGGCCGTAGTCGAATTACTATAAAAAAGTTGTATTCTTGCGGCAAAAATTGCTAGAAAATTTTTTACAAGATTTTGAAATTTGAAAAGATTAAGCCGCTATGCTTCAATGTACCAGGAGTCTAAAACTCAAATATTTTTATTTTCCGCTATTTTTTTTGACTCAAATGCATTGTAGGCTTATTCTCTAGAGCAAGAGCTACATTTTGGTACCATTGACAGCTCTGTAGGACAAAAGATAGCCGAGATACGAAAACTCACTTTGGAACACCAAAAATTAACTAAAGAAAACCCAGACTTATAATTGTTACAAAAATTTTTGATGTAAGGAAACAAGGTATTTATAGTAAATCGACCACGGCAAACATTTTGAGATACGCCGCGCATCAATAGGACGTATGGCTGAAAAGTTGTGGCGGGGGGTAAACTAGAGTCTAGCCGCCTCGTGATACATGACACACATGATAATTGATGAAATGACTGTTTTCGCGTTCTTTCCAAAGTAAAAAATGTATGTAGAATAAGAAAAGGCGAAAGTAGGTCAAATATGTATGTTAGTTTGCGAGCAATCATTTGGTATGCGCCTCCGGTCATTTGCATCGCGGCGGCTCCGACCGACCAGCCTGCCGTGCGACCGAGCCGGCCGTCCAGGACCCGTCCCAGCCCCTCCGCATTAGGAAATTACGGAATTGCGGACGGACCTCCGTCGCGGGCCGGACGGACGCGGACAGGACCCAAAATGAACATCCCTGGTTGTTGCAACCGTAAAGTATTTGCTGACAAACCTTCGTACTCCAAGTGCTTTGCAACCATGTCTTCCACGAAATCCTGTTCATCAGAAAATATCGTCACGCTGAAGTTGCCGGGCTCTGAAAAAAACACATCCCTTTTATTTATCGTTTGCCGAGACATGGCGTTACACGTTAGCCAAATTAGGTATGCCTCACAAGTACTTGCTCAATATTTCACTACACATGCTTAATATTTCTGCAGGAATTCGGAATTCAGTCAAAGCCCATGATGGACCGCACATGATGTCCCGACCGCACCTTTCCAAAGCACCTCCCTGATGGCCGCGGCCGTATAATTGCTTGTCGATGCAATGTGAGTGCCACCAAAATCGCCGCGACGCATGTGGACACACATCCTGAAAGTGGCAAACCTTGGTAGAACACTGTTGTCATGCTTTTCCTTCCTTAGACTAGTAAAGCTGTGAAAAACCCCAGAGATAATCAAAATCGTTTACAACAAGGGAGCAAAGTTAATTATTCGAATAGCGCAAATTGCTTGCTTTTGTCGAAAAGCTCAGTAAAATCTGTATCTGCGCGTCAAAAATTTAAAGAGTTTTACTTTTACAGAGTCGAAAAGTTTAATGTTTGAGAACCCGTAGATCAGTTACCCGGCATTTCAGGCTAAAATATTTCTATTTTAACGATTTTTCTTGAGTTGAGCTGGCCACGGGCTATTTTTTAGTCCAAGTTGTTCAAGTACCTTACTTGGTTCTTATATTACTTAATTCGTGACTCTACTTCATGGCAGTACTCAACCGACCGATTTTCGGCCTCGTGAAACTGGGATACGACCAGGTTGCGCACGAACCGGCGCGTCAGTTCGGGGACTGCAAGCCGCGCCCGCAAATCCTCTTTTCCCATGATTTCATAGTAGCGTGAGGTCTAGAAAAAGGCAATGCCAAACCTTTTAGCATCATGTCTACCTGCACCATGTCGATGATGGCCACAAAGAGCTGGGCGTCGTTTTCGGACTCGAGGACTCTGCAATGGAAAAATATGGATCGAACAGCGGGAAGTCCCTAAAAAACGAGGTTTCTTAGGGTAAGAAAAAATTGTTTTGGGTTGCGTGCTTAAATAAACGCATGCACGGAAAAAATATTTGCAGGCTCGCACTTCATTCGACTGATGTAAGTGTCATTCCAATTAGATACTTCTACGTCAAGCGAGAGTCGAGTACTTTTTAAAACCCTACTAGTTTTTTACAAGCTTACCTTTGCAGTACCGGGTAGCTGTCATCCCAGGCAAGGAAGCTGGCTTGTCGATAGCTGTCTTTCTGCAAAATATCCTGAGATCATTGGCATACTAATAGTGTCATTGCGAACCGTATTAGTGAACTTAAGGGGAGCGGAATTCCGAAAAACCACTTGTGCGTGGAACTTGTATGACGCTGCAGAAAAGTCTATTTGGCTCCGCTCTTAAAGAGATGAGGACGGCATCTGTTGAACCCCCCTTGGGGAGGGGGGGGGGGTTCAACAGCTCCCAGCGCGACCGGCGGCGAGAGAGGGCGCCCAGGGGAGAGGCGCAGAGACATTTTCTTTCCCGCGCGTAATCGATTGACTTATGCCGCCCCCATCCCTTTAAACTTTTTCCAAAGCAGTTCCTGATTTTGGGTAAGTTGTCGAAGTTCTTCGTTTTTATTTACAAACATTTAACGCGCGCTTTTAGCTTTTAAAGGTTAGCTCCGGCTTTTAGCTATTTTTTCATTGCCTCCAGGAGGCGTTCATCCGTCCGTTGCCCTTTTAGTACCTTTAAGAAAAGCCAGCGCTGATGAAAGCCAAACCAACGTTAAATCCCGGATCGCACACGAACCGGACGCCGCTGTATAAATTGGGGTAGTAGAGGAGGTTATCCCAAAATTGGGGCCGTGCACCGTGGTCGTACTCGCTGCCCAGCACAATCACTGGCAATCTGTAAAATAGTTATGCGCAACAAAATGCTGAAATTTATTGCAGATACCCTAAATATGCTTACAAACTGAAAATTATATAAATTTCAAGAAGAAAAGGTCAAAATGTGACGTGCAAAAATAAAAGACCCGTCCCACGGATTTCACATTTGTGAGCCTCTTGTGTACCCGCGCCCAGAATTTGCGGCAATAAGGGCCTAAGCAACGCGACGCCAAGAAAATGTATGGGGCCAAATCGTAGCCTTATAACTTTAAAACTAAATGGAATCTTAACAAAAGCAATTTCCAACTTTGTAGAATGGGAAAAGGCGATTCCAATGATACCAAGCACCAAGAAAACTGAATTCAAAAAGTATCGAAATGAAGGCGGTTTTTGTTGACGACTTTGTGAAAAGTGGTATTTCGGGGCTAACTTGCTGTTTTTGGTATCATTCGAACCGCAAAATCTACTCTGCAATAATTGATATTGGTTTTGCAATATTAAGTCGGTTTGAAAAAGTTATAAGAGCTTAAACTTTTTGGCGCCCGCTACGTTCTGCCCATCTCGACGCTTTTGCCCCTCCCGGCACATTGCCATTTTTGGCCTGTTTGATTGGCCGTGTGTGTACCCACCTCCCAAGCACTTTGGCAATGCCGACAAGACCCAGCAGCTCGAATACCAAATTGCCCATCTGATTCCCGCCGTGGTGCATCTGCATGTATGCAACGAGGTATCTTTGCGAAGAGTCCGCATCAATCCACCCAACATCGACTGGGGAACATGTGGCATTTGGCGAAGGGGTTTGAGCCTTCCTAGGTATTCCCCTGTAAAAAAATGGTTGCCTTGATCGATGAAGGTTTTTTCGTAAATCGTGGTTCCCAAATTAACTTATCAAAAACCCATCATTTCGGAAGGTGGATTAATTAAAGGGGTAATCGCGGCATAGGTCGACCTGCCACCATTTGGGAGTACTATTTGGCAAACAGCCAATTGGGATAGAGGCTGCCCAGGCGAGAGGGCACAGAGACCAACTTTTCCTGGCGCAGCCACGGACTCCTGCCTCACCTTACACTTGTCGTTTGAAAGGGAACCATGAGGACACTGACGGCATTGTCGGGTCTCAAGAGATACACGACAACCAAGCAAAACACGAAAATTGCACCGAGGATGATATGGCCATTCTAAATCATGGGGTTGAGTAACGATGTCGCTATGCTATAATACTAGCTGTAATCTTAAAATCCAGTTACGATTCTCGATCAGATTTGTCATTTGCAAACTGTCTGTTTTTCATCCCAATTAGCATGGCCAAAACGGCAAAAACTTCCGAAAACATGTGATGTTTGGAACAAAGCTTAGGCGCTGGGTATCACTGAATGATCAAATGAATCGACCGATTTACTTGTGTGTTCAGCCGCATCCGTGGTCTCTATCAAATTGACTAATTGGCAGTCTTCGTAACAATCGGATAAAATGTTGATAAAATAATGGTTTAGAACGAAAATTGCAAAATAGTGGCGGTGGATATGAATCCGCCCGCGAGGGCAGCGGAAGTTTTGACGGGGAACGACCATGCCCTTTTTGCGGCGAATGTTCGCCCACCACCAGACGATTCAGGTATACTGAAGTAGCTTAAAATGATTACCGGCCAGTTAACGAGCGCTAATTTATAGAAAAGATGGTGCTTTTTTATGTCAATTGGCATGTAAGGCATGGCGTCCTATCAGAATCTCTAAAATCAGAATCTCAAAAAAATAAGAATCTCTCAAAATCAGAATCTCAAAGTTTTAGAATCTCTAGATGCCAGAATCTCTAAATTTCCTTGATCCGGAAACCTAAGTTTACAAATTTACAGTGCCGAAGCGCACCCCGATTTTTTTTTTGGGGGGGGGGTGGTGGCGAGGCAACCCCAACAAAATTTTTGACGACGTAGAAAAATGCTAAAAATTAGGTGCATGGCAGTAAAAACAATCTTAAAAACAGCTAAAAAAAGCGCCGTAGGCAAACAAGATTTCACGAAAAAAGAATCATAAGGGTCCTTCCCCCTTCGGTCGATTATGGGAGGGCAACTTGCCCCAGTTGCCCCCCCCCGCAGAGTCTTGCAGATCGGCTCGAGCATTGTTTGGCTAAATTGATAGGCAACGTATCGCTTTTACAGAGATCCGGCTGGGCCACGCATCCGCGTCCCACTGACCTCCAAATGCAGCACGTTTGCCTCAAATCACACGACTCTCGATCTCAAAATCAACGGCCAATCTATTGGGGTGGAATGGGCGAAACTGTTCTATGAAAGTTGGAAACCTTTCAGTGACCCTCTTGGTATGCTTAAGTGTGAGAGTACCCGCCCACAGACCTCCGAAGACTCCCACAAATGGGATTCCCGCAAATCGATTCCCGAAACTTGGAGACCCGAAAATCGGCGTCCCGAAAGATCGGAGCCCCGAAAACTCCGATTCCCGAAAAATCCGACTCTCGAAAAATCGAAGTACCGATACCCGCAGAGGTTTGGGTTTTTATGGGAGCCGGAAGCCTACAAACTAATAGTGTAGTTTTCGGGAGTCAGACTTTTCGGGGCTCGGATTTTCGGGACTCGGATTTTCGGGGCTACGGGTTTCGGGAAATCAATTTTCAGGAATCCGATTTTCGGAAGTATGCAAATCCCGTACAACAAGCAGACACGAGAACACCATAGATAATGGTGTCCTCGTGTCTGTGCTGAAAACGTGGAGACTCTGATCGTTGGCCAAAGCAATCACTCAGATAACCTGACCAGCTGCATGGATGATGGTTGCACTTATCGGAGTTACGATGTCGGTTCTGAAGTTTATGGAGGCTCTGTGCCAGAGACCGTAAGAGACCCTCCCATAGGAGCGAACATCCAGCATACCGATGCACAGTAAACTAAACATTTCCCGTTTTAATGCCTTCTTTAACAGTAAGTTTAGATAACCATTCATCGGAACGAATGGTTTGCCGAGATTCCGGTCGAACTAGCAGCGTCCAGTTATTCGGATGATATTTCGGCATGCGTCGGGGCCTTGCATTGGTGGGTGATAAGTAAGAGACGCTAACACAGGTCAGTGCATCCACCCGAAATCCACTCGGAATCCTGGAGGGGATCGAGGGGAATTCCACTAGCGGACGCGAGTGGATTCCACATGGAAATCGAGTGGATTCCGGGTGGAACGCATGGAAATCGAGTGGAAACCAAGTGGATCCACTCGGTTTCCACTCGATTTCCATTTGTCGCGACGCGTGGGGCCCGCGTTGCGTCGTGTTTCCACTCGATTTCCGCCGCGTCCACCCGATTTCCATCCGATTTCCATGCGTTCCGCCCGAATTCCAGGTGGAATCCACACGGAATTTGGGTGGATACACGGACCTGTGAATGACGCGTTATAACAAAATTAGAGGCCGGAAAGCCTGCCACAGCCTAGATGACATGAGGCTGAACTCCAGATACCTGGGAAAGGTGTCGCATATCTGGGAATTCATGCCGATTCAATTCCGACCGAGTACGGCTGTGGACAAGCAGAACACGAAAAGGATGCCTGTGTATTTTTTCAATTAGTTTTCCTCTTCACCAACCCCCGTTTTTGATTTTGAAGATTTATTCTATCTGAGCCTAGTTAAACCACAATTGACTTTAAATGCCTTGGCATGTGAACGTCTCGATATCGAAGCCTGGCTGTTGTGTGGCTCGTTGATAGCGATTCTGCAAAAAAAAATAGCAAAATCGGGAAAGAGATTACCCCGGAATGATTGGCAATGTACTCGACGTCGAAATCTTCTTCGCTGCCATGCGTCCGATTAAATAGGCTTTCAGCCATGCAGGCAATGGCCACAAAATCATGAGAGCCGAGGAACTTGTTTAATGAGATCACGCGGCGGGCGATTCTTCTAAAGGCAATTTTTTTAGTGAGAACCGAGTTTTCAGTCGAAACCAGCATTTTGCGCCGTTTCCGGAGGTGATTTTAGAAACCGCTAAATGTCCATTTCGACGGAGTTACAAGGATCTCTAGTCCGAAACATGCCCAAAATGGCAAGTTTGACTGGCTATAAAAATGTCAGAAAAAAATGAGGAAAAGCCTATTAGCACAGAAAGAAATCGTGCTAAAAAATTACGTTTTCGAAAGCGCGATGGCACATCGATCTTCGAATTCGAGCCCATTAGAAAGCGAATATCTTTTGACGATTTTTATAGCCGTCCAAAGAGTGTCATTTTGGCCATTTTTGAGCGAAACAGCCCTGTAACTTCTTCAGAATGACCATTTAGCGTATTCGGGGTCAGCGCAGAATTCTGTACAAAACATGCTTGGCTGAACTCAAAACTCAATTCACACTAAAAACGTTTCCTTGTGAGCGGGAGTTTCCAAACTAGCTAGTCATGCTCCCGGGGTTGTTCTGCATAACTTGACGTACGAAAAAAACAACCCCGAATTCTTGAGCTTGGTCTAACGACTCTCACATACTGCCGAGACGAAAATGCTTCACCTGGCTTCTTGCAAATCTTCGATTCCATACAAACAAATTTGGTGTCGTTCATGGCATCCCTCATAGCCGTTGTCAATCCAGCGCGTGTGTCTAGAACGCGAGTAAACTTTCAATGCATGTGGATTGGAATACCCCGCGGGATGGAGCCCACCTTGTAATGTAGGTGAAAAAGCTGTCCCTAAGTCGGTTCTCCAAACATGCGCTATGATAACCGCCCGGCATCCGCAATGTTTCCGAATTTGCCAGAGTCGCGAAGGCGAGCTCGTCCACGGCGTATGGCTGAACAAAGCGCCGATTCATGGCATCTCCAAAAAAATACCCCTTGGTTGAACCGCTCTATCAAAGTTGTAATGTTCATCTCCTTCACCATCCAGTGAATGGCCGCTCTCCTGGTAGTGATTTACATATGATTTATCTTTCAAATTTTAGCGCCTACATGTAAGTCGCTTCCTCAAGCCCCTTGGCAAATTTCAGTTTTGCCTTTTCACGTTCGGCAGGCGTTAAATTTGTGTCTGAAAAGTGTTGAAATAGAATGCTAATTGTGAGAAGAAGATGGCGAAATTTTCCCTACGCTGCGTCCACAGGTTCAGGTCCTTGATCTCGAACGATAAACCGGGTGCGACCCGATCCCATGGGATATCTTCCATATCGTTATCGTTGGTCCCGTTGAGGAGCTGAAGAGGCGTTAAAGGGGCTCCGAATTGCCAAATCAAAGCCCTCCTGGAAGGCCTTTTTAGTTTCTGGCAAATTGCCAGCGGGCGCCGCGGGACAAGAGCTTTCACGCTTTCGATTTTTTGCGCAAAGTTGTTTTTGCCCGGTTTCTTTGTGAAAAAACTATAATTCGCGCATTCTGAGCGCATTTTGGAAATCCTCACTCAATTTGAAATAGTTTTGGTGTTTTAATCATCAAATTTGGCCCAGAAACAGCCAAGAATGTGATTTCGAGGTGACAACAGGCAATTTCAAATTTGCGAGCTTCCCGCGCCCCTAGGTGCACAGAGGCCGGACGTACAGGGCTTCGATTTTCGGGCCGTCACTCAATTTTTGGCATTTCGTAGCCCCTTTAAGGCCAGAATTGCTCCTACTCCCAGCCGGAAATTCCCGAAATTTTCGACAGTTCCGCTATTTTGCCGAAATTTTGGCTATGCCAATCAATATAGCATCAAAAAATACACTAGAAATTTTAATTGCAGCCCAAAATCAGGTAATATAAAAAAGTTATAGCGAAAAACTTGGGGAACTTCCGGCGGGGGCGGGGGAAGGGGTAAGATAAAACCTTACCGTAATTTGAAGCCCCAAGTATGTATACCTACCCGTAGCATCTTCATCAGCTCCAAGTTTGTGTGCGCCACCAAGTCATGGGCCTAAATATAGGGAACTTCCAACTTCAAATTCCAGATACTTGGAGCAGGATCAGATACTCCCAACCGGGTTTCTCTAGCAAGACCTCCATGCACTTGTAGTGAGCCATGTTGTTGTTGAACCCACTTGAACTCACATCGAACTGCTCTGAATCGAAAAATACATTTGCCGGCACAAGGTCTTTCATGCATTTCTAGCAAAAACATACTATGTCATGGCGCGCTACAAAAGATCATGAACAAAATATTGTTTCCCCTCCCACGGACGCTCGCATTTTGAGCGCGACTCCGTCCGTGAGCAATCTGCTGGTCTAAACTAATGCGGACTAGGATTTGTTATTTAGCTTTGCGCTCAGAGCTCGTGACCAGTTCTGATTACGAGAATAAGCCTAACAAGCGATCGGCAAGAAGTGAAGGTCGGATTTCGAAATGGGAACAAGCAGCTCTTGTGCAGAATTTTAAGCTGATCCCCAATTCGCTTTTGGATTTTCCGGAATCGCCATACTTAAAAAGCTACAGGAGATTTTTTAAACAGAAGTCCCTAAATTCGGGCATTAAAGGCTCCACAAAAGGACAGGGAATGGTGTTTTACGAAACTTAAATGATGAATCTAACGCAAAACGGCGTACTTTTTCGAATGAGCTAGCTCACGAACAACCTTCTCAAATTTTGTGTAACACTAGAAGTGGAATCGTGAGGCTCAAAATCCTACACAAGTTGGACTGGGTCACACTTCGACGTCTCACCTTCACTTCTTGTTTTTCCCTTGTAAGAATAATTAAAAAAAACAAGAAGGCTTTTGAATCATGGCGCAAAAATCGCGCCGTTAGTGTCGAGAATTATGGCATTAATCTTGAAGCTATGAATGTTTTGAATTGTAGATTACCAGTACCTTTCACGAGATAGACGTTTGGGAAGCACGTTTGCAACGTCTCCATCTGGGCCTTGAATTTGGGCGTCGATTTCACATCCACGTGGTAACAATAATGGTTCTCCGGACTGTATGTGGCAGCTAAGAGTATCTCCAACGTTTCAAACTCCTAAAAATGCGACAAGTTCGTTAAGGCGCTTTGTTGGCTCGCTAAAAAACTTTGCCTACTTCATAGATATTTCTCGCAAACGCCACGGAATAGTTCAAAAACGGCGCCGGATAATCGCCGATGATTCGAGCACGAATTTCCACGCATGATCCCACAATTGGTTCCTCCTAGAAATCTGATGCTTCAAACACGGAGCTCCGAAATGTACCTTTGCTACGATCCTCTGCATCAACCTGGGATCCAACTTGCCCTCTAGCGCGGACAGCTCTTCGATGTAGGCTACATCCCTTTCGAAAAGTCGCCGGCAGTCAATCGACGCCAAATAGTCCGGCATCCTGAACCGCGGTGGCTCCTTTCGGGCAAAATAGGGGTTTTTGATCATGAAAATCCCGGGTTCTAAAAGCCAATGTATCTTTTAGCTGACCTGATCTACCGTATGGACTACTGATGTAAAGAATTACTACCATGGTCGCGAAGATTAGCCCGAAAATGTTCGATAGCCGTCGGGGCATTGCACTGGAATCTAAGTGTTTTATAGCCGGCGGTCCCCTGAAATATAGATTCAGGCTTGAATAGGACTCGCAGGTTCACGTTGTCATGAACTACAGCGCCAAGAGCTTCATTTCCAAAAGGATGCAAACGGCGTTCAAATTTGGGATGGATAATTCTTCTTGATCTTCCCAGTGCACGGTTTCAAGGCACAGAAACGGCTCGGAAGTCGTATCGAAAGGAAAAGATACTTTAAAATATGATTATAAAAATTTCCCGCAAAGTGTTCGATGCTAAAACAACATCGAGCCCTGGAACGCTCTTAGAAGAATAGCCTTGCGAATCGATTTTCTTTTCGGCGGATGTTTGGGCGGGTTAATCGCTACGAAAAGCGGAAGCGGAAAACATATAGCTAGACATAATCAGAATCCACGTATGATGCTTTCTTGGTTGGCATATGTTTTCGAAACTAAAAAATTCGACCCCGCAAAAGGTGGATCTATAGAGGGCGTAAAAACAAGCCCTTCTTATTTTCCAACATTTTTAAGGACTGGCTCGATATCGAACGGTTTTTTCAAAAAAAAAAAAACGTAAAATCAGCGCACTCCTGTTAGCTTGAGCATACAATTAACATGCGTTAATTAACATAAAATCTGCGGTTTTCATGGATTTTGTTCCTAAAATTCGTGAATTAAAATTCCTAGCTTGAAAAACGAAAAGGGCTTTTTTCTGCCTTTCGGAGGGCTCTCGATAGCTACCTAAATTGTAAAAACTCTTCTGCGGCCAATTTTTTGGTAAATGCACTGGGGTGGTTTCCAATTTTTCGTCGATTTTCGGTCAGCACAAAACAAGCAGGGAGGTTGGGCTCCCCAACAAATTCTTCTTCCATCCGGGTTTCATGCTATCCGTTTGCCGTGAACGAGTGATTCACATTGCCAGGAGCCGATTCGTCGCCACAACGGATGACACACGAGATTCGTCTCAAATTTGCGGTCCTGTAACGGGATGAACATTTGCGGGCACCAGCGTGTTGTATTTTCAGTAAAGCTGCCAAACTTTTCCATTTAGCACGCAAAAACTTTGCCAGTGCACGCTCTTTGGCAGAGCATTACAAGCCCAACGATGCGGCTTGATTTCAAGGTGAGTCCTTACGAGGGTATCAGGTTGGATGATAAGTCCTGTCGGAGATTATGGATGGCTAAAAAATGGACCAAATGTCAAGAGCCCGTATGTCGGCCCTCCTGTGTTCAAAATGGTGCTTGCTGTGATTCTAACCAGGCTTCCAAAAATTTCGGCAACAGGGTTTACCTTCCCCTTACTTATCTCATTTACCTTCTAACCTCATATCTTGAAAAAATAGATTGGATGTTAGGACCGGATAGGGGTTTTCATGGCCAGAGAAAATTTCAGGCCCGTCTCGTACTGTTGTTTGCCCTCGTCGGTGCATTAGCTATCTACTACGTCAACCGAGAGGGCGTTGCGGCCGAGCATCCACACGGGTATGACTTCGATCATGGGTTCCAAAATGGATATTGAAGGCAGGATGTGGACCTGGTCTCTCCCATAAATTCGCACCAGCAACGTATATTCGAACAGTACTATCCATCGCCGCGAAATCGTTCTCGGCATCCAAAATATGGGAACAGCAATCTGAACGATGCTTATTCCGATGCGCCGCTTGGCGAGGACGTCATTTACATTTATAAGGCTTTTTATGATACCAGGTATGGGTATAATTTGATCATGATTTCATATGAACTTTCAGGGACCCTGCTGGCCCTCGAATCCGAGTAATCCTAACCGCGAACTGCGCCACACTGGCATCAGGTGATGTGGTTATAGAATTAAGGATCGCTAACAAATCCATCGGAATCGGCTGGGTGAGACTTCCATTTGAGGGTAAGCGTTGTCGCCGGTTCAATTTAATCGATATATCTATTGGGTTGGAACGTAAGTCTCTGCGCTTTTGTCAAAGCTCGCTGCTTGTCTTAATCGTGGACTTTGGACCAAGTGTTATATATCATTCGAAAGAGCTTTCTTTTCTCTATCAGAAACTGGTATTCGTTTATTTTCTACGTTTACATTGCTCGAAATTAATGGGTTAGAATGAAAATCGTCGCTTTCCTTTGAGCTCGATTTTGAGCACGATCGATAATTATTTTTACAGTTGACTTTTTGGGTTTCGAGAGACTCTTTATTCCTCTACTTCTTCATGTAATTAGTTTATTTTCTAAATAGCCTTTCAGTAATTTTTAGCAGATCGAAAAATTGACCAAAATGCGCCCTACCTTCACTTGCTAAATTGTGCGTTAAAAACAATTATTTAGCACATTCCAAGCTCGTGTTCGACTTTTCTGCCTATTTAGAAAAAACTACAACGTTCAAAATCAAACAGAGCTATCTTTAAATTTTCATGGAAAAACATCAACTAAGGAGAACTACTGTCTTGTGCGATAATTTGAGCCCGGGTTTAGCGTAGACAAATCCATAAACTTGATAATCTTTGGCGGCAAACTGTAGTCCTACTGAGTGAGTACATAATAGATCAAATTGAATTTGATAATTATGGTAAGGAAAAATTTTGCATGGTGCGGTCGTCGATCCTTTGAGGTCATTTTCGCCGATACTTCGTTCCCCCAAATCCATGGGAAAGTAACGCCTATAAAATAAGCGGCTATTGGTGCCTTGTAGAGCAAAAAATTCTCTTTCTAATGGTATATAGGACACATCAAAAAAGTTAGGAATTCCGTACGAAAATTGAGCTCGAAAATACGCAGAGACTTACGTTCCAACCCAATAGGTGCCCTAACCAGCTGCTTGGGTGATGATTGCCCCTATCACCATTATGACATTGCCTCGGAAGCCTATGAAGGAGCTATTCCCGAGACGGTGGGTTAGCAAAATCCTCTACGTAATCCCGTTTGGAATTAAGAACATTAAATTAGCTTGCATTGTATTTTTCCCTACTGTAGTATTTTCATTTTTTTCCTAGCCAGAGTTTGATAATTCCGCGGTTTTTCTAGGTCACCTTCCACCGGGATGATTTTATTGCCGAAATCCCGATCGAGCGATCACCGGCAGAATATAGCGACGATATCTCGGCTTGCCTCGGCGGCATGCACTGGTTCGTCAACCTTGAGCAAGGATCTCATCAAAAACCCTGCATCTTTGATGTTTGCGATCATTTGAGAGCCTGCTTCAGGTACAACGACTGGCCGCGCCTAATATTTTACGTGGAAATGGTTCGCCGTAACGGCATCTCACGAATTCTTGTGCCCTGGCAAGTTATGTCCCCAGAAGTGAAGGCAGTCATCGATTATTATCAGCAGAAAGGGATCATCGACCTGCACCCATGGCCGCTCATGCCTTTTGGCAAAAAAGTAAGGAAACTTTTCCCGACGGTTCTCGATCACCAGAGGAGACATTAGTACCCACGTGGGAAAAACAATAATATTAAGTTAATAACTGTATCTACGTTTATACATATTTTTTCCGCTGGTTTAGCACGACCCAAACAAGCTAGTCTTCTACAACGCACAGTGGCTGCTAACTCAATACTGCAATTTCTGGACGAAGAGCAAGTACACTTACCTCTCTGACGTTGATGAGATGTTGTATGTAAGGTGAGATTAATCTGTGTCATGGTGACGATTGGGGGTATCTCCTTATAGCGTTACCAAGAAGAAAAAAATTCCATGTCGCAGTCTAACTAGACTACTGTCTCTGTGAAAATCTCATTCGTAGATGAGACTTCTGTGCCCTAGTTGGTTAATCAGTTTTGTAAAACTAACTATACTCTAAAACTCTTTGCTTTGCTTCTAAAATACAGAAAACATCGTTGAATCTTCAGTCTCAACGATTTCAGGGATCGTAACTGGACGCTGTACGAGTTATTAGAAAGCTGGTCGCGGAATGCTTCAGATCTTGGTAAAATAACTTTTTTATAAAACAAGCAGACGTTGTTAGGTGGCTTCAATTTCCCCCATACTCCATTGTCGCTGGATCTGGCCCAGGAACCGTTTGATTACGAAAAATTCTTGGAATTGGAGCCTTTGAGAATGCGGCCACGAACCGTTGTGGATGACTGGAGATTTCCAAAGGTAAAAAGCGGGGCAAAAATTCATTTATTTTCTCTTTACTTGCACGTGATTGGTGAATTTGGCAAAGGTTATGAACATCTTTGTTAAAGGAAGTTTTTAATTCAGTCCGTATGGATCACCGAACACACGATGGTGTCATGGGTGCACTACGCGACCGAATTTTTCGCCGACAAAAGGAACTATGACGTCGGTTTATTGGCTAGTTTTTAGAAATAATGAAATCGCAAATATTGCTTATCTTGTCGTTAAGATCCCGGCCGAAGAGGCTCTGGACCTGCACATGCGCAACGACTTCATCGGCAGGAACTATACTGACCTGTACCCGGACGTGCAGATCTTTTCCGAGGTGCCCTAGCCATCCTTTAGCAAAAGTGCTCCTAGGAGGAGGTCGAGGGGGAACTGTCCAGGATCCGCGGAATCATCCGGGAAATTTTTCGCGACTTGAGGCCGAATTATCGCACCCCGGCAGTGCACGCAGCGATGGAGAAGTGCCGATATTTGCAAGTTCTATTCAGACTTTAATGAATCCGCTTTAGACCAGGGAAACCGTGCGACGACTCTGGGGTGGGCTGCTGGGAGTTACTCTCCAGGGTCGACGACTGGATCTACGCGTCACCAACGCCGGAAAGCTTTTACATTCCGGTTTAATATGCTTGTATTTTGTATTTGGAAGGCGATAGAGCGCTTTGGTATTGCTTAGAAGCGCTTACCCAATTACTTTTTAAAGTATTGTCGACATGCTATTGAAAATACACAGACCAAAGACCACCTCGCATTCAAAAATCTACAATATAAATAATTTTTCATGCGACAGCAGCGTACGTATTAACATAAATAAGGTATATTCAGTCTGAATGAAGAATTGCGCATCTCAACATTCCGTCTGCCCAGCTCTTTCGTCATAGTTGTCGAAGCGATTCCGATCGTCGACTGCCGTGCTAAATAAAATTAATGAAACGAAATAAATAGAAAACAAAAACAAATTAAGTAAATAAGAAACATTCAATTACAGACAGTATTTTAACGAAAAACGAGCAAAACAAATGAACTTACTATTGAAATTACCGCAGCAGAAGTTCTCGGCGAAAATTTTCATAGTGTAGCGTCGATAGTACTTGCTGGTACACAGTGTTATCACGGAGCAGCTAACGCATTGCGCGCTATACACAAGTTGCGCGAATCTCCCTAAATCTTGATGTTTTTTGAAGCTGGAAAATTCACCCACAAGCTTCCGGGAATTTCGGGCTTACGTAGAAGAATATGATTACGAGTAGCGGCAGGTAGGTGTGGACGGCGTTGACGAGGACCTGAAAAGGTATGATTTCACATTAAATTAATGTCCTAAAATATGAAACGCTAGTTCTTGGAAACCGATTATAAAATATAGTTATTTTGTAGCCTGAGAAATCAACAAATTCAAATTCAGTCGCATGACAGGTGTTTTATGCCAGAAAAAGGATGCATGATGCATCAAAGCGCTTGTTCAAGCTAAATCTAGTTGCGAAATATCCAGGCAAAAAGAGAGAGAGAGAGGGAGAGAGAGAGAGCGAGACAGAGATAGTGAGAGACGCAAAGCTCCATGGCTTTCATGGGTTCTTGAAAAATTTGGTGCTTTTTGAAACATCGTTGTAAAATAACGTTTTGAGCTGAAGTGTTACGGGAAGATTAAATTTCACCATAAAAATTACCTGCGTGCCCATCGAATACAACAACGCCAACGACAGCTCGCGCAATTTTTTATGCATATTTGGCTGATTCACGATTAGCCAATAGGCATGACCAACCAGAAAAAATAAGATACCTAGCCCGGCCGTATAGATTGGTCTGGAAAGTATTGAACTTTATTAAATTTTTTCTGATTTTTTTATGCGGGATAATAATTATATCATGCTAACAGTTCAGATTATCATGGCGCGGCAGTGTTGTAACAAAAAAACCTACAAAATAATCACCGAAAATCGAAATAAATCGACAGTAGCGCACGGCGCCTGCGACGTCGAAATGTAATTCCAGTCTTCAAGGGCGCTCAGGTTTAGGTCACGCTACAAAATGTAGCTCCAGGATTATTCTATCCAAATTTTTAAATCAGGATTAGCTTAGAAAACATTTTGTTCGTTGCACTACCTACCGGATCCGTAACCTTTGCCAGCGTCGCGAAATAAACTCCCATAAGAAGTGTTGACGTGGGTGTGAGAGTCCAGAGTAGGACCTTGTTACGATATGATAAGTGGAAAATGGACCCGATGCGGACTGTAGCCTGAAGTCGCGATTTTTGTCTTCGAATTAAAGAAATAATTTGGCTTAAATGCAGTTTACCCTTCCGTCGATCCCCACCTAACGTATCTTGGCTCGCTGTTCATCTATGGGTGTGTAAGGTATACCAAAATGTTTGCCTTGCTCTCGAGAGTATTTTGGTATACTGTACATACTTGTTGATGAACAGCGGGCGGAGATACGGTGGGTGGAAGGCGCCTGGGGGGGGACTGCACTCTAACCAATAATTTGATTTAGTGGCTGAATTGACTTTGTAAAGCTAATTAAAAGCTACAGCTAAAGCTTTTCATAACTTAAAACCATTCGGACCTCGTTAATTTTCCGCATTACCTGATGTCGATAAAATATTGCAGAGCTCATCGATCCCACAGTGAATAGCGTACCCGCAAAAATCGAAAACTATAAAATTGAATCCGTAGAACAGCTCTTTTCAGAAAGGACCTACCAAAGCCACTTGATGGTTGCGGTCCGGACTATAGTGAAATATTGAGCGTAGCGCCTCGGTAGCCCGGTACCATAGACCCTGTTCGTTGCAAAAATAGGGATGCTCGACACCCGCCACCACGAAATTTGGCGCAAACCAGGCCCATGTCAGCACCGAGTGCAGCGTGGCTAGCTGAAAGGTTTTCGACTTCAGTTAAACTGTTGAAATGAACGCTTGAACTTAACAGATTTGCTTTCGTCATGTACAGGGTGGCCCAAAAAAACCCCCCCTCGGCATTTGGCCGTCTTCTATCGGATCGGGGCCAAATCTTTACCAGTGATGGGGACCCATAAAAACTATGTGCAGCCAAATTTTCTAAGCAAAATATTGTAAAACCAAAAAGTTATCGCTAAAAAACTGATTTTTTTTGGAAAAAGCTGGTACTCGTTTTTCGCTATGTTTTCGCAATTAGCATGCGGATTTTGAGTAATTTTCCAAAAAATGGTCATTTCTCGGTCAGTTTCTGGCAATTTCGATAATAAAAAGTGATCAAAAGGCCCAATTTAAACGTAATTTTTGTAAATCAAAAAATTTCTACAGGTAGAAAAGAGTGTCCTCTTCATTTTTGCTAAACATTTCGAGGCCGAATTCCGTCAAAATCCTAGTGAAATCGGCAAAATAAACCTTAATTTCGATATATCTTCTTTGTTTTACAATATTTTGCTTAGAAAATTCGGCTGCACATAGTTTTTATGGGTCCACATCACTGGTAAAAATTTGGTCCCGATTGGATGGAAGACGGCCAGATGCCGAGGGGGGGGTTTTTTTTGGGACACCCTGTATTTGAGCTAGGAAAATCCCTACGCAATTTGATTTTTAATGGCTTTTAAACAAAATGCATCAAAAGTGAAGGATTTTAGATTATCGAAATTGTTAAAGCTGTCCCAGTAAAACTAAAAACTACTAAAAAAAACTAAAAAAGCGCACTGTAAAACGCTAAAATCTTATTTTAGGCCTCTGTAATTTGAGATTAAAGAGAAATTAAGTCTCAAAGGGATTCATGTTTTGAAACATGTTAGATATAGGTTTTCGGCCCTTCCGAACACGATGAACATGGTTTTGAAATCCGAGAATTACCCCGGAAAAGTTTGTTTTTACCAAATTTTTTGAAACCGAAATTTGACCACTAAAAGCAAATTTTCAGCCTGTGGTTTTCGAACACCAAATGATTTCCCGAGGAGACATATTTTTGGTAAAGGTTGCTTAACCGGGGGAGCGGGGTGGAAACCTGTTTTTCCCTATAGACCTGTTGCCGATTCAAGCATGCCATCGGATAAAGCGTCGAAAAATATACAGGGTGGCCCGAAAGAGTGGTGACCGAAACTTTTTCGATTTTCTGAAAAACTAGAGATCGAGGAAGGCTCATTTTAGCATATTATATTCCTTAAACAATTATCTTCCACATGGTATAACCACTTTGTTATTTGTTTGCCTCAAACTCGGAAGAACTGGCGGGGAAGCGGATGGAAAACGGAGGTGCTGGCACGCAGGCACTCAGCCCAAATTTGGCTCATAACTCGACGAAGACTTTCCCGAGCGTACCCAAAATTGAATCGGGAGTAGCCAACACTTTGGTCTTTCAGACCGGCTACACAAAAAAATTCTGCGGATTCGGGTTGGGGCTGCAGAATCGCTCTTTTGGCGAGCCAAAAACGGTTTGGTCAAAACCCTTAATAACGGGCCTCAGACACTTGACCAAGTTGGAGGGTTCTGAGCCATGGCTGCACCACGGGCTTCACCGGAAACGTCAGGCACGCTCGTCAAAGAGATGGAAAAGGCATCGTTAAGTATTTTCATCCACAGGAATTTATTTTAGATTTTGTCGATTTCAAAAAAATACATGACTTTGAATTATGGAATTAAATTCCTAATGTAAAAGCTAGACTGCGTTGTGCGCTGAGAGTATGCTCAAATTTAGCCAACATCTATAGGAAACAGAAGCCATAACCCCGCCTTGCCCGCACCCATAAGAGAACAGAGAAATTCTGCGTGCAAGCTGCGGTCACCACTCTTTCGGGCCGCCCTGTACCAAGAGAATTAATTTCAGCCCGAAATTTAAATTAGTGATTAAAGCAACAAATGCAGCGGCTGGCCGGCCATGACGCATTAAATAACCATAAATGACCGTAATTTTCGGTATTTTTAGCTGTTTTAGCGGGATTTCATGAATGCCATCGGATAGAGCGTCAAAAAATATACTACGGGATTTAGGCCGAAATAATGAATTATAAATTAGTTTTTAAAAAAACAAAGGCCAGGGCTGGCCGTGACAATATAACCATAATGTGATCATCATTTTCGGCGTTTTGAGCTTTTTTTCCCCGGGATTTCATTAGTGCCATCGGATAGAGTGCCGGAAATTATACTAAGAGTTTTAATTTCAGTTCATAGTCCACAATTTAAAATTAGTACTTTATTAGGCTAAAAAATTTAATTAATTAAAGATCGTTAAAAATGAAGTTTTTGGACTGAAATTAAATATCTTAGTATCATTATGTAATTATTTTCGACGCTCTATCCGATGGCGATTTCAAAATCGCAGTAATTCATTATAAATACAAAAATTGTTTTCACCCCGTTATTTGTTTCCCCGCCCCCGCCCCCCCCCCCTCCGTTAAGCAACCTTTACCATCTTTTTGACTGCTACTGTAGTTCCCGGCTCGCTAGGCTGGCACCATTTAATGATTAGCATCACTCCCTCCCAAAATTATTACGACACTTATTGGCGAAGTCAAGGTGTGTATCGCTTACTTCCACCAAAATCAATAGCCGCGAATATACGACTGATCTTGGCGGCGTAGCTCGAATAATCACGAAAATCACGAAAACCGCCAACAGACAGGACGTTGCTGCCAGTATATGCAGAGATATATGCGTTACAATTGTTTGCACCGAATTCTCCATTTTACGGGCGCTTTTAAAGACTACGACATATGGAGAAACGATACAGATATTCGACCAGCCTTCGCTAATCTACTGGACGCTCCAGGTGCTGTTAAATTGTTTGCGTCCTCCCTGCGAATGCACCTGTTGCGAAAAACTGGAGTTGCTGACGAGAAGTCGTTGTATCGAATGGCATTTTTTAGCATTCTTCTAACAAGGGAGGGGCACGCTCACAGGGTGGAGTTTCGAAAAACGCTCGCGGCTACCCCCGGGTAATCGACTACGGAGAACACGATGCCGCTGTCCGATTTTGTTACGGAGGCCTGTGGACAGAGATACAGCACTTCCGGAAAATGATGATTTGCATGCGAAAAAGTAGCATTGCGGGGAAGCCTTATTCAGGGTTCCTCATTTTCCGGAAGTGCTGTATCCCTGTCCACAGGCCTCCGTAGCAAAATCGGACAGCAGCATCGTGTTTTCCGTAATCGATTACCCGGGGGTAGCCGCGAGCGTTTTTCGAAACTCCACCCTGTGAGCGTGCCCTTCCCTAAGTACATGCATTTTTCGGTAGACGGTCAATTTTTAGAGCGTACTGATTAGAAGGGGAGCCTATAGTATGACTTCAAATGGGAACCTGGAAAGTGACTAAAGATTACGAACTACAAAAATTCGTTGAAACTTAAACTTAAACTCCAACTTCAAAATCCATCCTTCCAGGACAGCTGATGGCTTGCAAAAGTTACATTTTGGGTTCATTTTTGTCTTTGATTCGAATTTGTCGTAGCCACACGAAAATGTTCATACTGTACCACCACTGCTTACTGTACATTTTGGGTTGGATGATCACGGCGTCAATTTTTTAGGTGACATCCTGATATATGGTATTTATTCCTGCTTATCCGAAATTTTTATAAAAACCTTTAGGCTGCGCATAATTTCCAATCCTGGTCGCATTTGGTATCGGCTGGACACTTTGAGCACGCCGGGCCCTCTGCGTACACCTGCTTGCCGGGGATGAGGTTTCTAAATTTTTCATTTTGCATAATCCAAATCGCTCTCACTCTCTCTCTCTCTCTCTCTCTCTCTCTCTCTCTCTCTCTCTCTCTCTCTCTCTCCCCCCCTCCTCTCTCTCTCTCTCTCTCTCTCTCTCTCTCTCTCTCTCTCGCCTCACTCTCCTTCTTTCTATCTCTCTCGCCTCTCTCCCTCTCTCTCTCTCTCTCTCTCCTTCTCTCTTCCTCGCTCTCCCTCTACCTAAGACTTCTAGCACTTTTCCTCACCTTGGCCCCATCATGCAAATGAAGTACACCTGTTGTTTTACTTGTAAAAAGACGCATCCGATCTTTCTTAGCCCCTCGTCCAGCATCTGGAAGCATAATTTCTGACTACTTAAAGTTCCGGAAAAAAGTTGAATGAAATTATGCTCACCACATAATTTCGGTCTCTATTAATGCGTTCGTTCATCTTGTCGCTATCTCCAGGATGGTAGTGGTTGTCGACGATGCCGGCCAGTTGGTGCCACTGATTCCAATCTTGCCATGCAAAATCCACTAAAAAAATTAGGCTTGATATGCGAGAGAGAGAGAGAGTGAGAGAGAGAGAAAGGGAGAGAGAGTGAGTGAGAGTCAGGGAGAGAGATACACAGCGAGCGAGAGAGAGTGCGGGAGAGAGATACAGAGCGAGAGCGAGGGAGAGTTAGGGAGAGAAAAAACTCATTCATAAGTCCTGCAAAAAGCTTACCCAATTGAGAATCCGTAACCCGTGGAACCTCCGCCGGCCAGGGCTCTGGAAAGATGACCGTGTAGTTTAGTGTCGAAACGTCGTCAAGAAGTGCAAGGGTGAAGTTCAGCTTCGGATCGTAGCTCTCGGCCATTTCGGCTGCTAATTTTTCCATTACTGGGTCGTAGGTCTAGCAAAAATTATTTAAAAATTCAAGTCTTCTACAAATACCCACCATTTTACACATTCCTGCCGCTTTAGCATAATCCAATGGCGCAAATGGTGGTCCCTGATAGGTATCGCTAAAATTTGGACATTTCAGGTATGAATTAAAATTGACAAAATCACCAAATCGAGATGGCGTATCCCTATAAATTAGTAGAATGTCATTAATGTTTAATTAACACATTTAAGAACAGTATAAAATTTTGAATAAATAGGTTAATTTCTTACTTGTACCGACTATTCTTCGGGTCGCTAAACGACAGCTCCAAATCCCGCTTGGTCCCCTGGGCCACCTCGCTGCGAAAGAGATTCATGTACTAAATTATATTTTTTTTCTGTAAAGTTAAGGTATGTTACAAACGTATTTAATAGAATTATAAAGATTCACTTACGCCGGTAATTTTGCGCTTGTCGTCATCGGAGAGCCGTCGAATCTCATTGCCAAATGTCACTGAAATGCAAAAATCTGTTTCATTAAGAGTACGAAATCTACGTATAAACTACCGTTTTGCTTAAGAGATATTGAAACTCACGTAAAAAAAACTGTAAATCAATTTCGCGGTTTCAGAGGATTTTTTGCTTGGTAATTTCGCTTTCAACAAAAAATCTCCGGAATTTCCTTTTTCAACCTAACGCTTTGCTTCATAATTCAGTAAAGCGAGGTATTAGATACCTGAAGTATACAAAAACAGTAGCAATACGTGCATATTTAGCTATGGCTTGGCTGGATTGGAAGTTAGAGATTTTCAGCCGATATCAATAAGTGTAGCCGTGACCATGTTCGACAAAATATCCTGCCCCCATTCAAGGCCATTTCCCCCGTCCACCCCAAAATTGAAATTGGTGATCGGATCGAAAGTTCAGCTCGGACAAAAAAAATCATGCGAAGAAAATTATGACTTAACGAATTGTGGCTTCAAAGAACTCTTCAATTATCACTTTATCGAGGAAAATGTAAAGCGTTAAATTCCGTACTGATTTCACGGGAGTCTGTGGCAAAGTGTGGCCTATAGTGGGTGAACAGGAGAGTGCGGGCTTTTTGGTTGAGGTTTTTCTGGCTGATACCTTCATTTTTCCCTAGCAGCCCGAATTTGTTATAAAATCTAATTAAAGGTACACTAAAGTCTCGTTGGTTTGGTTACCGGCCGGTAACCGTCCGCAGGTTTGCAAACAGGGTTACGGTAGGCGCTCGCCGCGGAGCAAAACCGAACCACTAGGCCAAGAGAGAGACGGGAAGGGGGAAGGGGGAGAGGCGATAAGAAGGGGCCGGCTTAGCTGCGGCAGAGAGCCCAAATTTACTACCGCGACCGAACTTTTTGAACGAGATTTTAGTGTACCTTTAATGGCCCGCTGCTTTCTGCGATCTGCCTAAATAAGAAACTAGGTTCCGATATGAGCGAGAAAAGTATGTATGTGTGTTTTCCGTACAGCCGATTTCTCGGCCGCCAGGCCGGATTTCGCGCTAATTATTGGCATGGAGGTGAAGAAATGCATTTGCCAGACACGCAGTTTTTTGTTTTGCAAAGGTCTTTCATTTAACAATTTTACAAGCAAAATAGCAAAAATCCTTAACAAAACGGGCGACGAACCGTGGATCGCGCGCATCTTATTATTTTTACAAATTTTCAATGAATTCCTCAGAAAAATACAATTTTGGTGACTTTTGGCACGCGACGGTCTCTCCGGTTGGGCACTCTATTCTAGCAACAAACATAGTTCAGCAACAAACATACAGGGTGTCCCAAAAAAAGAACCATTTGGCATTTCGCCGTATTACATCCAATCCGTCCCAAATTTGGACCAGAGGTGTATCAGACCCTAAATAACCACAATCCTGACTTTTAGCCCGGTAGCTATAGTGGATCTCGAGTTATAGCAAAAACAAACTTTATTTTCGATTTTTCATAGGGTTTTCGTGGAATTAGACCCCCTAAACATTAAGTGAAAATGATCCGCTAGGCCTTCTTTACCTTACGAAATTTCTTTCCGGGCTAAAATTGATCAAATAAGCTTTGATTTAGGCTATTTTTACAACTCAAAATCACCCCCGAGATTAAGCGAAATTAGGGATCAGCAGCCGGAAGTCGATGCAGATCTATGCAAAGTCCAAAAAGATAGCCGGGAAAACTGTTTGGAATTCCGGGAAAAACAGTATTTATGGTATAACTCGAGAACTACTGTAGCTACAGGGCTATAAGTTTAGGTATTGTTGTTGTTATTTAGGGTCCGAAGCACTTCTGCTCCAAATTTGGGACCGATTGGATGTAACACGGCGAAATGCCAGATGGTTCGTTTTTTTTGGGACTCCCTGTATTTCTTGGCTCTCGGTGTGCGTGGCTTACGCCTGACCCTTGTTCTAGCGCCGCAGGCCATAGAAAGTTACAAGGTGCACCCTGCTTACAAGGTGATGTTTGCACTGGGTAAGCGAGTCTCTCTCTCTCTCGCTTTCCCTTTCTCTCTTACTCTCTCTCGCTCTTAATCCCCTATCGAGATATCCTCCGGACAGACAAACGGAAGCACATGCAAGGTGGCACACACAGACACTATTTTTTAAATATAGTGGGATAATCGCATTTCTTGGCTACGGTAGCGAACTCGGATTTTTCTGGCTTTCTTATTTCTTTAAGCTTAAGGTACTTTCTGTGTTCAAAATACCAGAAATGTGGCACCTTCGTTTCATAACTGGTAATTTTCACAAATCATCTTGAACCGGTTGCTTTTCCCGCACACCAAGTACAAGACGGGCAACCCGGTGCCCTTTAAAAACGAAGAATCTCCAAAAACAAAATTATATTTTGGTCTTCATCTCCCTGGGGAACCCGCCGGCCGAGACATCATCCCTTAAAAAGACCAAGACCAACATGTCCTCAGTTAAATTCCGGTCCGCCGACCGTACTTCGGAGACCTCCAGGGAGTCGAAAACCAGACAAAACCAATTTTCTTTCTGGTCGGAAATCCAGCACGTTCCGAGAAACAGGACAACGGCAAAAAGACGAGGTTTTAGGAAACAATGTCCAGGGACTTATGAAAATCACGGATTCGTAGTCGAAACACGTTGCGGGTTCCGGGAAATTGTTAAAACTCCGGTTTATTTCTTAAAAAGTATCACAATATAAGATCTTGAACTCGAGTTTAGATTAAAGGAGCGCATTAAAGCGCACGTTCAGGGAGGGGCCGTGTACTCGTCCCAACGTATACACCCTATGGACGTAGGAGCCGCGTGCACTGCCTGCCCGTGGCGTGGCAGGCAATTTCTCCCCTTTGCGGCGTGGGGCGCCCCTGACCCTTCCGCCAGGTTGTAGCTGTGGCTTACTGGTATCCATACGCGCCTCCCGAGCGGGGGGCCCGGGTTCGACCCCCGGCCGCGGCAAAAGTCTTTGCTTTTTTCCAAAAAAACGTCCCTGAACGTGCCGCGCGCAAACAGCTCTGTAGCGCGCAGCTAACGATAGCATCAATGCATTATTTCTTAAGCAATGAAATAGCGAGCCCGCGCTGCGTTTCGCTGTCATCGTCATTTGGAGCACGTGCCGTTTCGTTAAAATTACCTACTATAATACCACTGAAATTTTTAGTCCGAACAGAAAGAATTTAAATCCATCTTTATCTTTTTTTTTCGATATACCAGAGATCTAACAGACTTTTGGAAGTTTTTCGAAGTTTAGCCCCTCCGTTTCAAACCTAAATTTAGAACCGTCCATTCCGATTCCACCTTCTGATTTGTGATTATTCTATTCTACCCCCAATTTTTTAAAATTTTCGGACCAAACGCGATCCCCGGGGACCCACATCGAATTTCTGGAGCCAACCGATAAAACATAGTCGGATAAGACTAATTGCCGCGATTCTTTACTTGTTATTTCGGATTCGCGAAAAAGTAAAAATTCAGCGCACCCTCGGAAATCATTTCCGTTTTTTCTTTGGATCCAACGTGATTCCGGACAACGATGAACAACTATTTCATCTATGGCTCGCTGGAGGATACGCCGAAATATTCGTGTCGGTATGGTTAATTCTCTAACTCTTTCTGTCCCGCTATCTCTCTCTCTCTCACTCTATCTCGCTCTATTTTTGCGTAATATATTAGCCATACCTTAGCAATGCTACGCCCGAACCTCGAAATCCGAATCTACCGTTGGGAGTCTTCTACATCGTGACCGGCTTCGTCGTGCAGGTGATTTTTTTCTCTCGCTGTCGCTGTTTGTCCTTCTTTCTTTCTGGCCCACTCTTCCGCTCTCTCTCTCTCTCTCTCTCTCTCTCTCTCTCTCTCTCTCTCTCTCTCTCTCTCTCTCTCTCTCTCTTTTCTCTCTCTGTCTCTCTCTCTGTCTCTCTCTGTCTCTCTCTCTCTCTGTCTCTCTCTCTCCCTCTCTCTCTCTTATTCTCTCTCTCTCTCTCTCTCTCTCTCTCTCTCTCTCTCTCTCTCTCTCTCTCTCTTTCTCTCTCTCTCTCTCTCCTCTCTCTCTCTCTCTCTCTCTCTCTCTCTCTCTCTCTCTCTCTCTCTCTCTCTCTCCTTCTAACTTTTCGATTCCAGCTCGCCTATCTTGCGTCCCTCCTCGGTATCGGCCGCAAAGAGAACATACAGTATCCTGCCTACAAGCTCATGTTCGCGCTGGGTATGGTAGCAAAATTGATTTTAAAAGGACGCTGACTCCTAATGAGGTTAAATACGTAATTTTAGCCATATTCGATCTAATGAATATATTTGATTGTGGGTATTGGATGGGCTACTTTACCATCTATGGTTTCCATTTTTGCGATAGACCAACGGAGATTTATTTAACCGGATTGTACTGTGAACGTACGTTTATATTAAATCGAAAATTTCACAAACGATAAACACAACACAAAGCATGGCAAAATCGTCTCTTTTAGTTTTCTATAACTCGGCGTCATTAACTTCCGTGTCCCTGCTTTTCAATCGTCTCCTCGATGTGGCTGAATGTCGTTATCGTGATTTGCTGTTCAAGGTACATTCTTTCGCTCGCTCTCTCTCTCTCTCTCTCTCTCTCTCTCTCTCTCTCTGTCTGTCTGCATCTCTGTGTCTCTCTCCTGCTCACTTATCACGTTTAGGGGAAATCCATCTACCTCTTCATTCTGGTTCCCTTTGCTATCGGTCTCTATTTCGCTGGGTTTGAGCACCCAGTCGTCTTCAACCCAGACTATGGTACTTTCATCTTCGTCCCACTGATCCCAGGGAATATGGACCATGAGGTAAATCCTTTCCTGCTTAATGTATCCCTCTTTCAGTACAACTTCGACCGTCAAACCTGGCTAAATATGTTCGTGTGCGTCTCGCTGGGCACGTTTAGCTGCCTGATCTATGTGATTCAATGGCGAAAGGAGAAGCTGATGAGCATCAAGATGGGGTCATACAGGAAGCAGGTAAGAGAGAGAAAGAGAGGGAGTGAGAACAGCAAGAGAGAGAGAGAGAGAGATAAACCCGCAGGGCCTTTCTAGGTGCTTCGTCAAGCCATCCTCGTGTCTTTCTTCGTCTTCACGAGCTCGCTAATTTGGACGATGCTCGTCTTCATCCCACCCGGAGCATTTGCTATGGCCATGATGCACATTGGGCATATCTCGTGGATGTTGATGCATAGTAAGGCACTAGCTCTCTCTATCGCGCTCTCGCTCTCTCCCTCGCTCTCTCTTTCTCCTTTCTCTCTCTCGCTCGCTCTCACACACTCTCGTCTTCGTTCCCTCTCTCCCCTGCTGGCTCTCTCTAATTGGAAAGCAATCCAGCATACACCATTTGTGGAATTTCAGGCACCCCGGCTCTAATCTACCTGAGCTTCAACGAAACGATACGTAGCAACGTTCGTCGTCTCAGCAGGATGGCACCCACTTCCCGAATCTGCCATACAAGCACTGGAGGAGCCGGAGGACCAGAGATCCCAGCTCCAAATGGTCCCGCAATGCCCGCATGATCCTCTTAATGCATCCGATTATCCTACTCTTCCGTAATTCATATAAAAACCAAAAATAAATATTTTATTCAAAAGGCAGCCAAAAAACAAATTTTCCTTTTTTGTGATTTTTGAGAGTCTGGTAGTCCAATTTTGAGCCCTAACTACATCGTTCCTGCGCCCAGGACTAGACTCTACCGCAATAGATACGCACCAACCTTAAAAATGTTTAGACTCGCGATCTTGTTTTCTTGCACGCAGCTTCACAACTACGTCCGGATCTTTGAAATATCCTCTAGAGACCAAAGCATGCTTGTTTTCGTCTAGCGGACGCAATCTAGTAATTTGTTATTCCCCCATTTGAACAATTTGGGCTCTTCCTGGCCAATATCTAAGCTACTCAATCTTCAGTCTAGCGTCTAGCCCTTCCTGAACCTGAAAACGCCGAATTTTCTCTAGATGAACAACTACATCCTAAATGGCTCGCTGGAGGATACGCCGAAATATTCGTGCCGGTAGATTAACCAGTTTTTGGGAGAGTCTCACCGTAGCAATAGAAAATAGGAAACCAAGCTGTTTAGAAATGCAACATCTGAACCTCAAAGTCCAAACGCGCCCCTTGGTATATTCTACATTGTGGCTGGCGTTGTCGTGCAGGTACTACTGTTCTCTCTCTCACGCTCTCGCTCTCACTCTCTCTCACGCTCTCGCTCTCACTCTCAATCTCTCTCTCTCTCGCTCTCTCTATCTCTCTCTCTGGCGCTCTCGAACCATTCGATTCTAGCTCGCCTATCTAACCTCCCTCCTCGGCATTGGCCGAAAAGAGAACATACAGTATCCTGCCTACAAGCTCATGTTTGCATTGGGTACAGCTTGGTAGTCATTCCGAAACTTATTAGTTTCAGCCATATTCGATCTTTTAAACATTCTTGTTTGTGGATATTGGATGGGATATTTTACGATTTACGGCTTTCATTTTTGCGATCGACCGACTGAGATATACCTCACCGGCGTTTACTGTTGTTGTAAGTAGGACCCAAACGTACTAAACTAAAGAATCCTAAGTATTCTTTAATGCCACTTGCCTTACTTCCGTCTCTCTACTTTTTAATCGGCTGCTTGATGTGGCTGAATTCCGATGGCGGGATGTGTTGTTTAAGGTAGTTTTCAACCGCCGCCTCACTTGCTCTCTCTCTCTCTCCCTCTCTCTCGATCTCTCTCATACCTAAATTCAGGGCAACGCTATCTACCTCTTCATCTTTGGTCCATTCCTCGTTGGGCTCTACTTTTGCACATTTGAGACCCCGGTACTATTCAATCCTGATTACGGAACCGTCATCTTCTATCCTATGATACCTGGTAATATGGATCATGAGGTAAGCGTTTCACTGGCCGCCAAAATACGAGTTAAGTATAACTTCGACCACCAGGTGTACCTCAACAATTTCGTTGCCTTTTCGCTGGGAGTTTGTAGCATTTTGATTTATGTAATTCAATGGCGTAAAGAAAAGATGATGGGCGTGAAGATGGGATCGTATCGGCAACAGGTTGGAGAAATAGAGATAGAACGAGAGAGAGCGAGAGAGAGAGAGAGAGAGAGAGAGAGAGAGAGAGAGAATGAAAAAGAGAGAGAACGGAAGAGAGAGAGAATGAAGGAGAGAGAGAGAGAGCAAGAGAGAGCGGGAGAGAGAGTGTGTGAGAGAGAATGAAAGCAAGCGAGAGATCGAGTGGACCCCTTCAGATCCTCCGCCAAGCCATTCTCGTCTCGATGTTCGTCTTCACCACCACGCTAATTTGGAGCATGCTCGCCATCATCCCTCCGGGTCCACTTGCGATGGCAATGATGCATATTGGGCATATTTCGTGGATGTTGATGCATAGTACGACTTCTCTAGATCCTCTCTCTTCCTTTCTCTCTTCCTCTCTCTCTCTCTCTCTCTCCCTCTCTCTCTATCACTCTCTCTCTCGCTCTCCCTCTCTCTCACCCTCTTTCTCACTCTCGCCCCCCTTGTGATCTGCCTGCATTATCAAAGCGAACTAGCAAACACCATTTGGGATTTTAGGCACGCCTGCCCTGGTATATCTGAGTTTCAACGTGACGATCCGTAACCACGTTCGTCGGACCCTTGGAATTCGCGGCACGTCTCGAATTTACCATTCCGGAAGCGGAGCCGTCGGATCGGACAATCTGACATAATTCACCCATTTTTGCACCCTTGGCATTTATAACTTTGCAAAAACTTTGAGAATAAAGATGTAATCAATTTTTGTGCTATGTGTCACTACGCGCCTGCAAGTTAAAAAAGGCTTAAGTGGGCGTAATGAAGAGAAAATATTTTTTCCATTCTCGCCTGTCTCTCGGTGGGTTTCTCTCACTCACGCTCTCTCTCACCCTGATTCTCTCTCCCTCGTGTTTAGGGTTAACACTTTGTTTAGGTGATATAACTTTGTCCGTTGCTGTGGAAAGAAAATGGTAATCGCAAATATCACCAGAGGTAACGGTTTAGTCGCGAGTGCTGTTTTGTTGTCATAATTTTCCAACCGATCCAACTCCCTAGGGCGCCAACGCACCCTATTTTGTCTTTCACTTTTTCGTATCACCATGACATTGACAAGTACAATTAGTTCGCCTCGAAGCTTCATGATTATCGGCAAACAAGCCGTTTCTTCACCACCACAAAGCTGTTTTTTGATATATTTTAAAAGGTAATCGATATGAATAACTACTTCAAATATGGCTCGCTGGAGGATACACCAAAATACTCGTGTCGGTACGTTGAGAAGCGTTTGAAGTTATAGGGTTCTCTCTTCTCTCTCCTCTCTCTCTGTCCCTCTATCTTTCTACCTTTCGCTCTCTCTCTCTCTTTCTCGCTCTCTTTCTCTTACTCCTTTTCAAATGTAAACAAATTTTAGAAATACCACGCTCCAAGCCGCAACGCCAAACGTACCGCTTGGTATTTTTTACATCGTCGCTGGCTTCACCGTGCAGGTCGGCTATCTGATCTCCCTACTAGGGATCAGCCGAAAGGAGAACATACAGTACCCCGCCTACAAGCTCATGTTTGGATTGGGTACGATGGATTTTGTATGTTATGGAAAATTGAAGAAATTCCAGCCGTATACGATCTGCTCAACATTTTTGTTTGTGGCTATTGGATGGGATACTTTACGATTTATGGTTTTCACTTTTGCGATAAGCCGACGCTCATTTTTTGGACCGGGCTGTACTGTGGACGTATGAAAACTCATAATGGAGCCAAAATCAAATTCGTAGTTTTCTTTATCGCGACCTGCCTGACATCTGTGTCCCTACTTTTCAATCGTCTACTTGACATGGCGGAGTGTAGAGGGCGAGTTTTGTTATTTAAGGTAAGGTTTCTGCCGTTATTCTCTCTTCCTTGTTTTTTATTTCTCGCTCTCGCTCTCTCTCTCGCTCTCTCTCTCTCTCGTTCTCTCTCTCCCTCTCGCTCTCCCTCTCTCGCTCTCTCTTTCTCTCTTTCTCTCTCTGTCTCTCTCTCTCACCCTCTCTGTATCATTCCCTCTAAATTTCAGGGCAAAGCCATCTACCTCTTCATCTTTGTCCCATTCCTCGTTGGCCTCGTTTTCTCGACCTTCGAAACCCCAGTCCTTTTCAATCCTGACTACGGTACCGTCATCTTCCACCCCTTGATTCCCGAAAATATGGATCACGAGGTAAATCATGCGCTAATTATCGTATCCGTCTTTTAGTATAATGTCGATAATCAGATTTACTTAAATAGATTTGTCTGTACTGCGCTGGGGACGTGCAGCATTTTGATCTACCTGATACAGTGGCGAAAAGAGAAAATAATGGGATTGAAGATGGGATCTTATCGGAAGCAGGTATTTCAGCTATGTATATACGCGCAATTTGACGTTGTAACCGGTTAGACCCGGACCAGGTTAGGTCGATCGATCGTCAAGATAATCAGAGGAAGGTAGCGTAGTCACCTGATCGTAGAGGAGTAAGGTTTTACTTAGCATAAGTAGTTACTATTGGTCCATTTTTTGATTACTTGAGGCCTTTTCTCTTAAGCAATGTCAATTTTGCTTCTAAGGTGCTCCGCCAAGCCATCCTGGTCTCGCTGTTCGTCTTCACGACCACCTTGATTTGGACGAGCCTGGCCTTCATCCCACAAGGCCCATTTTCAATGAGCTTGATGCATATCGGACATATTTCGTGGATGCTGATGCATAGTAAGGGAGTTGAAAAGCTTTCGTTATGCCTGAATAGCTCTCTCTCTCCCACGCTCTTTCTTTTTCTCACGCTCTCTCTTCCCCCCCTCTCTCTCTCTCTCTCTCTCTCTCTCTTTCTCGCGTTATCCGATTACAAAACATATTTCGCTACTTTCAGGCACCCCAGCCATGATCTATCTGAGCTTCAACAAGACAATCCGAAAAAACGTTCGTCGCCTCGTCGGAATTCCGCAGGTCTCACGTGTTTACCACACGAATGGATCGGAGGTAGTAGCACCCAGTATCCCTTGAAGGCTCATTGAAATCATTTTTGTCTCCTGCGTACACCGATATAATAATAATGTATTTTTTTTATTTTCCTATTTTCTTATTGAAATACTCGTCGGCACCGCCCAAGCCGAAGCCAAAAGATTACGGTAGATTTCTCCATGCGGTGCGACTTTCCCATCGAGTCGTGGGCTTCTTGCCTCGTCGAATTCACGTTCTCTCCTGAAAAGGCAGATTTCATTAGTCACTCTACACTCTACTCTTTTCATGATTTTATTGAGGTATGCAATCCTATTGTATATTTACAGAGCTAGCTACTGTAATACATTCATGAGTTCATACCTTTCACGCAATCTCTGCAACGCTACTCGATACATAATCGGCATCACCACGATGTAATAAGGTGTTATCTGGAAAACATCTAGTTCATTAAATATCTTAAAATTTAAAAGCAGCTACGGTAACCTTAAGTTTCAAAAATTTGCGTAAAAAGCTGGTTAAAAACTCACATATGTCAACCCATCAATATTCTTCATCTCCACATAATCCGTCACCGCACCGGCATACCAGGGCCACGCAAAGTAGATGATATTTTGAAAAGCTATCACCAGGCAGTGGAAGAAAATGACGGGTAGAAATGAATTGACGACGAGGAGGGAATATCGTATCCGGTAGGTGTGCTGTAGACTGCGGCGGTTTCGCCTGAAACTTGGATTTTATTGGTTCACTACCGATTTTGCATCAAGAACATGAAAATATACGGGGGGGGGCATACCACCAGAGGCACTCGTTTCACTGGTAAGACAAAAGGCCTGTAAATACGTCTTTTTCAATGAAAATACGGGTTTTCGCTTATTTCTTGGTTTTTTAGCCAAATTTTCTCGATTTCTTGACGGAATTGGAATCAGCATAGTCGAATTAGTCAGACCTGATCGATTATACTTCGATTCTATCTTTTTTTGCCCTATGTAAGCTCACCAGTGAAACGAGTGCCCCTGGTTATCTGCCCCACCCCCCCCCCCCGTGTAAACGATTAAAAAATCCCGGAGCTACCGAATATTAAGAAACCCACTTTTTCAACCGGTACTCGCAAAAAAATTTGAATAATAACCCGTAGAACATTGTCGGCACGTCGATGCAAATGACCACCAGGTTGAGGTCGTTAATGAAGGGTTCGGTATACTAAAAACACAGCTATATAATTTTTGCGCATGGATGGAAGCGGGCAGTTGTCGCCAGGCCGTTGGGTGCCGCTACGCGGTAGTTGAAAACACTACGCTACACTGCCCTTCACTACGCAACGCTACACGATGCAACGGTACGCAACGCGCTCGTTACGCAACAATACGCAGCCGCTGCGCGTCAAAAGGAAAATCCGGACTCAGTTACTCAATGAGTACGTTAAGTTGCACAACATTCCGACTTTATTTTGGAAGCAAATTAAATTATGTTCGTCATCACCTACCATAGTTTCCTGCAGACAATGCAATATACTCAGGTTATGCCCGTATTCGGCATTATTATACCCGACGGCAATGTACACGTAGAAACAGATCTGAAATTTGATTGCTATAAATAAATGCCAAAAAAATTAAAGATCGTACCTCAAAGGTCACAAATAGCCGCGTCAGTCGGTGGCAAAATTTTTCGGTAATACTGGGGTGAATAGCCAAGGAGCGCTCGAATAACAAGAGTAGAATCGTGCTAGACATTGAGAACATGCAGCAGCCCTAAAAATAGGTAATATTAATAAATAAATCACAATGAAGTATACGAGTTATATACATTTTCATGATTTTTAGATATAAAGTTATTAAATTTAAGTTTGAAGCTACCTTTAGAAACATAATTTTACTTTTGGCTTTTGCATAAATCATAAATGCATATTTTTAATGAAGGTTAATTATTTAAAAGCTCACCTGTATAATTTTATAAACAAGGCATGAGTGACTGCTTAATACCAGTGTGCAAGGATCGCGTGATAGAAATCGTAGGATGATGGGTTGCCACTGAAATTGAAACAATAAATTACTGGTTCCAAAAAAGAATATAATTTTGGTTTCAAGAAGTTGTAAATATGCTAAAATTTATGTTTCTTAATTTCTGCAAATAGTTCTGAATCGCTACAAAGGCTTCAAGAATCTCTGCAAACTTGCCGGACGCGATCAGGCAAATTTTTTAAAGGTATTATTGCAGAATTTTTAACAAATATTTTTTTACTTTTTATGTTTAAAAAATAGTGTTAGCTTAGAAAAAGACAGCACTTATTAGAAAATTAATTTGTACAAAAATTTCAAACCCACATGTGTAATCGCATTTATCAGCGCGTAGATGGCGACGATGAGCAATTTGAAGCCGATTAGGCTCTGAAAAATTATTCGATTACGCTTTGAAGATGTACGCGATTAAATTTAAGATCTCTGACTGAACTCACATGCACTTCATTATGGATCCAGATCAGTTTCCGCGCAAACATATATGCCACAAAAAGTACGGTACCCGAGCTGAGGGCGGCTTTGAAGATGGTCTGCCAGATGTACCTGGAAATATAAAATATCGCTCCTACAGTGTGTGTCAAAACTAGAGTGAGGGAGCGGCAGGCCTCCTCAGGCTTTCTTGGGCCGAATTGCATTTCCGCGCCTGCCGACGCCTGGCGGAAGCCTAAGGATTTACGCAGGCTTTTTATGCAATGCGTAAAAACATGTTAATCTGGTTACTGCATCTAAAACGTTGGTAGCTTTTGCCACAATAACAAATTACAAGGATGCCGAAGGTGGGAAACATATAGGCAGGATATCAGGAGAGGCAATTGCATCCCCCGCCCGTTTGATCCGATTCTTAGCTTTTGTGTATCCGCGTGCTATTAACGTATCGTGCCGTAAGGTTTGTCAAAAACAGTACCCTAACTTTGTAAAATATTCTTGGACCCAATAGAGCTCTCTGGACCCCCCGGAAGTTTCAAAAAAATCCTTATTGGTTCGGCAAAACATTGAATATTATACGACTTTACATAAAATTTCCAGATAAAGCCTGACTAATTAGAGGTCAGGCGTACTTTGCATAGCCCAGGCTCAGCCCAGGCGATGCAAATTAAAAAAGCGTGAGGAAGCCTAGGCAAGCCTAGGCTTTAGCCTAGGCCTCCCTCACTCTAGTCAAAACGATAGAGCCACCTCTTTGAACGCTATTATCTCGGCCCTCGTCGCGTTTGACGCCAAGCCAGCTAGCAGGTCTTGTAGTGCTCGAAAAGGCGCATTTTTCCATCTACTTGAAGTTTTGCAAAAATAGAGCACGCGATTTTTATAAGGAAAAGAACAAATAGAGCCAGAAAACCGAAGTGTCAAAATGATAGAGCCACACTTTACATATTATTAGCATCAGGTTCGAGCTTGCAAACCACATGCTAATGAACATTAAAGTGACTTTCCATTTTTGACCTCCGGATTTTCCAGGGTGATGCCAATCTGCATAGATTTGCACTTCGTATTAGCAATTAGCATGTAGTTTGCAAGCTCAAACCTGATGCTAATGATATGTAAAGTGTGGCTCTATCGTTTTGACACTTCGGTTTTCTGGCTCTATTTGTTCTTTTCCTTATAAAAATCGCGTGCTCGATTTTTAAAAAACTTCAAGTAGATGGAAAAATGCGCCTTTTCGAGCACTACAAGACCTGCTAGCTGGCTTGGCGTCAAACGCGACGAGGGCCGAGATAATAGCGTTCAAAGAGGTGGCTCTATCGTTTTGACACACACACTGTATTTAAGTTTATTAATTACCCTCCTATTCATGTTATCAGAATTTAAGGATCTTTTACGTCGTCTATTCAGGATTCAATTTTATTCTCACTTACCATGTCCCGAAAGTTAGTTTAGCGACGGCGGCGCAAAGTGGATCTTCGGCGGTTGTTGTGGACATTTTCTAAGACTTAGATAATTTTGGTTAAGACACGTAAAATGATGACAAAAAAACATGAATGCAAGGGTTGCAATAATTACGATAAGCTACTAATGGAACTCTACAACGAATTTCGGTGTCGGTATTCGCGTCTGTGTCGATGAATGTAAAATTCGTTATTGAAATTTCCAAAAGTAAAAATAATTAAATTCATGACCATCTGTACTTCCAAAATCGGCACATTCAGGCAAAGGGATCACGGGGCTTGTTGGATATCACGTCCTGTGGCTATTTTCTAAATCCCTGGGGCCCGGATTTATAGGACTCAACTCCGCCCTCGTCTAATTTCTGAAAGGATCACCATGAAAAATCAGACGGTGGGTGCATACGACCCGAAAGGAGCTACTCTTCAAAAATCACACAGCTTTTTATGTGGCAAACTACCGAAAACGGATATTTAAAAAGCCTTGAGACTGTTTGCCCGGTAAAGGCTGAATTTTGGAGTCGTTTGCAGGACAATCGTTTTGCTGCGCTCCTTTAGGAAAGCTGGACCGAAGAGTTCCAATTCTTGCTAAATGACTCGGAGAAAGTTTGCTTTTTGCGAATTAAGCTCTCAGCCGTGGGATAAAAACCAAAGGATGTGTACGAATCGGTACCATGGGAAAGTAAACACGATGTCCGTGTCGAAAGTCAGTTCCGGGCAGGAGAAACCGCTTGGAAAAACGACTGTTCTTTGGATTTAAAGAAAGGGAGGGATAGAGAGAGATCGAGAGAGCGAGAGAGAGGGAGAGATAGAATGGGGGAGAGTGAGAGAGTGGGAGTGAGAGAGTGAAATAGCGTGAGAGAAAGTGTGGGACCTAAAGTGATAGAAAAAGAAGGTGAGAGAGAGAGAGAGAGAAAGAAAGAGAAAGAGAAAGTGAGAGAGAATGTGTGTGTGAGAGATAGCTAGAGTGAGAAAAGATGAGAGCGAGAGATAGCGAGAGAGGGAAATCGAAGAAATGGTAGGTGAAGCTAAATGAACGCTCTATTCATACTTAGGCTAGGCTTGCGAAGATTTTTAGAAGAGAGAGAGAGAGAGAGAGAGAGAGAGAGAGAGAATGTGTGTGAGAGATAGCTAGAGTGATAAATAGTGAGGGCGAGAGATAGCGAGAGAGGGAAATCGAGAGAGAGCGAGAGAGAGAGAGGGGGAGAGAGAGAGGGAGGGAGAGAGAAAGAAGGAGAGCGCTAGAGAGCGATAGAGTGAATGCAATAAACTTTGAAAATCCATATCACCTGATGAAACTTGAAATTTCACTACTGCAGTGTTCGTCTAAAACCACCAATTTGAAGCAAAAACGCAAGTACCGTAGCCGCCCATCAAAAATAGTGAACAAAAAACGTAGGCGAACCGCAAATTTCAATCGCGGTAAGGCGGTAATTTTCAAGAACGCATGATGCACTTGACGAAATTGCAGAGAAATTAGCTTAATTAAACCTGGAGCAAAACATAGAGATTTTGTTAAGTTGAACTTCCGTAAGCTTTTTGAGCTTTCAAACGGTTTGGAATTTTGAAGGCTAAAATTTTGGGTTTTAGGGAGTTATTTAAGCAAAAAATTGTTGTAATTAAAACGTCAAAGATTTTTCTCAATTAAAGATTATTGGCAAGCTAGCGGAGACCATTTGTGGACCGTTTTTAAAATTTTATGCTTCTCACGCTTCTAAAATTTGCAAAATTGACTGTTTGTTCCAAAATGTAGCCTATATTTTCTTAATAGCAGCGTAGTAAATGTCAGAAATTGTATTTATTTTTATTTATTTATTTATTTATTCTCACACAAGGTTAACAAAGTCAACGCTTACAGTATGAGGAATCGAGCGTAAATAGGGTGATGGAGGGGATAGATAAATAAAGGGAAATTAGGATTAATAAGATTTGAAGATTTGGAAGAGGGGAATGGAATAGGAGACTAGATTGATGAGAACACGATCACAGTAGATAGGAGACGGGGATAAGGCGGGAAAGATGATTTTTGAAGGCTTTCTTAGACGGGCTGTCAATGGCAGTTTGGGGAAAAGAATTCCAGAGAGCAGCTACGCGAGTGGAGAAGAAAGCTTTTGACACAGAGGTTTTTGGAGCCAGAATAGGACTAATTTTGGTTTTAAGTCCACGGGTTCGAGAAGGGGCAGCAGAGAAGAAAGTATTTTCAGAAATATTAGAAGGAATCTTGTGGAGGTTAAATAGAAAAAGAAAATCCGCGGTCAGCCTCCTATTGTTCAATGGTACGAGATTGAATTGAGTGCATGCCGAACGATAGGAGACGTACGGGACTTGGCACCGGTAGCATACACGTCGAGCGAAGTCTTTCTGAATTGATTCTAGAGCAATCTGATCTTTTCTGAGCCAAGGGGATGAAACTACTGAGGCATATTCGATTATAGGCCTGATATAAACTAGAAATGCTTTTATATACAAATTTGGAATTTTACTACGAAAAATTTTGAAAATAAGAAAGGAGCAGCGAGCTGCTTTTTTCGTCACCTCTACCACATTTGGCGAGCAGCTGAAGTCATCGCATAGCAGGACACCCAGATCACGAATGCATTTTGATTGTGGGAGCGGGCTACCATTTACGAGTATACGTTGTATACGAGTAAGAGTCTCAAACCAGTACCCCATCGGCTATAGCTAAATGCCAATAATTATGGGTTACTGTGAATTTTTGCTGTACTTGACCAAAATGAAAAAGTGTCTTGGCCTGCGAAAGGGAGATTTTCAAGGCATCAAATTATTATTGTAAAGTAGGAAACGAAGGGATTAAATTAATAAATCGAATTAAGAGAAAAGGCTCCATAAAAGCTGAAGGTTCGAAATTTACAATTAAGCCATGCGCAGCTAACTAATGACTTATTTGTTAAAGTTCAGCAGCGGCAAATTGCTGTGTAATCCTAGACACTGATTTGTCAACTATATTTTAAAATTTTTTTTGCTGACATTCATTTTTTCAAAGCACATTTTGTCGAGCTCGGTATGTCAAAATTTTATGTTGTAAATTCGTTTTTTCCGAAACCTATTTTTTCGAAATTTGATTTTGTCGCAATTTGACTTTATCGAAATTCCCTTTTTTATCGAAATCATACGATAAAGCTATTCATCTCAATTTTTGCGTTTTTCGTTCCTATTCATTTAGCAGTGTATGCATTTTCGTGCCGCGACACGCGACGCGTCGGAAAGCTGTTCTAATCCATTATGCAATGAAAAATTCGGTTGCGTGCGCGTGCGTTGCATATCTTGTTCGAAAAAGTTAGCAGTCATGCCTTCCCCGTGCCTTTAAAATTGCATTTAGATGCTTGACCCTGAGAGTTGTCAAGACCTAGCCAACGGCAGGGGTCGACTCTCGTACTTCAGAGTTCCTTAAAATTTCAACTGCTCGGCATAGCTTTATTAAATTTCCCACTCCTTTCGATAATAAGCAAAATACGCGTCGTTTTGGCCGTGTTTTTCTACGACTGATACCGTCATATCCTGAGGGCGGGTGGTTTGTCTCCTGAAAAACCTTAAATTCAGTCTTGAAGTTGACATTTTTATCTATTAAAACTGATTCAATCATTAAATGAAAAACCCTAAAAATCGTGAAAATTATCCAGGGTGGTTCTGGTTCTCAAAAATTACTCACTTGCCCAATAGCATCAAAAATTGATATCGCCACTCGGCGACGGTGAGCAGGCTAATAGGAGTAAAAGCAAAAATTGCACTAAAAATTAAAGTTTTTTTTATTATTATTAAAGTATCACCATGCGTTCAGCAACTCGAGGCATGTCATCATGACTTGAGAATCCAGCTCATTCTCATTAAAGGCAAGTAACGGCCAGCCCACCCAGCCCATCAACACAATGTTCACGACAACGGACCAGGCCACGAAGTAGCGAAGTAGCTAAAAATATAGGGTATTGCTTCTAGGAAGTATTAAGATAACTGGAGAATGAGTTTTTAGAACTAACGCTTGAACGTTATAGAATTTCGAAAAATGCAAAAGAATAAATCGTAGATGTTAAAAATTAAGCGGACGATCGGCTACACCCAACTTCCATTGACGCGGGGGGACAGCGTTATCAGGCGGAAACCAACATCACACTAATGGTACATTTGGCCCTCCGAAAGTCTCTCTTCCGTACCTTCAGTGACCTCAAATTCTCCTCAATCTGGTATCGCATAGATAACTGGTATCCCTTGGCGCTCCCTTTTCCATTGCTCATCTTCTCGACGATCTTCGAATTTGTATAAGTGAGGTAGAAGTGCATCTAAAATTTTTGCTTACATCCTACTATATATAAAAAAATAGTGTTTGTGTGTGTGTGTGTGTGTGTGTGCATTTGCATGCAATTTCCGTCCGTATGTTCCAGTCGTATCTCAATAGGAGAGGAAGTTAAAAGTACGTATGATACGTCATTAGGTGCGTAATGGTCATGACACGACTGCACACATATGAGATTTTTAAAAATCAGCTGTTTTCGATATTAAAATTATGTTTTTGTGAAAATCTCGCTCGGCCTCTTTGTTAGGAATCAATTAGCATGCACCGGAAGTGGGGGAGCCTATATAATGGGGAGAGGACGCGCTTTTCATTTTTCTGCGCAGGAATTCAGGTGTTTATGCAAAGTGACGAACTATCGGGGGTAAGACGGGGCCAGGGTTGAAAAGTCGCGAAGCGGCTTCTCAACCCTGGTTTTTTCTATAAAGATTACCGAGAAAAATCCCATAATAAAGCAAAAATAGGGCGGAATACAGTAGTAGACGATTTCCTGACGGCAGTAGGAGCTTACTGGAACTTATTTTAGCGGATAAACGGTATAATTTCATACAAAAAATCCCGATGAGACAGATGGAGACGGCCGACACGGATGTAAACGAAATAATCCAATTGGCAATTGTTGTTTTGCGTATTCTCTCGTAGTTTTTGATCCGGCGAGTGGCAATAATCCTACAACAATTGTAAGTTTTTCTATTCAAAGGTTTCTTAATTTTTTTTTAGTATTTGCCAACGATGCAAACGATTAAGTTTCCAGTCAAAAAAATTTTTGAACCTTTACCGTTCTCCCACAATCATCAATACCGTATATCCAATTGCGACAGAGGAAAATACTCTCAAAAATGCAAAAATAAACATTAAGACGTCGAGGATGAGGTATTCTAAACATTGCATTGAAATTTTGATGTGAAAATTCAATAAAAATGACCTAATAAAATCTCGGATTTCTGAATCTTCATTTGCTAAATTACACAGTCAAAAAATATTTTTTTGGGGACCATGATAATTTATTTTATGTTGTTTTATTTTAAAAATAAAAGAAACCTGAACCAGAAAGGAAATTCTAGGTATTTCCGAGCTAAAAACTCACCTCCAGCCGAGATAAATCCAAATTGGTATGGCGCCTGCAGAAATCGAGAAATTGGATGTAAAAATAGGCACCCGGTCGCAAATAGCATTATTTTTCGGAAATTTTGGTGGAAGCGGACGGTGCGTGAAATCGATACGATAAATATGGCGTTTATTAAGACCGTTGCCAGGTGTAGAGCGTACTCAAGAACGCATACTGTAGTGATGATACGCCGTCCGAATTCGGATTGCTAAAAGGTTTTATAAAAGTTATAGTTTTGCCAGTTTGCAGTCTGTAGTCTTGTCAGACTACAGACAGTCTGTCAGGTTGTAGTTTGGCCAGTTTTGCAGTTTGTAGCTTTGTGAATTTCGGTCTGTAGCTTTACCAGCTTCTAGTTTGTAGTTTTACCCGTTTTGTAGTTTATAGCTTTTAGTTTTGTTGGATTGTAGTTTGTAGTTTTACCAGTTTGTATTTTGTAGTTTTGCGGTTTGTATTTTGTGGTTTTGTCTGTTTGTAGTTCATAGGATTATTGGATCGTAGTTTGTAGCTTTGTGTATTTTTTAGCTTATCTTTTATAACCCTTAGATTTTCAAAAGCTACAAATGGTGTAGTTTGTAGCTTTGTTTATTTTGTGGCTTATCTTTTATAACTTTTTAGATTTTCCAAAATCGATCCATTTGACGCTTATCTGATTACGACGCGTATTTCCAACCAACCTCCAATATCGTGCCGTCATAAAATATTGCCGTAAATAAATACCACTGTCCGCCGTTGAGTGGATAAAATAGCATACTGTAGAATTAAAGAACGGCAAAAATACACGCTTTATTCCCTCGGCGAATACACTCTGCAACGAATCACCGAAATTCACAAATTGCTATAATGGGTTCGGTTCGTCATGGAAATACAAAATACATTAAAAATAAAAAACATAAATCGCAGAAAATTGTAAAAAACTACAAATGCAGTAGATGAGTTATTTGAAAACAAGGAGAAGTCAAAAAAAGAAAAAGTTTCGCAAAAACAAACTAGACAACCGTAATTTCTTTTAGAAGACCCAATATTTAACCAAAAATAAAAAGATACAAATTTTATTTCTAGTGATTTTAACATTGTGTTTTTACAACTTATAAATCTTTAATTTCGACTACTTAATAAAGTGTATGATATAAAATCAGAGAAAAATGCACATAAAATCCCGGCACTAGGCTTCTGTTACCCGAGCTGGTCGCAGATGTTGTTGTGGAGCTGAAAATCTTCGATAAAATGTTGTATTTTTATGAATTTTGTTTTCCTTTTCATGAATTTGCAAATTTTTCTGAAAGATTTTATGGTCATAAAGGGTTTTCATTGATAAGGGAAACTGTGAAAAATCTTATTTTATAAGAGCTCCCAAAAGTCTCTAGCTGACCGCCGCCAGGTGAATATTCAGAGAAATATCAGAAAATCATGCGTCAGCCGACCAAAAAAAGTTTTTATCTAGAATTCTCGGGAGTCTGGAAAATGAGAATTTACAGATGCTACTAACAAGGAGTGGGCGTGGGCTTAGGCTTAGCTTCGGATTACCTCAGACTCAGCTTAGACTCAGCTTAGGTTTAACTTAGGCTTAGCTTAGGCTTACCTTAGACTCAGCTTAGGCTTAGCTTAGGCTTAGCTTAGGCTTAGCTTAGGCTTAGCTTAGGCTTAGCTTAGGCTTAGCTTAGGCTTAGCTTAGGTTCAGCTTAGTCTTAGCTTAAGCTTAGTTTAGGCATAAGCTTAGGTATCTGCTTAGGCTTAGTTATGTTTGTGCTTTTTGCTTGAGCTTAGGCTTAGGCTTAGCCTTATGCTTGGACTTGGGCTTAGACTTCAGTCTGGCCGAGGTATGGGCTTAAGCAGGCCACAAGTTAAGTATAGACGTCGCTTCCGTTTAGGATTGGGATTTGGTATAGGCTTAGCTTAGGCTTAGCTTAAGCTTAGCTTAAGCTTAGCTTAGCTTAAGCTTAGCTTGGGCTTAGGCATGGGCTCGGGTTCCGCTTCGGCTTGGGCTTAGGCTTCAAAATTCGACAAAATCTAGGTTTTCCAGTCTCATAAAAAATTCTAACATTCCCAGGAATAATCTTTAGATAACTTGACCCCGCAATTTCTTTCCTACACCAAGACATCAGGTGCATTTCCCGGTCCAAAAGTCAATTGGTCAGGCCTCGTATTTTGGGCTAATTCCAGCCCTGGAAGTAGGAAATTCAGGTGTGGGTGGCATTTGAAAATTACAGGATTGACGCTGGAGATACGGGCATTACTCAAACTCGAAAAGAACTCGGTTATCAGCCGGATTTTGGATAACGTGGTGGTCGTGTGACCATTCAAACTAGCGGCTAATGATCTTTTGCGGAAATAATCCAGTTTTAATACGCATTACATCGCGTAATCGGATTCAAAACACTACGCAGGCCTGTGGTGACCAGACATTAAATGGAGTTGGGAGAGCAAAATAACAGGATTTAGCGCGAATGTCTATGAGTTTGGCTAATAGGTATTAAAAGGCGTTTAAAAATTTTACAAAATTATTATTAGATTAGGAAAAAATGTCAATAAATTAGGTGGAAACTTAAAAACCAAAACAAAGGCTAGATTTAAAAAAATCTGCGTGGCGATGATGATAATTGGTCTAAGTTTCTATAAATTATATCTCATTGATGTTTTATAGTTTTGAAGATGTATGCTAATTTAATATTGTTAAAACAAGCCAAAACCCCACCAAAATACCGGTGAATGCAGCCCCGACGATACCGATCGAGTCGGCGAGCGAGGCGATGGAAAGTGAGTATTCCCGAACGTCCACTGGTACCTGAAAACATGTTTTTAATTTTTTAAATTTTTAATGGCCATTGTCTAACTGTTTCACTTCTAAATCAAGGCTTTCAAAACATGTTTTCTTCTCTTACAACTAATACCTACTACCGACCAAAAAGCCAAAGGTGCAAAAATGCGCTCACCCCCGTGGGAATTCAAATCAAAGGCTTTTACTGTAGCTAATCAAAAATCGGAATAAAAATATTGTAAATAAGAGAATTGGTCAAACGCGGACCACTCAAATGGTTTTTAAAAATCCGTCCATCTTAAAAAAAAATCAATTTTGGGACGCAAAAATGGTCTTGAATTTGTCTATGATGCTCATAACTTTTAATACGTTAAAATTCTATTCAAAAATGTATCAAAACTAACATTTTTATGTATATGATTGAATGTGTTCACGTAGCTGGACCCGCCGTACAACCCCTCCATCAGGATGACGGCGAACACTATCCAGATGTGCGGCACGAAGGCGTACCTCGCCTCGATGTAGAAAAGTACGGCGTTTGCTAACTAAAAAAGGAGTTTCAACGTATAAATAATTTCCATGACATATCAATATAGCGTCGATCTTCTATTACTTCAATCAGCGATCTTGCCTGTAAAATCGGAAGCAGATAGAGCACTTTTTGTGGGAGCTCGATGAACCGAACTGATGACCGTGAGATGAAGACCCCCACTTGGTAGAGAACCTGCAAGAAATAAGCGTCAATTGGCGCTTAATGTACTTTCTAGGTTCTTTCTATATTTTCTAGAGCATTTTACTACGTAATAAGCGTAAGGGTTACCCGTATTAAAAAATTCACCTGATACCATCGATATTGACTGCCTTTCGACAACCCTAACCCATTTGCGCAGTTGAAGTAGACGAGTTGAGTCTGAAATCGACTTGGATGTCTTCGAATTTTCTACTTACCAATCCCTGATTGATCAGATACTCTCCAAAGTAGACGAGCATCAGTGGCACCATAAATTTGAGCAAGGGTTTTATCAAGTTCACTCGGTCTCCAAAGGTCAGACTCCGCTGGGACGCGAGATGGGACTCGTCGCCGGCTTCTGAAACATGATCCTAATAAAATTTAACCCCATTTTCTTACCTAGCAAAGGCTGTGCGTTCAGGACTTCCCGAATTTCTGTGCAGCACGCTGACATGCGCTTTTCCCGTCGCCCGATGTCCTAGAAAAAAGCGAAAATCGCACTAGCTCACAAAGCCCACCAAAAACCAAAAAATCTTAGTTACCTCTGGCACCAACCAAGAAGAAGGCGTGCATCCCGGTGAGTATACCGTCTTCGGGAATTGTAGCACGACCCAGTAGGCGACGGCGAACGCCACGGGAATTGTCTCAAAACGAATTTTTGCAGTTTATTTGTTCCTTTTAGGAATTTTTCTTGAAAACTTTGCCTTCACAAATAATTCTACAAAATTTGCAGGATCATTTCACATCAAAAAAATATCTAGGAACTACTTACCAGCATGATCAGCATCGTCATCCGTGGTGTCAGACCTCCAAGTTGAGGCTCCGTCAGGGCTGCATAGGCAAAGGAGCCTGAAAGTACATTCTCAATAAGAGTTTATCAGTAGTCCGAAAAAGCGAAACGAATTAATGGCATCTCTGAAGCCAAAAATAACGGAAATACAGGGTGTTTTTTAGAGTATAATGGAAATCACGGTGAAATTGGACGTACCAACAATTCCTGCACCTCCAGTTCCAGAAGACCAAGCAGCTATTGTAGAAATCGGAAAGTGAGACGATAACGATAGATATGTAATTTCTCCAATTCCGGACCCGACAGCTGCCATGGCGACTCCTAGAATTTTGCTTTAGAATTATCCTTCGTTCTCTCTCACGATTCTCTCTCTCTCTCTCTCTCACGATTCTCTCTCTCTCTCTCTCTCTCTCTCGCGGACCTATACATGCACTTACCAAAAATAGCCATTTCAAAACTCGTCGCATAGGCCACGACGAGGTAGGCAGAAAATTGAAGCGCGACCACAGTAAAGTGTCGGAATCTAGAAGATATAATGGGTTTTTTGATAGTCAAGACAACTTACCCGTAAGGTATCTTGTGGCAGAAAAATGGCATCACGATTTTAATGACGAGAATCGGCAAAATTTCAGCCAACAAAATGGCGCCTGTCGAAGCACGGCCATGGCAAGACCGTGTTTCGATTTCTTCCTAAAAATGTTGTATTAGGTTTGGGCAACACTTTTAAGCATGTTTTAATCGATGGTAAAATTCTAATATTTTAATTGATAGCATAAAAGCTTTAGACAATCAATTATTACCATACACTTCTTATTGAACGGCACCCCTTCGGCTTGTTTGTGAATAATGTCGTCGGCGGCGCTCAGCATAATTACGTAGCCATAATTATTACAGAGGCCGAACAGCCTGAAATATGTATAATTTTATTTAATTTAATACAATTCGAAAGGTTTTTCAGCCTTGATTTCCAAAAAAAATTTGAAACGCACCAAAACGCTGCAATATTCCTCCACGTCGTCGGCGCCGGTTGTCTTGCTCGACCCATTTTACAAAATTTGGTGAAATATACTTTAAAAATAGATTATAGTACTAATTATAAAGTGTAAAATCGGACTTAATGGAAAATGTACGCTAAATTAAAAAAATCACGTTAAATAAAGCTTAGCCACACGAAAAAGTTGCGGGTCTAATTTCAAAGGAAATCTGAAGGAAAAATTACGATATTTCCCAAGATATTCTCCAAATCAATAGAATATAAATTCAGGTATGACAAAGGATAAAATTTCAACTCATTGGCAACGGAACGAGAGATAAAGATAGGTTGGAAAACGAAGGGCAAAGCCGGCATCTCGGCGGTTCCATTTTTGCCCTTTGCCCCTCGACACAAAATGTCACCAGTTGTTTTCGGATTTGTTTTTGGCCAGACAGTGGCCAAAGGGGCCCAGCCGTGACGTTTAAAGACCAAAGAGGAGGCCAAGTAACATATTTTTTGGGCGGCTCAAGCTCAGGCTCAAAATAGCACTCAATGTCGATCCCTGAACCCGCTTAAATAGAAAATATAAATGGTGAAGCGTGAATTCTACATCGCAATTCAAACGATCTATAAGCATCAATTTGATTTTTTACTTTTAGCAGCGAGTTGATCCATTAGAGGACGAGAGCGAGAGTGATAGAGAGAAAGATGGAGGGAGAGGGAGAGAAAGCAAGAGAAAGAGAGAGAACCAGAGCGAGAGAGCGAGAGAGAGAGAGCGAGAGAGAGCGAGAGCGAGAGTCAGAGAAAGACACAGATGGCCAGAAAAACGATAGAAAAATAGTTTTTCTAAGGCGCAAATAAATAAAGGCCGGAAAAATGCCGATATGATAAAATGTTATTAGTTTAAAATATTCCTTAAGAATTATCAATTGAAATTGGACCACACTGTCGCATTTTAGATATCTAGCACCCCTAAAAGCGCGCCTAGACAAGCATGGGCATCTTTTAGCGGGCAGGAGGGTGGAAAAGCCAAAGAAGTCTGTTCGGCTGATGGCTTTGGTGGTGGTGGTGGGAGCGGGGGGATGATGGATTGTCTGGGTCGAAGTCCCGATCCAAAAGCCATATCCCAATGCGCGAGAGGCAAGGCAGGGGACGAGACGTGAAATAACCGAGCGACTACCCCGCAAAAAATCTCGTCGATTTGGAAATGATCGAGTGGTTGTACGAGCCAACGCCTGACAGCTGGCCCGGCACGGAAAAACATGCAATAAGTAAGTGTTAGATGATGAAACATAATTAAGCTATCGTTTTGCAGCTACGCGTATGAATCTCTTTCTCTCTCTCCCTCTGTTTCTCTCTCCTTCTCTCTCGCTCTCTCTCGCTCCTCCTCTCTCTCTCCCTCTCTCTCAAAAGAGATGGGTCATTGCAAAAAACACGATAACGCGAAAAAAATTACATCAAAAACAATAAAACCGCTGATTCCGATTTATGCAAGCTTGAATAAGGTTCTTAATAGTACAAAACTAATAACTATAGCAGATTCTATACTGACTGATGAAAGTCACCCGACCTGCCTAGCCCAGTTCTCCTGTCGGTTCCTTTTTGCTCGCTGAACGGCATCCAAACACGGAAAAATCGGGGAACGAAAAGGACTATGAGGAAGCCCATCGGTGCAATTTGGCAAAGTGGGTACAGTAACATCCGATGAAAAACAGAGTATTGCTAGTGGAAACTGTAGTTTAGCGTTAGGGTACTGAACGCAAAATGTCGATAAAAATTTTACGTTAATTTTCCCAACAATCTTTTTTGTGGTGGGGATTGCCAAATTAGTCTGATTTTTAGGAAAATGTACGACACTCGTGGAGAAGCGTGGAAAAATGTAAAATTATGAAAACGAAACGTTTCAGAAGGTAGTGACTAAAAATTGGAAACGACCTCGTCTTGCTTTCATCCTATCAAATTTAAATAAACAAAATCAACTAGGCCGATTTTTACAAAATTTTCCAGAAAAGCACGTGCAAACGCCGCAAAACCCGAGATTGAACTGTGAACGGAGCGGCCGATTTTATAGCGGCTGCAGACGAGAGGACGCGGAAATTCGGGGTTATTCCCTCGATGGCGGGTCTTTAATCATTCGATGATTTGAGGATGAGTTGACACCAGATAGCCTCCCTAATCACTGCAGCAGGCAATTCACCCAATCAGCATCATCATCTCCAGGTTCTCTTCAAAATCTGCTCTCTCTCCCTCCCTCTCTGCCTCCATCTGTCTCTCTCGCTATATATCTCTCTACCTTTCCCTCCCCTCTCTCTCTTTCTCTCTCTCTCTCTCTCTCTCTCTCTCTCTCTCTCTCTCTCTCTCTCTCTTTCTGCCCCTCAAAATAATATCACATGTCAAAGACTTTGGTCGTAGCGTCACAGTTCGCCGTGCACCGAACTGGGACGCGGCGTCTTGTGATTTGAGGAGAAAAGACTAGAATCAAGGTATGAAACGTCCTAAAAATGATCAGTTACGGTACTTTAGATGCGTAATATTTTGCACTTGCAATATAGAGCTTTGCAGCGACCTTAACCGTTAAATTATAACAGAAAATAAAGCGTTAATCGTGTAGTGGACGAAAGCTAATGTTTTATGACAGAATTAAACTAAAAGCGTATTATGCAGCCATCGCACAAAGTGGACACGTACACTGGATGATCGAGTACTCATTTTTGAAGACCACCACACTCCACTGTACAGCTCGAGTAGAGTAAGGACGTATATAGGAGCTACGCGTAGGCAAGATTTTAGGACGGCGCCAAGCCAACGCTCCAGTACCCGCCTCATTGGCGTGTTTTTTCCAGCCTGTCATAGCACCTTTAAAGGAGCTGGGAGTACACCCGTATCGACACTGGCCTTCGACCGCTACGCGCCACTCTAAGACACGCTTTCAACCCTGGGTTGTTATCTCCAAAAGCGCGGTAGCTGTACTAATACGTCATATTAGCATCTGACTTTCGAATCTCGGGTCCTGATCTTATTTTAATCTCTCTATCTGTCCCGCCAATAACCGCTCTCTAGCTCTATCCTTCGCTCTCTCTCTCTCTCTCTCTCTCTCTCTCTACCCCTCTCTTTCTCTTTCTCTCTGCTAATATCCAGCCCTAGGAACGGACTGATCACAAAGCACAGAGACCAGTGCTCTTTTGACGTCTCACAGTCTCATCCCCGGGCTCTGCACCCGCGATATCCCAATCTTCTTGCACGCGAGGCAGCCAGAAATTACTCAACAAAGAGCATACTTTGTAATGTTTAAATTGGTACGGATTGAATTCGCAAAAAATCAAGGAATAGAGCGAAAATAAACAAGTATATTGATACAAAAGACATAAATCAGAAAACAAATGTTAGGAAAATTTCAGGAATAGTGAATATTTTTGGCTTTGCAAAACTTTTGGAACCGAGTTTGGAGCACCGTGGAAGCCGAGCCCGCGACTTCCGGGCTTAATAAAGCGGCAAAAAACGGGCGCGACCCCTGTGGGATTTTCACAGTTCCGAGGAGGTTTCGGTATGGCCTTCGGTCTTTGGCAAATTCATTACGTTTCTAGGTCTCTTTAGGTTAGGTTGTACTGAAAATTTAGGTTGAATTTTTCGTAACAAGTTAGTAAAGTCTTCCGTATTTTCTAAAGCCCGGGAACTTGGGCTCACGAGCTTAATAAACTATGATCCTGCTTAACCCGTTTCCAATGTTTTACATTTATTCAAACTGGGAAGCTTGCCCATACCAGCCTACCGCGTGGTATATCCCTGTTTGTCACTACGCTACAATGCCCCAAACGCCACGAGAAATCATCGTAGTCCTGAAAAAGCCTTGAACTTCTCACGGGCATTACATGGTTTTTGGCTGGAGTTTTGGTCTTTCACTGCTTCGGTTCGCGTTGTTAGCCATGCCTGAAATGGATTTATAATTTTATAATCTCGGAATCGAATTTCCTATTTTTACGAGGTTTTTATTACGTGAAAAATTGGTTTTACTACATCCGGAATCTAAAGTCTGCATAATTTTTCTATGGTACATCTTGCCGCGATTTCCGGATTTAATTTCAGAGTTAAATCCGCGAGTTTCAGAGATAATTTCTGTTTTGGCAGTGGGCGGCAATTGCGACTAGCCGCCACGACTTCTGATCTTCTACCTCTAAAGCACGGTACTGGTCTGTTAGCGGGGGAGGAATTAATTTTTATTTTTTTTTGCTTGTAACCTGTTACTGCTGGAATGATTTATGAAACTTTTCATGGGCTTTTTGTGGCAAAAATCTTATGTTTTGTGACAAAGCCGTAAATATTACTGTCGAAAAACTGCCCCCCCCCGATAATAGTCTAGTACCTAAAACCGCCTAAAATCAGTTCAACGAAGTCTTAATCACCTATTTTATTTACTTCAATTTCTGCCGCACCTTAAATATTATTTTATCGGCCTTTTTGCAGCCCATAAGCTACCCAGGGGGCCGGCAGCACCTACCGTAATCCACAATTGGTCCCCAGGTGCGGTCAACCGGAAAATAAGCCCTGGTCCTGGTCCAACAATGCAACGGCTATTCAGGAAGCGCATCCGGGCATAAAAAAAATTCTGTTTTATGAGGGGCACATGCTTTTTCTGGTCGTTGATTAGATTTTTTACACATATTCACGTTTTTGGGGTACATGGTGAGAACTTGATCTATGTATTATTAGAAAGTGGGCGGGCCTGGCAAGATGCCGGCCAGAATTGGGGTGGATTTAAAGGGATCGGGACCTGCTGTAATCGTGTCGTATCGTCAATATCTAGATCCGCAAAAAAAGACAAGAGAACTTTTAAGTAAAAGTATCAACTCGATATTTTGCAACGACATTTTGCATTTTCAGGAATTTTTTAAGTTTTTTGAATTGGTTTTTATTTAGTTTCTAAGCCCGATCCGCAAATATAATTTTAGAAAATTTGTCGAAGAAACAACAAAATATAGATGTTTTTCACAAAACTTTTAATTTTCACGAATTGTTACAGTTTTCAGTTAGTACTATACAAAAATTATATTTAAAAAATTACGTTTTCCTCCGGACAAACAAGCCGGTATAATAGAGTGTTAGCGACAATTTGCATTATTATTTCTTCCCAAAACCAAAAATTTGGTTCCGGAACCGTATCTCAAGTTCCGGATGAAAATACTTTACGCGTACGATCATCGATTAACCCGATTTTCGGCCAATTCGGCAACCGCCCATATGTTTGTTACCTGAACGACACCCATTATCTCCGACTGTACCGGAACCGTACCCCCAACTGTACCGGAAATTGGGTCAACGCCGCGGCGATTGCTTATAGGAAAAAACTAAATAATTTGCTAACGGCAAGTCTGGCTATACCTCTAGTTCAACCAGTCCAGGGGTAGTTTCCTAAAGACTGAAACCCCGAGCCTCGGCATTGCTATTTTCATTTTCGTGGGCGGCCCAATTTCAGCTGCCTTAAATTTTATTAAAAGCGGGTTTGCAAAGCTTTTCCGAGATCGGTAACATTTTTGCGCAAGGATTTCACGTGCCATCATAACCCTTCAAAGAAAATCCAATTCCACAGTTAGCCTTTTCGACGTCCTTTCGCTTGCCGTCAACTGCTTCAAAACTGCCATTTTTTTAGTTAATTATGTTTGCAGTTAGCTGGTTAAGAAACGCTCGACTTTTCGCTGTTTAGAGTCATGCAACCGAGGCAAACATTTTTATCGAAAGCGGCTGAATTCTCCCCATTCTGGCATCAACCCAAATTAGCAAGCAAAGTAAAGCAAGCTCTACTTCCCCACAAAAATCGTTACGCTACGTTCGAATATGGCAAAAGCGTACCTAGTTTACTTAGGAAAATGATTAAAAAAGCGTTAATATTTTGAACAAGCTTTCCAATTAATCTGCGTTTTCTCAAACCGTCCGTTGTACCATTTCGTACTATCCTCAACGTTTCGTTCAGACCCCATTCCAAACCACCGTCACTCCTCAAAACCATCAACAATGTACTAGCCTCCGCGCGCCACCTTCCCGCAAATTGGGTTCAAAATTAGCCCCGGCATCAACTTTCTGTCGTTTGCCGCGGTGGTCATTTACTAATTTTCGGGCCACTGCTATTTTTACCGGAAATCAGAAAAATACACAGGACCAGGCGGACACAAAATATTTTGCGCACCACCCGCGAGAAAACTAAAACGGCAGGTGAAATTTTTAGGCGAGCACATATCTCGGAGATTGTCTGGCGAAATATTTAGCTTTGGCTTATGGCTAGGCTTAGGCTTAGCTCAGGTTTACGTTAAGTTTATTTCAGGCTAAAATTTACATCAGGCCTGTCTCTCTCTCTCTTTCTCGTTCTATCTCCCTCCCGGTCTCTCTCTCTCGCCCTCTGACACAACTGAACAAAACCGTAAATTCAGATAATGCCGATCCTCGACCTCCTCGGACACGAAATCACGCTCCAATCTTTCATCCGTCACTCCCACACCATCGTTTGTACCATCGGAATCATCCTGAATATCCTGCTACTTACCCTAATTGCCAAAACACCACACAGCGTCGTCGGGAAATATTCTTATCTTCTGTTCTCATTCTCACTCTGCAACTTTTTATACACGGTTGTGGACATTTTCTTCGTACCGGTACGTGATACATAGATCTTGAGCGTTTTAAAGGCGTGGTGACAGCAAATTCCAGCTGTTCCTAATATTAATAGATTTTTGGTCCCTTCTTTGCACCGCGTTTTCAAAAACACCTTCCAAATTCCAGACCACGATCCTCGAGGGCCGTACTTGGATGCTCGTCACTTTATCACCGCTTTTCGAAAACCCATTCCTTAATTATATACCTCTAATGCTATATGTCTGCCTGTTCAGCCAGTCCGTCCTGTTGCTCATGTTCCAGTTTGTATATCGATATGCGATGGTGACTAGGTGAGTACGCGACTGTACTCTTTGCTCTCTAGGCTAAAGAATTTACCACGTGACTTGAAAATTTGGTAGGAGCGTTCTCATAGCTTGCTCGCACTCTCTTTCGCTGTCGCGCTCTCTCTCTCTCTCTTTCTCTCCCCATCGCTCTCTTTCTCTATCTAGCCCTCTCTCTCTATTTTTGGAGTCTAAACCAATATTATTCTTTCAGAAACTCTTTCCTGAACCGGCTTGACTTCCGGAAGTGCGCTGCCCTATGTTTTCTACTTTTTGTCGCATTTGCGTAAGCTACCGTACTCTATAACCCAAGTTTTCCAACATTTTCAGAGTAGCATGGACCCTGGATACTCATTTGTCTATGGGAGTTGTGCATGAAGACGTTTTCGCCGAAATGTCAGGGATTTATCAACGACAATTTGATGGAAATCTTTCGGCTATTGGATACTTGGGACAGAGCTATGATGTGAGTACTCCAACAAAACTTTAAAAAATACACTTCCGCCGGGGTAGACGACTTCAATAAATATTTTTAGGTTTTTGTAATTAAAAACAGCATAGAAAGATCTTTTCATAAAAATTTCCTAAAATTGAATTTTCCAATTTGTCGAATTTCTCTTTCGTGCTAAATTCAAACTTTTAGCCCTCCGCGAACAGCCGCCTGTGGGTGGCCTATTTCGGCACATGCAACCTCCTGGCTATGCTTGCCGTCAGCTGGGCGGTGATCATCTACTCGGGGTGGAAGGTGTACAAGACACTGCATGCCTCCAGCAAGGTCATCAGTGAGAAGACAAGACGGCTTCAGAAAGAGCTGTTCAAGGCGTTGATCATACAGGTGAGACAGGAGGACGTTAAACGTTATCTCTCTCTCTCTTTCTCTCACTCTCTTTTCCTAAATGTCTGTATCGTAATTTTCAGCTGACCATCCCCCTCTTCTTCAACTACACCCCTATGGGAGTGCTCTTCTTCTCGGCAATGATCGGAATACCTCTAAAACTAGAGCTGATGTGTGTCCTATTTATGGTCGACCCACTGCTCGAGCCATTTGTTATTATATATTTTATTAAGTGCTACAGGTATGGTTTTTGCATGCAACAGACTCCTCTCTCTCTCTCTCTCTCTCTCTCTCTCTCTCTCTCTCTCTCTCTCTCTCTCGCCCTACCACTCACGCTCTATCGCTTTCCCTCTAGCACTATGTTTCTCTCTCTCTCTCTCTCTCTCTCTCTCTCTCTCTCTCTCTTTCTCTTTCTCGCTCTCTCTCTCTCTCTCTCTCTCTCTCTCTCTGTCTAACGCTTCCACTACTAACCCGCACTTTCCAGAAACAAGTTCAAGCGCTGGGCCATGTGCTGGCGTTACGGTAGAGATACGAGAATCGGCTCAACCCAGTGGCAAATCAGCCTCCCGAAGCCAGCTACCTCAGCCACCCATCATACTGAAGTCACTCTACAAATCTGAGCGGGAACTCTGTATTTTTCAGCGCCGGTCCTCTCGATATATCGCCTCGGAATATGAGACAGAATGATTATAAAGAATTTATGGAGAATAAACTATAAATCATGCCAAGACCGATGAAAAAGATAGTCAAGTATACATGTTCAATGTCCAAAAGACTTCGTCACCAATTTTCCGATGTCTGAAAGCTTTCAAAACAAATAAATATCAATGGATAGATGAACTGGCTTAGGTGAGACGTGTAGTCCAGAAGTTGAACCTAATTTCCGCCGGCGACTGCGCTAGACCCGGAATTAGAGGGCGATTTTTAGCGGCGAGCGACCCCAGGAAACCACACAATTATAGGACCAAACCCGTAATGTTGCTCTTATACAGATGTATTGCTTTTAGAACTGTTGATGATAATTCTTAAGTAGTTTTGATAATTTATGAGTAATTTTTTATCAAACTTTTGATAAATCGTTCACCCCGTCGGAGTTTTTCTTGAAGTTTAGGAAATAGACGTATCCAGAAAGTCAGAATACTTCGAAAACCTTGGTTTTTATTGTTTTTTTCTGCATCCGATGACATTATCGGTGTTTACAAAAAACTACAAAAGGTTTTTCTAAAGCAAAGCTACATTCATGGTCGCTAGTTATTCTATTTTTCTACACAAATAATAATTTTTTTTATAAGCTATGATTATGAGAAGGATTCATTTGGGTTTGACCGATTGATCTTCAAATTTAAGTCGAAGTATGAGAGAAAAGTGACTCTACATTTCACCTGCGTGAGGTACTCCTGACGGACCTCGTCTCATTTTGTGCACTAAGCAAAAACTTCAGAAACAATAAAATCTAGACTGATTAAAAGTTTTTTATGTGGAAGACGAAACACAAATGTTGAAACTTTATATATTTTGCCCGAAAGCACGGCCCCTCGCCCAATTTGCCAAACCGTCGCCTGGGGAATCGAAGCCGTCAAAAAAAAACATCGCGGCAACCCCAGATTCGAGCTTCCCAGGTTCATCAAGAGAATTGTATTTTCCGTTTGAGTTTGTGCCCCGGGTTTTCCAACGATACCTCACCTGCTTCAGTTCACTCAACAATGTCCCCGGCGATGGTTCGGATTATTCATACTGTGGAATGCAGTCTGGGGGCATTATTGAATCTACTACTAATGATACTGGTTATCAGGACTCCAGATAAAATCGTTGGGAAGTATTCTTATCTACTATTCGGTTTCTCGCTGTGTAATTTGGTGTATGCGATTGCGGATGTGATGTTTGTGCCGGTGAGTTAAGAGCGAGAGAGAGAGTGAGAGAGAGAGAGAGAGACAGATTGAGTGAGTGAGTGAGAGCGAGCAGGAGCGAGACAGAGACAGAGAGACAGCCAGCTAGACAGAGAGAGCGAGAGAGCGGAAAAGAGGGAGAGAGAGAGAGAGAGAGAGAGAGAGAGAGAGAGAGAGAAAGATGAGAAAGAGCGTACGAGAGAGAGAGAGAGAGAGAGAGGGAGAGAGGGAGAAAGCTAGAACAAAAGGGTGGTTGAAAAATTCTTTTAAGGTGATTATGCTATCCGGAAGAACATTCGTCCTTGTGGATACAGCTCCTAAATTCGAGAATCCCACTTGGAATTACCTACCATTACTTCTATGCTGCAGCTTATTCTGCCAAACCCTCGTCCTGTTAATGTTCCAATTCGTCTATCGATATTCTGTGGTTTGTAGGTGAGTGGTATTGATACTAAACCGAAAAATACGCACAATTTTAGCAAAAAAAATTCCGTTTTTGAAGTCAGGAAAAGGAAAAATTACGAAAAATTCATGTTAAAAAAACTATAAATAAATAGAAAATAGAACTTTGTATGAAATCAATTATTAACTCCAGTAATAGAAACAATCCGCTACCTCGGCAACCATCGAAAAACAACATTGCGCTGGCTGTCTCGGTTTTCATCGGTATAACGTAAGTTTTCGATCTCATCCTCGCGATCTCTCTTTCTCTCTCACAAAGACTCTGTATCTCTCTGATTCGTTGTCTCTCTCTCCCTCTCTTTCTCTCTCCCCCCGTTCTCTCTCTCCTTTCGCCACTTTCCCCCCGAAAATATACTTTCTTCACTTGTACCACAACCATTAACAGAATCCTCGACTTTTCAGTATAGCTTGGACGACCACAACGCACTTTTCGATGGGAGCCGTCGGTGAGGACGTGTCACAGGCTATGAGACACATTTTCACCACCAACCTGGGAATGGACAACATCCCGAACACCGGATTTCTTGGCCAGAGCTACGATGTATGACTGTTTACGGGTAGTTTGCGTCATTGAAAAGTTTTCCTTCCGTCTGACGGCCCTCCGTCCAGAAACAAATCATTTCCAAGATTTAGAATATGTTTTTCGTGCCCAGTTTTTTTGGACTTTGTAGGGTACAACTTAGCAAAACAACAAAGCCCCCGAATTCCCCGAATTTCCAGCCGGCAATCAACGGTTCCCTGTGGACTGCCTATATCGGGATATGCACCCTACTGTCCATTCTGGGTGCAACGTGCGGGGTGATCGTTTTTTGTGGATGGAAAATATACCGTAATCTCCATGAGGGAGTGGCGGTCAGCGAAAAGACGAGGAGACTGCAGAAGCAGTTGTTTCAAGCTCTGATAATACAGGTGAGAGAGAGAGAAGGGGAGATAGAGAGAGAGAGAGCGAGAGAGCGAGGGAACGCGATAGAAAGCAAGATATCACGAGGGAACGCTATAAACAAGAGTGAGCAACGTTCGAGAGAGAGGGGGAGAGAGAGAGTGAGAGAGTAAACGCGATAGAAAGCAAGATATCTCGAGACAACGAAAGAAACAAGAGAGAGCAATGCTCGAGAGAGCTACAGAGAGAGAGCGAGAGAGAGAGCGAGAGAGGGAGAGAGAGGGCGAGAGAGAGAAATTCTTTTTTCCAGCTCCTCATCCCGATGACGTTCAATTACTTCCCCATGGGTTCTGTATTTTCGTCTGCCATCTTCGGAATTCCCCTAAATCTCGAGCCGATGACGGTCCTCTTCATGTTGGACCCAATTTTGGAGCCGATTGTCATAATATATTTTATTAAATGTTATAGGTAATTTTTTACCTGATGTTTGGTGTTTTTATGCATCTATTAATGTGGAGAATTCTAGCCAACTAAAAATACTTTAGGAAACAACTGGTTCGCTGGGCCCTCTGCAAGCGTGGCCAAGTCACTTCCGATTGGTCAAAAACCATGCCAAAGCCTTCGAGCTCCCATCACCGATCCGCTTCCATTAATGTACAAATTACGGACGCGTAAATAAAGCATATTTATGATTTTTTCATACTTCCGGGCTCGCAAAAAACGTGCAAAATGCAATTTTAGAAAGTAAAAACAAGCCAAATATTGAGAACCTGCCAAAAGAATCAAAAAATGCAGGACTTATTGGGCCTATTCAGGAATTGGATACGTGTAAATATTTTAATTGAATAGTAGTAGGGGCCCAAACAGGTATAAATACAGTCATGGCAAAATATTCCGCAATTTTTCCTCTCCTTCTCTCTCCCTCTGTCTCTCGATCTTTCACTCTCCCTCGCGCTCTCTTTATCTCACTCTCTCGCTTCATCAGATTTTCCATTGTGTTCCAATGATCGTACAACTGTAAAGAAAAGCTGCAGTACATTCAAAAACTAACGACAACACTTCTGCCATCATCTATTCCCTAGAGAATACCGATCAGACCTACCTTTCCAGCCGTGGAGATGTTGCTCAATTTTTGAGAGTCGAATTCCCTTGAGCGGGGCGAGGCCAAAATTAAATGGATTGTACTTGGAAACCCGTAAAATCAGATTTTCGCGGGTGTGTTTTAGAGAGCAACGTCTTTGTGATGATTTTTGGATAGTCCTTGAGCTCTACATTCGAGCAAGCAGATACCTAATGATTATCAAAATAGACGGTTGGTCGTATCCAAGGTTGGTCGCGTAGCGGCCGCGCTGCGGTCAAGAGCTTTGCATCCTTCATTTTTTAATCGAAACTTGAACGTCCGAGATCGTCGTTTCGTATGGTTTACTTTAATTTTTCTTTTTAAGCTCAGATATTTCGGAAAAATGAACTTTCTCACTGGTTTAATCCAGACGTACTTGCCGAAAGCGTGATTCAACTACAACCAGCCGATTACTTTTTTTCGGAAGTTAATCTTTTGTATCTTTGTGTGATTTTCCGAACCCTGACTAGCTTCTTACCCAAAGTTTTGGCACGTTCCTCTCCAGGGCTACGATAAATTCAGGGTGGGAAATATGGTTTGATCAGATTTTGCTATCCTTCTGAAAAGCAGGATATGCGAATTTTGGCTAACCCGATTTATCTTGACCGATTTTTGGGGTTTTTTTTTTTGGTTGCGAAACACGGGTGCTTCTATGAGACCTGGGACGGTCCAAGAGGCTACAAAGACCACCCAAGCAAAGATTTCTCTATCTGAACGTTCTTCCCAAACAAAATTTTTTTTATCCCACAATTTTTTCCTCAATAGTTCTGCTTATTTTTACTCTGGTTTTTTACAATCAACTTTTACCACCTTTTTTCTACCAGAAGAGATTAATTTTTTACACCGGGAAAAACGTGACACAAGCCCATGCATATCATTAAAATAAGCAAGAGAGTATTTAAAGCTTTTATGTATGCTCCGTATAAGCCATGCAATTTTTGCAGCGTATAGGTTTTGTATTTATTTTTTGTAGCTCGCAAACTATGCAAAGGGCCGTGAAAGCTAATTTTGTAGAGCTTTTCCAAAAAAATGGCATGAAACCCCTATTTCCGGCCCAGTCAAACTACAGAATACACCTAGCTACGCTTCCGGTTGGCCCTGTAAAAGTTGTGCTTTCAATTGGCCAGCCTGACGGTCCGATGTTGACGCGTGAAAATGAATTATCGGAGATCCAAATTTGGTTTTCAAGCCAATCGGCCACTAATTTTCCCTCCCCACCACCCTCAAGCTGGCAGCCAGAATCCGTAAATTGTTTTCATAGACAAGGTATCGAAGCAATCTAGCAATATAAGCAATTTCTTTTTGCTTGTGCTATTAAATTACAATAGCCAAAAGTACATCCAATATTTTCGGCGCGTCTTTTTATTTTTGCCCGTTTTGTAGCTATAAAAGCGGTAAGATTCCCAATGCGTCATTTTTCGATTTACTTTCTGGCGCCAATTACGTAACCACCAGGCCTATACAAATACCGCTAATATGCGTAACTTTTCATCATTTAATTCTCTGGATTTTTCACATCAGTTATAATTTTTTCGAAAATTCAGATGAAAAATTGATTATATCAGCTTTTTTTCCCTTTTTTAAACAATTCTTTTGCTTTTTTTTGTTGTATCTAATTTTGCATTTGGTACAGCTCATTTTAGGTGAATTTTTAGTACTTATACATGAATTTTGAAAATATCTAACTTTAGAAAAATGTATTCAAAAGTCATGATCCGCCAAATTCACGCCGGCGTCTCGTCGATCGGCTTGGCGTTGAACTTGCTGGCCATTTTCCTGATTCTCAAAAATAAGCACAGCGTTGTCGGAAGATATGCGTATCTCTTATTCTGCTTCTCAATTATCAACCTCGTGTATGTGTTGGTGGATTTGCTATTCGCTCCGGTACGTCAGAAAGCTATCAAAAATCGGCTTTAAAATGGCCGGACACACCGAAAAAATTCTTAAAAAACAAAGTGGTCAGAATTCGACATCGATCGTCGTTCCCTTTGGAAAAATTAAACCAAGCTAATTTTTTCTAAGACAACCACTTAATATCTTTTGAAACGAGCTTAAGGTCATGCTCAAGTTTTTTAGGCCAACATCGTCTCCGGCCACACCTTCCTCCTCGTAAATTTATCAGCTCTGTTACCGACTCCAAGGCTGAATTACATTCCTACAATACTTTATTGTGTGCTATGCTGTCAAACTCTGGTGTTATTAATGTTCCAGTTTGTCTACAGATACGCTCAAGTTTGCCGGTAAGCATTGCTACAAGAGAGGAAAGAGAGGAAGAGAGAGAGAGAGAGAGAGAGAGAGAGAGAAAGAGAGAGAGAAAGATAATGAGAGGGAGAGCGAGAGACAGAGAGAGAGAGAGAGAGAGAGAGAGAGAGAGAGAGATGGAGATGAGCTTCATCTTAGAGCCCGACATCTTAATTCCAATTTTCAGAAATTCCTTCTTATGGAAAATCTCAAAGGCTAAGCTGGCGCTGATCAGCTTTTTGATATTTATCGCGTATAGGTATTCGAATTCCCCATTTCTATGTAATTTGATAATGATTACAGTACTGTCTGGTCTCTGGACGTCATGTTTTGTATGACTCCTCATGACAGTAATGTTTATGCTGCGATGGAGAGCTTGTATAGAGACAAATTCAGCTCAAGCCTGAATGACACTGGATTTATTGGGATCAGTTATGATGTGAGTAAGAGAGAGCAGAGAAAGACAGAGAGCGCTAGAGAGCGAGAGAGAGACTAGCTTTTCAAAGTTCTTTTTTAGCCCGAACTCAATCCGGAGCTCTGGGTCGGCTACCTGGGTACAGTTCTGGTAATCGGCATGTTGGCCTCGATCTGGATGGTCATCATATATTCTGGCTACAACGTCTACAAGGCGTTGAGCACCGCCAGGATTGTCAGCAAAAAGACGAAAAGCTTGCAGCAGGAGCTGTTTCGAGCCTTGGTTATACAGGTATTCTAAAAAATCGACACTTTTTAAAGAGACACTAACCAAAAGCACGAGAATTTTCATAAATGAAGTAAATTCCTATCTAAAATCTGTTGCTTAAGAGAATTTGAGCTAAATAAGTCGCCCTTTTCAGCTCCTCATCCCGCTCTTCTTCAACTACCTCCCAATGAGCCTCATCTTCGCTTCTGCCATCTTCCGAATTTCCGTTGATCTCGAACTCACCGGACTTTTATTCATGCTTGACCCTTTTATCGAGCCGATCGTTATTATTTACTTTATTAAGTGCTACAGGTAAGCTGGATTCAGTCTCTCTCACTCTCTCTCACTCTCTCTCTCGCTCATAAGAATTCTTCAGGACCTCCTTCTACCGTATCTTCTGTTGCCGTGGCGTCACTGGGAGCCAAGTGTACTCCAGTCAAAACGCTAGACTTTCCCAACAAATCAAGGCCAACTCGACTAGTGCTGCTGGAGATGTCGAACCTACAGAAAGGCCCAGCGGGGCAAAACCGGAAATTTTTGTATCGATACCTGAGTAACGTTGATAAACTTTTTTGCCTTATTCGGTTCTGCTGCTATGTACAAAGAACTTTTCACGCTCTTGCAAGTCATTCAGGACTTCCGGACCCCAATATCTGCTGTAGCTGTTTGTCTCTCTCATTTGCATCTCTCTCTCTGTCTCTCTCTCTCTCTCTCTCTCGATGAAAACAGTCTACAAACCTTGTGTTTTAGCCCTCATGTCTACAAAACTTCACCTGCTTCCGCAGAATTTGGCGCTGATCTTTCCCAAAAAAATTCGAAAGTACTTCCCGAGACTTGAACCCGCTATACTGTATTGCCTTCAGTCTGATCCGCGTCAGTCCTGACCCGCGAGGTTGGCGAAGCGTTTCCTAAAAAGCGCTTTTCACCTGGTATTTTCAATCTATTCGATCCCAGGTGCGGCGTCGACCTAAATGCCAAATTGTCAGTACCCTTTCCTGGCCTTGGCCGAGCCAATACCGTAAATATTTAGTGGCAATTCTTTGCGAGTTGACGGTGGTCTTCGACAAATAACTTTTGGTGGTTTTTGGCCGGGTTCGGAGGTTGGGCTTTAAAGGCGTTATTGAGCCTGATCTTCTTCAAAATTTTGGGTTTAGGTCGCTAAGCAGTTTTCCGAACTTTAGCTCTCTATCGCTGTCTCTCTCGCTCTCTCTCTCTCCCGCTCTCTCGCTCTTTTCTTTCTGTCTCTCTCTCGCTCTCTCTCTCGCTGTAGCTATCTCTCTGTCTCTGACTCATTTTCTCTCTCACGCTCTATCTCGTTCTCTATTTCTAACTCTCACTGTCTCTCGCGCCAGACTCTCTCTCTCTTCTTTTTTATTTTTTTCGCACTTTTTACCTCCTCAAACTCATCCACTTTCGCTCTCATCTCTCTCCTTCTATTTCTCTCTCTCTCTCTCTCTCTCTCTCTCTCTCTCTCTCTCTCTCTCTCTCTCCCTCTCTTTCTCTCACTCTCCCTCTCACTTCTTCTCTCTCTCCCAGACAAAACTTTACGCTATTCTCGCACAAGACCGTAGCCAATTTACGCAATTTTCAGTACACATAGTCCAAAGTCTGCAAAACAAGTAGTTAATATGATTCTAATCCAATGCCTTTTGCGTTGATTGTCTACCCTGAAGATATCGTAATTTACTTCCATCGAAGCGGCGCCGTATTTTCCAAAAAAACACGGAAATTTTCTCAGGCCGTCTAAAAACTGGCCACCGTACCCTGGTTGTACGATGACCTCACACCGCTTTTAATGCATCCCAGTAAGTACCCACGCTAATTCTGAAGCACGAGTCACAGGTCAAAAGCCGGCCGATACGTGAGAATACGGCCTTTAAGTAGCTTTGAAAACATCTAGAAATAGCCCATCAGCGCTGGATGAAAGTTTGGTCCCGGGGCGACAGCTGGATTTTGCAGTTTTTGCTTGGTTTTCCAATTAATTTTTTCTTTCGGCACGCCCCGTTCCTGGTGGAAAAAAAATTTTTAGTCCGGGTTGCCCTACTGCTGCGAATGGATTTTTAAAGGGGCTGTGACGGCAGGCTTTGTTTCGTGTTATAACGTAAATTCTTGAATGTAGTATGCATCAATGCACAAACCAATTGCTACTTTTGGACAATTTCTACGGTCTGGTTACTAATATTTACTTTAAACTTTGTTATAATTCCTATCCTCTACTTACGACCAAAATTGCGTCATTTAAAATTCTGCGGTAATGGATCGAAAATTTCTGATACTCCCAAGAGACAACCGGTTAAAACTAGAAGGGGCAAAGTTGATCTGCACCTGTGGCTCCCCAAATCTTTTGGCATTTCAGAGAAATTTCAGGCAAAGTTTCAGAGATCGTCTGCAAATTTTTAGGATGATTTTAAGGTTCTATATAAAGTCCTCTTTTATTTTCCTTGGAACACCCACACACCCTCTCTCTATTTCTCTCTATCTCACTCGCGCTCTCTCTCCCGCTCGCGCTCTCCCTCTCCCTCTCTCCCGCTCTCTCTCTCTTTCTTGTTGAAATTCGATTTAGTTTCAGAAATGCTAACCCAAGAGCAGCTCCGAAAATTCCACGGCACCGAGTGTATCATCGCTTTCGTGCTAAACCTGGTGCTCATCTCGCTGATCATCCGGAAGACGTCTACCGTAATTGGGAAATATTCGTATTTACTACTCGGATTTTCTGTCTTCAACTTGTTGTATGTCACCGTGGATTTTCTGATCGTGCCGGTAAGTTAGAGACGAGAGAGTGAGAGAGAAAGCGAGATAGAGAGAGAGCGAGTGAGAGATAACGAGAAAGAGAGAGCGAGAGAACGAGAAAACGAGAGTACAATAAAGTCCAAACTAAAGTTTCTAGACAACCATCGTATCCGGTCGTACTTATGTATTGGCAGTTACATCACCAATTTTCACCTCAAAATTGTTAAACTACATCTTACTACTCGTCTATTGTTGCTTATTCTGCCAGATACTTATCCTACTCATGTTCCAATTTGTCTTCCGGTATACGGTAGCCAACGAGTAAGCCCTATCTATCTTTTTCTTACAATTAAATTCAGACAATCCTTCTTCAAAAAGCTCTCCAAGAAGGAGATCTTGCTCGTTTGCTTTTTGGTTTATGCTGTATTTAGGTATGTTATTACGGAAATTTTTTAATACCTCTTTTCTAGGATATCAACTTTTATTTTAAACTCTGTATTGAAGTTTTCAACTACATTTAAAATCTTTTTAAATAAGCCGATTTCATTTTTATTTTTAAGGCGATTTAGGCGCGTTCTTTGATTTCCGATTCCATACTTTTTGCACCACCGCATTTTGGAGAATGTTTCGTCGAGATCAAGTTTAATTTGTAAAGTCTCTAGGGGCAACAGGCGTCTCGAAATCTTATTTTTAGTAAATGCGAAGTTCGAGTTCAGTTTTTACATAACTACAATAAATTTGATCAAGTTTGCGAAAATAGAGGTGAAAAACTGGCAAAAAAATTACAAAGGAGCCGGAAAAATATTTTTAAAGGGCTCAGGAAGGCAAAAATTGATGCATAAAAGTGTAGAACCGTGTGATTTTTGAAAATATTGTTTTTGAAACTTTGGATCTAACAATCATTCAAGTTTTTGAAGCACCTTGTAGTTTGCTTATCTATTGTTGATTTTCAATCCATTACGCCTTATAAATAATTCTCTTTTGATTATTTTTCAGCGGCGTCTGGACAATCAACAGTCACCTGACCCTCGGCGCCGTCCAGCCTGACGTCTATCTCGACATGTCACGCGTGTATTTTGAGAACTTTGGCCGGCCGCTGAACGAGACCAGCTGCATCGGGCAGAGCTTCTGGGTGCGTCGAGCACCTGAAATCATAACGCAAAAAATTGAGAATCTAAAGGAATTAGGAAAGTCGTGAAAAATGATCCAGCGGTATGGGATCCTGTAAATACGTAGCAAGCTTATTTTTGTTTCTTGCCAAATTTTTTCAGTTTTGAAACAATTTTCTTCTTCTTCGCGAGGCCTTAACGAACGTTTTGCTATATCTTACGGCTATGTAGCTGAAAAGGGAGTCGATATATCAAAATTTCCAAATCCAGCGCTGTGATCCGGGGTTGGGTCTAACCGTACACGCCATCAAATCCTCGACACCCTACACACAACCAGATGTTGATCGATTTTTATAGTCAGCCACCAACAGCTCGCTATGGATTGCGTATTTCGGGACGCTGATGCTGATCGTAATCTTATCGATTACCTGGAGCGTCATCATCTACTCTGGCTATCAAATCTTCAAGCTTCTCGGCATCAAGGAAGCCGTCAGCCAGAAAACGCGCGCACTACAGAAGGAGCTATTCAAGGCCCTGGTTGTTCAGGTGAGAATCAAGAATTTTCTACTCTTCTAAAGGCAACGAAAGCTTCTAAAAAAAGTTGGCAATTCCCGGCTTCCGGTTTTTTAAAGTTATCAAAAAATTGTACTTTTACAAAAAAAGTTAATGTTGAAAAGTGACCCCAGCTTGTCCTTTTAAATGCCACCTAATTTAGCTCCTCGTCCCATTGTTCTGCAACTACCTTCCCCTAACTTGCATTAATGGTTCGGCGGTATTTGGAATTCCGATGAACATTGAGCCAATGTGCATCCTGGTCATGTTTGATCCGATCCTGGAACCACTGGCGATTATGTACTTTATTCGCTGCTATCGGTGAGTTCGTCTCTCTCTCTTTCTCTCTCTCTCCCTCTCTCTCTCTCTATCTCTATCTCTCTCGCTCTTTCTCGCTCTTTCTCTTACTCTTTCTATGTTTCTCTCGACGTTTGCAACGCGTTCAGCCGGTGCTGCCAAGTGCTACATGCACAATTCCGGTTCTAAAAAAATAGATTTTTGCTTTTAGGGAAACCATCATTCGCTTCATCTGTTGTCGAAAAGCCCCCGAGTCGAAGGTGTACACCAGCAGCGGAGGAAATGCCTCCACCAGGCGCCAAACTTCGAGCAACAAAGTATCGGAAGGAAATCAGGGCACCACCACTCGGACTTCCGTGGCCGATGCCCAGATCGAGATCAGCATCTCGAAGATATGAGGCCAAGATCAAAAACCGCACTTCATTCATTATATGCACTTTTTCAATCAATTTTCCTTGCTTTTCTCTATACATTTTCGGCAAAAATTACGTTTCAATGCGTTTTTACATCAATTTTGTAAACGGTGTTGTAAAGTTGGTACTGATCTTTTTCTTTGTATAAACCTTTCTTTCTTGCAAATTTGATAAAATGCTGTTTGTGTTCTTAAGGGGAGGTTTGAGTTAATTTGTAAAAATTACAAATTTTACTTTAGTCTCAATTCGGATATTTATGTTTAAAGCAGCATCAGTGAGATCTAGTGCAATAGAAACATATCGAAATAAAAACAGAATCAGCATCTCGACTGGATTCACCCGCAAATTTGGCATAGATCAAAACATAGAGGTTTTGGATTTTAAAAGGATAGCAATTTTTAAGTACTCATTTTGTTACAACAATTCCCGAGGCAGGAAGTTCATCGGGTCGCCATCGAACCACTAAAATTGATTTTATTATTTTATTTTGACGGTTCTACTTACATTCACCAATTTCTGGTGATGCTCATCGGTCCGAGCTTCAACCTTGGAATTCGCGAGAGCTGCACTGGCGGCCTGAAAATGTAAAATTTCTACATAAAAGAGCGTAGAGGAGAGAGAGAGCGAGGGCTAGAGAGAGAGAGAGAGAGAGAGAGAGAGAGAGAGAGAGAGAGGGAGAGAGATAACACTTACCTCAATACTCTCCACCGTTTCCTTCAGGGTAATTCCTTGGACCGTTTCGGTCTCGCTGACGAAATCTGGAATTGACGTTGTAATCAATGGCTTCAAAAGTTTTATATATATAAAGCTAAATAAACTTATGAATTGTATAAAAAAGAGAGGGTTATGGAAGCCTTAAGCATAAAATTATATACCTTTAATGTGCAAATACGTCCAGAGGAGCAGCGCGTGGTCGACCATCTTTTTGGACCAGACGAGCGTGCAGACACTTGCTGAAAATCGATAGGTCATCTCTCTCACTCTCTCTCTCTCTCTCTCTCTCTCTCTCTCTCTAACCCTCTCTCTCTCTCTTTTTCCTGTAACTCACAATGCACATTCTGCGGGTTTCCAGTGAAGTAAGTTGAAAACATTGGAAAGACGAGGGAGTGGAAGCGGAAGAAGTCTTGTTTTTTGGTAGCACCAAGATTGTGGACGACATGGCTCCTAAAAACGTTCGCGGTATGACGACGTAATGCTCTGTAGCTTGTTAGAATCTATATAGTTACCTGAATTCATTCTGCCTATTGAACAAGTATGAATGGTACATGTAGAGGGTGTAGCCGAGGATTTCGATCACGGGGGTCTGGCCTTCCAGACATCGAAGATGAACTCTGAAGTATGAGAAATGCCTTCAAAATGTTTTATTAAAGGCATTGTTCCCAGTACGCCCCTTTAAAGGAGCTAGAAAGCGCTAGAACCGATCACGGTCGTCGACTAGGTCTCGACAGCTACACCACACTCCAGTAGGTATTTTCTCTATTTTACTCCACAATAGGTATTTTGGAGCGTGAATTGAACGACCTATTCAGTAGCAGGGTATGAAATGATGCCTTCTCAGTTCCTTTAAACGAGCAACAGCGCCCGAGTCAATGCCTTTAATGCCTATGTAGGTGTGGATTGCGAAGTTCCGCCCCACTGCTTGCTTCAGTACAATTTTACAGGTTTTTTAGAGTTGGAGTGTAGCTGTCTAGGCCCACTTGATCGAATCCGTCGATTTTCGGGGTTCCCGACCCCTTTAAAAACCCGGAAAAATTCGCTTTAAACTCACTTGTCAGCAATAGCGTAGTAATCTCGTAGCCGACAGGTCCTTAAGTAGAATAGAGCAGCGTGTAGATGAGCAATTATCCCGGTTTGCTGTCCTTTTACGCCCTAAAAAATGACCTAGATCTTTAAGTTTTTTTGCCTACCGATACGGCCAGTTTAAAATGGCGGGCGGCCGCCTCCGAGTTGTCGTCGTTGTAGATACAGTAATTTGCCTAAATAATGATATTTCAGCATTTTTTTACTGACTCACCAGCAACAAATGAGTTAACGGGTAGAATTCCTCAGCTAGGAAACGGTTCCGGGACGACATCTCCAGGATGCAGCGGATCTGAAAGCAAAATATGCTTAAATTCTCAATTTTTTTATTGCTAAAAATCAGCTCGCATTTTTTGTAAGTAATTCTGTTAATAAACACTATTTAAACCATTCGAACAGCTGATTTTGGCATGTTTTGTGACCCACATTTAATAGAGCCTTCTTCGGCTGGCAGGAGATGATGTTCATCTGGCAAAGTAGCTCGTCGAGGATCTGAATTTAAACTTTTTATTGTTTACATTTATTTTCCTTTAGAAACTTTTTATATGTAAATTTCGATGAAATTCATTTAATAACATATTTTAATAATGTAGTTGGATAGAGCAGAAAAATTGCACGTAAAGCTTAAAAAAGTTACCAAAAAGTGGTCATCGTGGACAAAAAATATGTGTTTTTTTCTAACGATTCCGACTTACAATCCTCATCTTCTCCAACAGCCTAGCCGTGCTGGCGTCGTACGGCTTGGAGGCGTGCTTCATCTCCATCGCTTTCAAGTGATTTGTGGCGATTCCGTAGTATTTTTGGGCCTTATCAAGAAGACAGGTTGTCATGGAATGGGCCTGGAAATGAGGTTGGACTTAAACAAGTATTTTTTTTTCTTTTTTTATTCTTGTTTTATGTTTAATTCATGGAAGAACAATTTCAAAACTTGTTCTCACGTTTCATTTTTGAACTTTTTAGATTTTTAAATCTATAAAAAAATACTTACAACAGTGAAGACACAAGTCAAAATCGTAATCACGTCCATCATACACCAAACGAATCCTTAAATTTGATGAAATTTAATATTCCATATTAATTTTATAATTCAATTTAGCATAAAAATTCTGAACGGACCTTCCGGCAGCTCGGAATTGGCGTACACCTGCGACTCTTGCTGCATGTCTCGGAGGAAGCCTTTCGCGCTTTTGGCCTAAACACAGAAGACTTTATCCTTTTTTCAAAATGTAACTAGAAATTACTTTTCTATATTAGTTGCATGCATATAATGTCGAAAACTATCTTTTTGCTTTTTCTAATTTTCCTAACCTGTCCCCTGGACAGCCAATACGCCAGCTGGGTTCCGCGCGCAAACAGATGCAAATTAGGGACGGCCGGGTGGGTGCGGGGCATTTCCTAAATGGTATATGACATTTCATGATATTTTTAATGTTATTTAATACGCCGATTTATGCCTTCTTTTGATTAACTCACGCATATGCTCTTGATAATATCTGGTGGCTGATCATCCGGCCCCTCCATAACGTTCAGCTTCATTTTCACCTGAAAATGGGGTATCTTGGCGCGGTAATTAAACTTTAGACGTTAAAAATTTTTGATTTTCAATAGTTGATTGCTTTTGAGCAAGTTTAATCTCCAAATTTGTGAAATTACGCTCTGAAAACCCGTCATTTTACGGGATTTCTGAGTAGGCTTAATAAAAATCCGTTAAAAATTATGTTAAGCGAAAGGACAGCGTTTTTTCATTCAATTAAGTATCTAAATTCTTATGCAACTTGCCAAATTGACCGTCAACGGGTAATAAAGCGTCAGCGGCGAGTTTTCGGGGGCGTTTTGCCGGCCCATTTCGAGCAGACGAACCGCGTCCTCGGCGCGGCTTTGGATGGTGTACATTTCCTAAAAGTTAATTATATTTATATCTAGACTATCTAAAAAAATGTTACAAGACGTTAAAACGTTATAAAAGCTCTAAAACAAGATAAGAACTCTTCTTTCATCCACCTACCGTTAATAACAAAATCAACCGATGGTAGAGGTAGGGATACGCAAGGGCGCCCGGGATTTCGGCCACCATTTGCGGAATTATCTAAAAATTGTTTTAAATAATTGTTTCCCGCAAATTAATGTTTTAAATTGCTTTATAAAGTACTGTTTAAGCCTTAACTTACCGACGCAAAGTTCTGCTCAGCCATGCAAATCTCGCAAATCAATATAAAGGCCTGGAGGTGGGTTTCTTTGAAGATGTCGTCAAAGTTGGCCGTCATTTGGTACTATAAAGCCGTTAGTTTTTAGAAAACAAGTATTATGACTTACACTTTGTAATAAATACTCCTTGGCCAGTTGTAACTGCTCGGTGTGGTAGTACAACATCCTGCCATAGACCAAATTACAATGCGCCAGTAGATGAGGGGACATTCGGAGTTTGAAGCAGCTCTATAAAAAGGTAAATAAGCTTTTAGAGCTTTGTAGCTTATATATAGCTTTATAAAGCTTATAATAATGTATAATTATTATTTATTATACTTACAAAAGCGACTTTAGACTTACCAATACACATTTCATGGCCATCTTGACTTTTGGGTTTTCCTGCGTTCGCAGGCATTCGGCCATCGCGAGTAGATGATTTACAATGTGATCTTGGTCTTCCATTCTATAATTGCGAGTTTTATGTACGTTTTAAGGCTGTTTTTCTGACACAAAAAGAAAAAAAATACAAAATATAGCGATTTCATTGACGAAAATTAAAATTTTCGAAAATTCTAAGACGCTTAACATTCGCTTTAAAGTGGGAATCTTCAATTATCATTAACAAGCTATAATTTAATGATAAAAACAATATTAAAATCCAGGAAGCAACGCCTTTCAAGTTCAACCGCAACTCGATTGACCCGCCACCCGGGCCCTTCACTGCGTCTCTACCACCCCGGGAAGGCTGCCAACTGCTCTGGCTGTCTGAAGAAAAGAACACTAACCCAGTTCCACCACACACCAATGTCGTTTCGAGCCGTCTGCCATTTCTGAAGGTATTATCTTCGAATCCACAACTGGCCAAGAGGATAGCTCTTAACAAATACAATTTTATCAATTAAAAAACGCGTCAACAAACAGTCGAGACGATCAAGTAGATGAACTTCGTTGGGTGACGGCTGGATCCTAAACAGAACTTTAAAGTAAAAATAGTTATGAAGAATCAAAATATTATTATTATAAAAACATTGAACAACCCACCCTCGACAAAACAAAGTCGGCCTCCCTGACCCCGGCGAGCTGCAGGAAAAGCCGCTCTTGCTCCTCGGGGTTGAGCTGGCCGTCGAACACGAGCTTCTCGAAAAGCTAAAAATAGTGACTTGTATATATTTAAAGTCAAATCCACCTGAGCCTGCTCCTCGGAGAGCTCAATCTCCTCCTCCACCACCTCCTCGACAAGTTGGACCCGTTCGAGGGCAGGGAGATCGGTGTCAACAGGCGTCTTTTGCAGCTCTTGATCGTTGCTAAAAATGGCTATAAATGAAAATTTTTCAAAGGAAATTACTTATTAGAATGCTCCATCTGGTTCGAGCTCCCTCTGCCCACAACAATTTCTTCAAAGGTGCCAGGGTGAAGCCGGTCAGCATTTCCGGTATGCATCGGGACGCCATTTGGAGTAATTCTTTGTCTATAAAGAAAAACAATTTAAATGTATATTCACAAACGCGTACTAATAAATAATTAGACGTAATAAAATTTTAACTAGTTTAAATTAAAGTAATAATTAAATTAAATGATAACTTTCTAAACGGGGTATTTCCCCTATCCCGAAATTCTGTATCCCGAAATTCTGTATCCCGAAACTCCCAATCCCGAAACTCTCTATCCCGAAAACTCTCTATCCCGAAAGCTCTCTATCCCGAAAACTCTTTATCCCGAAAACTCTTTATCCCGAAAACTCTCTATCCCGAAACTCAGTAGTAAAAATTAGCTAGTTTTCCTAACGCCAGACTAGATCCTTGAAGCCGGAAATCGTTTTCTGCATATTATTTCGGTTCCGGAAATTTGATAAAATGATTTTCCGATGCCTTCAAGGAGGTAGGGCGTTAGGAAACGCAAAATACTGAGTTTCGGGATAGAGAGTTTTCGGGATAAAGAGTTTTCGGGATAAAGAGTTTTCGGGATAGAGAGCTTTCGGGATAGAGAGTTTTCGGGATAGAGAGTTTCGGGATTGGGAGTTTCGGGATACAGAATTTCGGGATAGAGAGCGGTATTCATAACGAACGGAAAAGCAAAATATTATTTTACGATTCTCAAAAATAAAACTATAAAATCAAAAAATGAAATCACCTATCACCCCACTCGTCCTCGTCGCCTTGATCAGGTGCCAAGGTTTCTGGAGCACGAGATGAGACGAGCGGCAAAATCTATCACTCTTAAGGTTCAAGCCGAAAATTTAGAAACTCTACCTCGCTCTCATTATACTCAACGAGCCGGGCAATCAGGAATCCAACGTACTCGTCGATGCGGCTGCACTGGTCGCAAGCTATGTAGCGGTCGCGTAGCATTCTAAAAATGTTTCATAGGCTTTTATAGATCGTTGTAAACTTTATGAAATTTAGGAAAACTTTTTTATTTAGAAAAAGAAAAAAACGTTATAAATGGTTATAAAATACCTGCAAGCATACTCCAACGTCGGATTCGCGTAGCCGAACAGGTCGTCTTGCCCGAGTGGTGACCAGAAGCCGATGAACTCCGGGTCGAAGAGGTTGTCGAAGAAGTGGGCAATCTAAAAAGATATTAAACCTTATCAAAATTCAAATGTTACAACCTCGTCCAGCTGCATCTCCCTCAGCCCCTCGAACAGCTCGCTGACGGTCTGGTCGAACGCCGTGACGTCGTCGGTGTGCAAAAGCCGACGTAGAACGCAGAGGATGCTGTATTTGTCGACGCGCTTCGTGACCAGCTGCTCGAGCGTGGCGGCCCAATCGGAGAGTAGATGCCACTCGGCGTACTTGACGGCGACGGGTTGGCCCTAAAAGATTTCTAGCTGAGATAAGCCGGGAAATTTTACCTCCGTCGAGAAGTGGTCCTTGATCAGCTGCAAGGAACGCTGCGGGCTGTCCATGACGAACGTCTTGATCTCGCCGGTCCAGCTGGAAAAGGGGATTGAAGGTACCAGGAAGCGTCAGAATCGACCCTTCAGTCCACTAGGTCTCGACAGCTATGACAGGCGTCAAAAGACGCCGGCCTTGAAAGCGTCTTTTGGAGCGACGCGTAGTTGTCGAGACCTAGTCGGCGAAAGCGGTCGATCCAAGCAATTTCTATCTCCTTCAAATGCACTAGTTCCTCAAAAATCGTCCTATTTTAAAAAAACTCACACTGCCGCCAGCTTATCCATCAACGGCTTCAAGTCCGGGCGGTCGCTGACGTACAGAGCAGCCACGCGTACGTTCCTGTCGTCGTCAAACACCAGCGTCAGCGTGATGCGCAGCTTCCAATTTCCCAGGGCCAGGTTGAACTAAAAAAGTCGTGTAAAATTCAAGAATTAAAAATAAAAATTCCAAAATTTCATTTCTTTAATTCCTAGGACCTCTTCATAATATATAAAACTTATTTTAATGTTAATACAAACTATTTCGTACCTCTTCAAAGCAAACGCCCTTGTGGGCCTGGGATCTCCACAGATTTTCCATGTGTTCATCCATGTAGCCGAAGGAAAGGGAAAATTCGGAAGCGGCTTCTTGGTCGTCAAAACCGAATATTGTTCCATCTGGGTACCTCTAAAAAAGGAAAAATAACGTAAATAAATAAGTAAACACTACTTTCGTATCCGTCAAAAATTGCCGAAGTGATTCACGCTCCGTTGGGGCATAGACAAATTGGAGGTGGAAATCGTCGCACCTCGGTTTTGGCGTGTAGCTGGGGGAGGTGATGCCTTCGAGTTCTAAAAAAATCGAGTTATATGCAAAAATCGGATCGGATAACTTCATTACTACGGTAATTCCATTAAATACCTCGCAAACGGTCCATCATCACCTCGAGCGCCGCGTTCGCATCCATCGTGTACAAATAGTCGTCCAGCGCGTCGCGCTCGTTTGGGGAAAGCCTGAAAAATTAGTTGAGGCTCTTGTCACCATTTATTCTTCATCAAACAGATAAACTTAAACCTTCGAAAAATAAAAGTATTTTTGCATGCAAAAACGAAATAGAAAATATAATTCCCTCTCTTTGAAAAAAGCGTTTCCTCAAAAAAAAATAACGAAATAAAAGTCAAAATTCAAAAATAAATTAAAATCAATTGAATTATTACTAAAGAAAATTGAAAATAATAATTAGTGCTAATAATTCCCTTCTAAGGGGAAAGCGCTAAATAGATAGTTAACTGAAAGTTAAAACGAGGAATAAAAAGCTTTCCAAACTAATGAATTATCTCCTTCTTTTAAAATTTGAAAATACAGACTAAGAATTTAAAATGTCTAAAAAGTGCTACTACCTCAACATCGGCGTGCCCAATCGATGGCCCGTGTGCTCGACGCAGCCAATGATCGACAGACGTCCGTCATCCGAGTGAACCACCTAAATTCTTATTTGACAAAATATAAAAGATCATAAACAACCATTTTTTTACAAAACATACCCTCAAAAAGCATGCACACGTCCGCTCGCCTTTCGCGCGCGGCGGGAGAACCTTGGCAAACCGGGGCTGATACCCGGCGACACAATGCGGCACGAGGTTCCTGTCCGGCCAGTGGCCGCCCGAGCGCGAGCAGTACAGGTACAGAACCTAAAATTAAATCTAAAAAAAAACAATTTTAATATTTACCTGCAGATCCTGAATAGTTCTCATGCCAGTCTTCTTGACGAAATCGATGCTGAACGACTCCTGGACGGCGTGGAACCAGCTCTGAAAAAAAAATAGGATATAATCGGGACATAAAAGTATTAATTACGTATTCGGTCGTACTCACAAGCACAAATTAAACAAATTCACAATTTCTGACAACTTTGTAAGAAAATCCAGCGTTTCCGGATTAATTTTGCAAAACCACATTAAATTTCAATAGTAGAAGTTCCTGCGGAGCCTTAAATTGCGCAGAAAACACTATATAATGCATTTTTTACATTTAAAACCCCCAAACTATAATTTAAAGGCAAGATAAGATAACAATTAGTACTTCGCGAAATTTCGTTAAAATGCCCTTTTTTGCGCACCCTAAACTTTGTGGCTTTATTATTATTATGAAAAAAAGCTTTAAGTTCCTGCATAAATTCTCATAAATAAAGTTATATAATAAAAATGACTATAAAAATAAAAAAGCGTTTTTGAAAACATCCGACCTCATAATCGTCCTCCTTGGTCAACTCGCGCTGCACGATGCCGCCGATCCGGTGGCGCGTGACCATGTGGTCGACGAAGCACTTGTGCGTGCTGACGACATTGTTACACTCCTCGCAGTGGAGCTAAACGTACTAAAGTAACAAAAAAAAGACAACATGAAAGCAGTGCGCTATCAATTAAATTCAAAGTTACAACTCACAATTTTCTGCGTGGCCTTCGGATTGAGGAAGCCCGGATGGACGCGCTTCAAGTGTCCGGCACGCGTCGAGCGGCTCTTGCCTCGCCATGGGCAGCCAATGACGTGGCAAGCGTACTGCGCGCCCTGGACGTGGCCGCCCTAAAAAATGTGTAGCGTTTTTGGTACTAGCCTGTTAGAAGGGGGAGGGGTTTTTTGAGCAGAAGGGGAAAGCTACCTGTTTAAAAATTCAAATTTTTGACTGTTACTTAAAGATTAAAGACGTTACTCTAGGTTTTTACCGAAAATTTTTTCCATCTATTTTCAATTTTCAGGAATTTTATACATTTAAAAATGATGGATAAAGCTAAACACACGTTGCACTTTCATTATTGAGCTGACAGAAACGCCAAATTGAGCCCCCCCCCTGCTAAGAGACCAGCGCCAAAAAAAGCTTGAACTGTCAAAAACTGCTAGCTAGAATAACGACACATAAACAGGGGAAAATGGCTGTTTTCCGGTAAAGTGAAACTATACGAAATCCCTTACATTCGGAGCGCGAGTTCTTCTCGGGATCCAGCCCGCGTGCTGTGACTTCATGTGATTTGTGCGGCTCGCGCTAAAATACAGCGTTTCTAGGGAAATTTCAAAAAACCCACCGATACTGGCCCTTCCACGGGCATCCCTCGATATAGCACGAGTATCTGGCAGTCGGAGAATTGGCGGGGAGCAGCGTGCCGTCACGGGAGATCCGCTAAAGCACCAAAATTCAAAAACTAAAATTATAACCTACATCCAGCACAAATTGGGGCGGTCTGATCCAGTCCGGGTGCACGTTACGCATGTGGGTGGATCTGGAAATGAAACAAATGCTTAAAAATCATTAAATTAGACAATTTAAATGATTAGTACTAATTTTAGTCCGTTCTACATTCATTTAAAACGTTTTAATAAGCTTGAAAAGTCTAAAAAAAGTAGAAAAATCTCTCACCTGGCCTGTCGGTACCTGCCACGCCATTTGCACCGTTGTATATAGCAGGGATAGCGTCCATTTGGATCGCCCAAGGGACCGAGATGAGATGGCTAGAAAACAAAATTCATTTCAAAAATAAATTTCTTCACCTTGAACTGCTTCTGGACCGCTTGAAGGATTTCCTTATCTTCGTATCGTCCATCGTCGAAGATGCCGACGCCGATGAGGCCAAATTCGGATCCGGAGGGCTCATCCACGTTGAGATGTAGTTGATCAACTAAAACCAGGACGATTTTTTTCTGCGCAAAAAACGTACTCTTCATATATTCGTCGATGACCACCTCATTTGTCGCCGTTATGTCGGCCTCATGGACAAAGACCTCCGGGATGTAGACAGTATCGTCAAGTTCGGCGGTTTTTTCACTGAAAAATGGATAAAATCGAATAAGTTAAAACGTAAAACGTACATTCCCGGAGCGTCGGCCTCGGCGAGCATGCTGACGGCTTTCTGGTCCAATTCTTTGTCGTGTCCAACCCGAGCCAGCGCCTAAAACCAAGATTAAGAAGGTAAGAATGAATAAACCTCATTATCGACACCGGTTGTATTTTTTATACCGTGCTGGGACTTCTGGATAGAGGATTGGTCGTCCAGCTCGATGAGCTCGGGCTTTGGCACCTAAAACTTATTAAAAAAAGCGAGTTTTAAGTTACTTTGAGGCCCGGATGGTCGTCCTTCAAATGCGCGAGCAGGATAGCGGGCAGATTGGCGGTGAAGTCGCAGTACGGGCAGCACGAACTGGAAAAAATCATCAAGTGCAGCACATTTTTTTCGAAAAAGGGATGCTATTACGTAAGGTAACTAAAGACAACGCGCCTTTTTGGCATTTTTTCGTATTGACAAAATTCAACAATAAATTATTTTACCCAATCACAGTTCCGCGAGTCCGACGAGGCCGGCCGGTCGAAGGATTCGCCGTCACTTCAATCACATGCGCTTCGGCGAAGAGAGCTTCTAAAAAAGTTAAAAACTATATATTAAAGAACTAACCACTTTCTGATACAACTTTTCCATCGCGGCCCGGACGTTTGACAACCTCAGCACCAGAATTTGAGCCGGTAACTGGACTTGCGCCGCTTTCCGGCTCGAGAATGGGCTGTTCCATTCTATAAAAACAATCATAGACTAAAAAACGATAACAGCAAGCTGTGAAACTTTTGAAATACGCTAGAAACAAGTTTTTAAATCACGAAAACATTCATTCTCGCGATGAAATTAGCCGAGCCACGATAAAGGTGCATTTACGTTCAATAAACTTTTTTTCCTGCCACAAAAACACTTCGAAAGCTCACAATTTCATTAATTTAGTCAATTTCAACATTCCATTTTCCTTTTTTCTTCTAAAAAACGTCCGACAACGCAGCGATTCGAAATGACGCTGCCGCCGGCGCCGCGCGGCTACAGTACCCCGCTGGGGCACGCTATTAGGGGACAACGCTCGTGTACAAAGGACGGGCCTCCGTGCATGAAGTTTTTGATCGAAACTTTACCGCGAGTCGCTGAAAAATACCTAAAAATACATGCTGGGTTTTGACAAGGTGATACTTTAACAAGATAATCTCCATTTACTCTCTTCGTCACGTTATTTCATGGGGTTTTTTTGCAAGAAAATCGCTAACGTCTGCAAAAAAAACGTAGAATTTGGTAGAATGATATTATTAGTGTGATTTAAATAGGTTTTTAATAAGTTTCTCACTCTATTTTAGTAGCATTTAGCTTTAAATTCGAAGTTTCAAGGTAATCTTTCATTTTTTTTGGAAAAGCTCTTTAGATTTAATTACATTTTTATGTTTTTATAGGGTTAACATTATATTTTTAATACACTTTGGAATGGTTTATCAAAATACAGAACCGAGATTAGCTTGCAATTAAAATTTGAGGTTGTAATTTTATTTAATTATGACGTTTAAAAACTGGCATTTTCCAATCAAAAACACTTCCAGAACTGTTTTAATGCGTTTTTTCGACATTTCCCAGCTATCAAACAATAACCTATTGCCCTATTAGCCTCGCTAATCATTTGGGGAAGCCGGCTTTTCCCCACCCGGCGCTCTTTGGCTGGCTAATTACAGCCCACGGCTTCTACGCAACAATGATAAGATTTTCGTGGCATTTGCTCGCCAAAAGTTCCCGATGCGCCGCCACCACGAGCCCAATTTTTACCCAAGTCCTCCGCATTCCCTGGATTCTGAAGGGAGATCGGATTCGGTGCCTTCGTTGCCGAAAAAAGTTGCCATCATCGAGGAACAGCCTAAAAATTCGAAATCTAAACTTACAACTCTTCATTTTTTGACTTATGGCTTGGCGGTTTTGGCGTTGTTAGGACTCGGAGGAACTGTAACGTTTTTGACGTTGTGGTTAACGAATGTGAGTTTTGGTTCTTTCGCATTATCGGGGGGGGGGCTTTTTCTAAGGAAAATTTTTTTTAAATAAGGTTAATGGAAGTGTTTCTAAACGGTTTTTTACTATGCCTAATCGTAAAAACTTTACAAAATACAGAAAATAATAGATTTTTCGCCAAAAAAATGGCCGTTTTTGACCAAAATTTCGGCTTTTGCAAAATTCCTCGAAGGTCTTAGAAAGTTTTTTCTAGCTAAAATCTAGCTTAAGAGTTTTAATACTCGTTAAATTTTGTTATTTCACAATTTCAGCATTTTGCGCACAGCTACCGCGTTCAGAGGAGTCCCTCGTCTGCATAGCTCGACTACGCGCCGCTTCTTTAGGCGCGGTAACTATGTGCGCACGGCTCTTAGGCAAAACTACCACTAGCCGGCTCAATAATTTTATTACCGTAACCCATACTTCGAGACCTTTAGGATACCGAAACTCCAACGACCGTCCAATGGCCAGCACCATCCATTACACCGCTAGGAAAATATGCGAAAGCTACCGTAGCGGCCGACAATCAGATTTGCTCAGAGATTGGGAGGTAGATTTTTAGAGGGCAAGACCAAATTTATTCATTGGCGTTATCAATAAATTTGTATGATTTCAGAAATGTACTCCTCGCTGGTGGCAATGCTGCCGACGCCGCTGTAGCGGCACTTTTCTGTCTAGGCGCAACTGATGCTCATTCCAGCGGTCTTGGTGGCGGCCATTTCTTGACTTATTACGATGCGTAGGTTAACGTATCGTATCGTAACTAGTTCTATTTTCTTCGTCGTCCTACGGAATCTGCTTTTTTCACAAATTCTTGACTTCAGCACCTCGCAAAAATGCTGGGCAATCGATGCGCGTGAAATCGCGCCCCTAGCGGCTACCGAAGATATGTACGTGAATCGGTGGAACGACAGCGAGTACGGTACGCAGGACAAGCAATAGAGAACTCTCGGAATTGGATATTTAATAAATAGCAAAATAAATGTTATTTAGGCTGGCGCTCAATCGCGGTTCCCGGCGAGCTTCACGGCCTGAGGACAGCGTATGAAAAATTTGGAGGGAAAGCGGCGTGGAGTCGTCTGATCGAGCCGACGATACAATTGTCGCGGGACGGTAAGGGGTTCTTCTAAAAACTTTGACTTGTCTCGCGTACCGCATGAAAATTATGATAGATGTCGTGTACCCGTCTATCCCATTTTCATTACCTAGGTATCCCGGTCTCTTGGCAGCAAGAAGAAGCGCTTCGAGAGCAAGCGGATTGGCTCAAAACGGAACCTACGATGTACCATTACCTTGAGAATGGAAAGGTGAAACAGAATGGCGATCAGGTTGTAAGGTAAGTCTTAAAAAATTGGGGTTGGCTTAAAAAATGTCTAAAATTACTGTTACAATACTTTTAAAAATGTCGAAATTCAGAATTCCGGGATTCGGAAGGTCGATTTAAGCGAATTTCCCCGGAAAACCCGCGAATTCTATTCAATAAAATTCCGACGTTGTGAGCTTTCGACATTATGAAGTGTCGACATCATGAATTTCAGCATTAGAAAAGCTTTTCACCCCTTTTTCAGACGCGAATTCGCGGACACGCTTCAGCAGCTCGCCAACTCTAACGACCCCATCAAATTATTTTACGACTCCGCTGAGCTCACCCAGATTATGGTTGAGGAGATGACCAAGAACGGTGCGTAAACCTTGGACGGAAAAATCTGGAACTTATCTTAGAAAAATTTATTTAATTGTACAGTATTCAAAATCAAATTTTTCAAAGTTTTAGTAAAATTTACCATTTTCAGGCAGACAAGGACTTCTCACCCGCGAGGACTTCCGCGCATATCGCAGCTTGTTATACGAGGAAAAGGATCTAATGGTGGCTGTGTCGGTTTTTAATGCAAACGGACTGCTTCGTATTTAAAATGTTAAAAACCACGGGTTAATCATAGAAATATCAATTTATAGTAGCCTTGTTGGGATCGTAATTTAAACATTTTCATCTAGACTACCCTCCGGTCGCAAAATCTGCGGGCCACCCCCACCAAGCAGTGCGGCAGTGGCCATCGCCATTTTGCAAGTTATGGACAAGTACGAGAGCAGTATGGACACTGTCGACGCAGCTGGCCTGTTTTTCCATCGCTTTATCGAAGTACGCGCTTTCAATAAGTGCAAAACCACGTATAGTCCAGTAAATTTGCATACTCGGGGCGGACTTGGTTGGGCGACCCGAAATTCGTCGCCAACGCCACGGATATCGCGAGGAATCTGACGACAAAAGCGTGGGCGGAATGGGTTAGGTATGGCTTTTAATAGGCTCTGTTATACAAGGCTTGCGCTACTCTACTATACTCTTTACTTTACAGGCAAAGGTTATACATAATTTTAGAACCATGATCACCGATGAAGCTCACGCAGATTTGTACTACGGTGGTTCGTACTCAATGCCGGTGCCGGATCATGGAACTACGCATCTTTCGGTAATTGACAAAATGGGTAATGCCGTCTCCGTGACGTCGACGATTAATTTATTGTAAGTTAGAGGATGCTTCAAAAAAAGTATATCGTTAAAAATAATTCTCCAGTGAATAAAAATACTAATAAAAATGGGCGCTTTTGCATTATCGGGGGGTGTGGTGGGCGGTGTATCAAGTAAGGCGGGAACCAAATTTTTTTCATAATTCTAGAAATCCTTAATAATTTCATAGGAAGTATTTTAATAAAGTTTTGGTGAAATAAAACTGTATTTCAACTATTCAAAAATTTCAAGAAAATTTCAAAAAGTCGACATTTTGGTCGAAGATCGACATTTTGATATTTTTGAGTAAAACTTTGTAGAGTTTTCAGGTTTAGGAATCGTAAAAAATACGTAGAAACAATGCCACTTTTTTATTTGAATTATTAGATCTTAAGAAAAAAAGTTGGTTCCACCGCCCCTTAAATTTGTAATATTGAAAAGCCATAAAAATTTGATCTGTTGATCTCATCTCTCATGGTCTACCGTTTAGCTTCGGCGCAAAAGTGGCATCAGACGCCTTGGGAATTATTTGGAATGATGAAATGGATGATTTCAGCACTCCAGGTTAGCCATTGAAGCAATTCTAGTTCGTAAGTTTCTTTATCGTTTAAATAAACGTAGAAAAATAACATCTTCAGGCCATCCAAACTATTTTGGGTACGAGCCATCTGCTGCCAATTTTATTAAACCTGGCAAGCGGCCGCTGAGCAGTATGACTCCATTGATAATTATTGACAACGATGGGTCTAAGGTAGAAAAATACGGTAGTTATTTATGCATTTTTTCTAGCGCATAATGTCAGTTGGGGCAGCGGGCGGCTCGACGATTATTACAGGGACTGCAGGTTCGTATGATTATTTATAGTTTTCCGTTTCATTTAAATTTTCCCAATGTTCCATTTTTCAAAATAGCTAATTTAGAAAATTGATTTTACAATTTTAAAATTAGGAATCGCGCTTCATACAATGTGGCTAAATTCTACCGTAAAAGAAGCCGTCGATTTTCCTCGGATCCATAATCAACTCGAGCCAAACGTTACTTACTACGAGGAGGATTTTCCAAAGGTAGTTGCTTATAATCTTTGCCTTACAGCTCGTGCTCTAGGAACTCATCAAAGCCCTCGAAAATCGAGGCCAAACCATGCAAAGTACCACTAATTTAACCGAGGCTACGGGTGCGATTCGTGAGGTTGACGGGCAGCTGTATGCGAATTCGGATTTCAGGTGAGCCTTTAGTAAAAAACGTATATACAATTTTTGCTTTAGAAAAGGCCAAGAAAGCGCGCCGGCTGGATACTAAAAATTATTTCTATTGCTTGTCCTTCAAAAATAAACTCTTAACAAATGATTTATTCTCGAAGAAAGGCTTGGCGACCTAGTGAGCTGGGTTGGCATATCCGCCTGATGGGCAGCTCTTGGTGACTGAAATTGGGGGAATAGACAGTGTCAAAAAATCGCTACAAGGTATAGCATAAGAATCTTAGATCTTTTTGCTAGTATTTTCAAAGCTATAAGCCCAGGGAGCTTACCGCAGACTTGGCCAGGTGCAGCGTATCCGCCACTGTACGGCACCAAAACGCTACCCTCGGGGCAGCCGCAAATCTCCTCTAGCGGGCACTTCTCTGCCTTGCAGCTCGTGGACTAAAAAGCATTTGTATATTTTTATATTAAAGAAATGTAAAATAGTTGAAAAGCTATCTATAAATCTCAGGTGTACCCCCCATTTCTGCCTGCGAAACCCTTGTTTAAAACCTACCAGCGCCTTCTTCTTGCAGTCCCAGGTACATTGCGGGGTGCAGTTGTAGACCGTGGCCTTGTTGGGGCACTCCTGAAATTGTTAAGGTGTAATGGAAGTAAGCAGGGAACCCTGTTTATGCTACAAAAAATTAATTTGTAACCTACGGTCGGCGCCGGTGTCGTGGTTGTGGTTGATGCCTGGAAAAGGTAAGGTAATGCCTGGGTAAGGTTTGGTAAATATCGAACCAGTAATCTAGCGTGCTGTGCTGGTTTTTACTACACCTAGGTCGTAAAATCGAAACATACCTCAGTGGTAGTTGTGGTCGTGACTTCTGTCGTGGTAGTCTCAGTTGTGGTGCTCGGACTGGGGGTCGGTGCTTCCGTTGGCGGCTAAGGAAAAATTACCTATACGTAATAGAACACTGCCATTAATTCGATCCACGTAATAGAACGGTGCCATTAATTCGAGCTGACCTGGATCGTTTCAGATAAATTTGAAAAATAAAGGAAAGTATCTCCATTGTTGTTTGTTATCACTCTGGAAGGACTTGTAATACTCTACCGGGCATTGCTCCTTTTCTCCCTGCGGCACGCAGACTGTCTTTCCGTCGTAGGTCGACTCAAACTCGCCGTCTTGGCACTTGCAGTCGGGGGTTCTGACGAGCTCTCCGCAGGTCTAAAGATCAGATCGGTCCGAACTACCCAATCAATTGAGATAGGCCAAAGTAGACAAAGAATCCTTACATCAACACAGTCCGTGGCACAGTCGTAGTGGCACCCATCATACTTGTAGATGTCCGGTTGGCAAAGGGTCTTAAAAAGATGTTAGGGATTTTTTTTGTTAAGTACCACGAGCTAAGATACTTTCAGCTCTCTCAAAGCTTGGTGGTGGCTATTAGGAGCACGACATACCGTAACCGGAGGCTCTGTCGGCGTGGTTGCGCAGACTGTCTGATCCCTTGGGACGCAGATGTCGCCCTCGTTGAATGGCACGGAGTCGCAGTCATCGGGGCAGACGCAGGTGTCGAGCTCCTTGGGCTCGGTGTCGCACGTCTGAAGGATTTGGGAAAAACCTCGGTTCCTTTGCGGCTCTCATACCACAGAGCGGGAATCGTAGCCACCGCAGACATACCGGCAGTCCGAGCCGAACTCATACTTCACCGGAGCGCAGTGCTAAAAGAGGGAGTCATCGTCATGAGAGGATTAAGAAAGTAGTTCGGTGACATCACGGTCTCGAACCCCACCGTGGTTGTGGTAGGCGTCGTCGTGGTCAGCGTCGTGGTCTCAGTAGTCGTGGGAGTTGTGGTCACGGTCGTTGTCGTGCACTCTGCAGTCTCGGCCGGCACACAGACATTGAAGCCATTCTCGCTGGGCAAAATAATCGTGCCCTCGGCGCACTCGCACATCGATTTCGTCGGTGTCTCGGTGCAGCTCTGTGTCAAGGACGTAATTTGGCATTTAAAATTGGGTCCCCACCACCATAGGCCCCACAGGATATCCGTTGCGACTGCACTTGACTTCGCAGCAGTCCTCGAATTCGTACACCGGGGAGCATGTCTGGAATTGACTATTGACTGGTTGTTACAAGCATTATCCGGGGATGGAAAAACTGTGCTAAGTGGGACCAACAGGTTTTTCGGACAGGCGCGTTGGATACCAGCCTTATTTTAAGCCATACCGTCGTTGTCGTTGGCGTTGTTGGCTCGGGTGTCGGCTCGGGCGTTGGCGCAGGCGTCGGTTCCGGCGTCGGCGCAGGCGTGGGCGGCTTGCACTGATCCTCAGGCACGCAGACATCCAGGTCCTCGCTGCTGCGCGTCATCGTGGTTCCGGCTGGGCATTCGCATCCGTCAACCTTCTCGGGTGTCGTAGAGCAGCTCTAAAACGATCAGGCATTAGCGACGATATATCGAACATACCAGCGTCATTGGACTGCCATAGCTGGGGCACTTGATCTCGCAGCAGGTCGTGGAGTATTCGTACATGGGAGAGCAGGTCTGAAACGGGAAGGAGTTTCCATGGGATCCGATCGCCAGATAACTGTCCAGAAAAAGGAATGGTCCGACAAGCGCCGATCGGGGTTTCAGGAGTTCTTCGCATAAACTGTTTTCGGAATGTGAGCGCCAGCCAAGTCTTAGTCCTACCGTCGTTGTCGTTGGCGTTGTCGGCTCAGGCGTCGGCTCAGGTGTCGGTTCCGGCGCAGGCGCAGGCGTGGGCGGCTTGCACTGATCCTCAGGCACGCAGACATCAAGGTCCTCGCTGCTGCGCGTCATCGTGGTTCCGGCTGGGCATTCGCATCCGTCAACCTTCTCGGGTGTCGTAGAGCAGCTCTAAAACGATCAGGCATTAACGACGATATATCGAACATACCAGCGTCATTGGACTGCCATAGCTGGGACACTTGATCTCGCAGCAGGTCGTGGAGTATTCGTACACGGGCGAGCAGGTCTGAAATGAGAAGCAGTTTCGATAAGACCTAATTTTCGTCCCGATCGTCAGATAACGGTCCAGAAAAAGGACTGGTCCGACAAGCGCCGATCGGGGTTTCCGGGTTCTTCGGATAAACTGTTTTCGGATATGTGAGCGCCAGCCAAGTCTAAGCCTTACCGTCGTTGTCGTTGGCGTTGTGGGCTCAGGCGTCGGCGCTTGGCACACTAGCTTGTCGTCAGGCACGCAGACCTCGAGGCCCCCGCTGCTGTGCGTCTTCGTCGTTCCTTCCGGGCAGTCGCACCCGTCCAACTTCTCCGGTGCCTCCTCACAGCTCTGATAATATTGGGAATTCGCAATGATAAATCGAACATACCAGGGTGGCTGCCTCGTCATTGTCGGTGCACACCAGGCTGCAGCAACTCTCGGAGTATTCGTACACAGGCGAGCAGGGCTACAACGAGTAAAACAATGTTAGAAAGCGAACGAGAGAGAGAGAGAAAGAGAAAGAGAGAGTGAGCGAAAAAGAGAGAGAGAGAGAGAGTGAGCGAGAAAGAGAGAGAGAGAGAGAGAGAGAGAGAGAGAGAGAGAGAGAGAGAGAGAGGCGCTCACTGCTGGTGTCGGGGCGGGCGCTTCCGGTGTCGGCGCGGGGGTAGGCGCATCGGTCACCGGTACTGGGGTGGGCGCGGGGGTAGGTGCTTCAGTCTCCGGAACCGGGGTGGGTGCGGGAGTGGGTGCATCAGTAACCGGGGCCGGGGTAGGCGCTTCCGGGGTCTATACAATTTCGTTTAGATCCGTCAAATAACCAAGTTTGAACTTTGCGGTATCATCTCCATTACAGTACTTCATGGCCGGAAACTTTTTACCATACCTGCATGCAGCCAGCCGGAGCCGGGGTCGGGGCCGGATAGCCGCATTGGCTTTTCTTAACGCACGAGGTCGATCCGTCGGTATTGTTCTTGATGAGGTAGCCTTCTTTGCAGTAGCAGCCCGGCTCACACTGGCTCACATACGACGACACATCGCAGTGCTAAAGGTTATTAGCCTTGAGCCTCTACAGGGTGTCCCAATAAAAAAGCTCACGCTGGCATTTTGTCATTTCAAATCCGATCGGCCTGTAATTTTGAACAGAGCTGCGGAAGGGAATTTAAAATGTTCACAGAAACTTTTAGCCCGATCGGTACAGTAGTTTTCGAGTTATAATTTATTTTACGTTTTTAACCTGGATTTCGCCGGAATTGAGCCTTAGAACCCCGTTGTTAAGAAGAATGAGGGATTTAGGGCCGAAATTGATGGTAATTGATGCAAAGTCCAAAAAGATAGCCGGAAAAATCAAGCAAAAGTGTTGAAAGAACAGTATTTTTGTGATAACTCGAAAACTACTTTACCGATCGGGCTGAAAGTTTCTGCGAACATTTTAAATTCCCTTCCGCAGCTCTGTTCCAAATTTAAGATCGAACAGATTTGAAATGGCGAAATGCCAGCGTGACCTTTTTTATTGGGACACCCTTTATACTTGCGCTATTACGAGGGTAACTTAATTAGGTATTTTTTATCTAGGACCTATTTCAGAGTCTTTGAACAATTGCTTTAATATAGGAAATGAACTACGGGATATAACAGTTACTTACGTAAGGTTGTCCACATTTTGGCTGGCATTGTGGCTGGCAGTCCTGATGAACCTCGTTCTCCCCACAATCGGGAGCGCTCGGGTAGGGGAGACCTAAAAATAGCGTTTTTGGTCTAAATGGTATACCTTTAATCGAATCAAATTTTCGAATAATTCTCAAAATCTATTGAAGCTTCATTAAAATAATTTTGATGATATCGATACTTGAGAAACCTCTCTAAAACCTACCCTTAGCCGCAACAACTCCCAGCACCGAGACGAAGATTACCTGAAAACTGCCTAAAGGTGTTAAAATGTTAAAACTACCATACACCGAGCCATCGTGCCACCGGAATAAGTGCTTCCATTTTTGCAGGACTCCTTTTATACGGTAGAGTACTGAATAGTCGCGTGGGAACTTGGAGGGAAGTTCGCACAACCCGCGAACCGTTTTTTCGGGGGGCCGGCATTGAAATGCTAATGGGTGAGGGTAGAATCGACGCGCCAACACTTTACTTCTGGAAGAGTGAACTGCGCAAAAGCCCCCCATCGATCAAAAATCCGAGTGAATGGCCTGCAAAAAAATCAAAAAAAAAAGGTTAAATCTCTCTCTCGTCTGAAAAACGCTTCGAAAACGGTGGGGTCTTGACGTATCAATGACGTCGGTTAAATCGTCTTTATGTTGATTTAACAGGGCTTTTTATACGTCTAGAAGTCTTGGTATTTTTTTCTTTAAATGAAGATGAAAAACCCAGTTTTAATCTATTTTCGCGATCTGCTTTAAGGTAACCTGTCTACGGAACGGCTCCTTGAAGCCTGCAGGAAATATAAAAAATCAACGATTAGAGATACTACAAAAATAAAACAACTATAGGCTATACAAAGTAGTCGTCGAGGCAGCTACAACTACATCGAGGTTCTAAATTCCAAGAAGCCTGGCGGAAGAACCGGAAGTGCTGGCAATCTTCTGCCTCTTAGACCTGTACCTAGAAGTCAAGATAGTCGCATTGAATTCGGTTCGATTTCAAGCCAGGTCGTGATTGCCGGAAAATCGGCTTTTTGATCATAATTTACGAAATACGTGGCATTAACAGCCTTGAAAGATCCTAAGCTGTGACACTACCAAACAGCCTGAGGCGTAACCGAATCAAAAATCATGTCTAGCATTTTTAGAAGCCGAAAAAAATCGGGACACATTCACCCACATGTTTCCACCCCTCCACAAATAAAAAGATTACATCGTTCATTCCCTCTCCCGCACAACGCACACTTCCGGTGGCAGTGACAAAAACGCCGGGGTGCAGCAAGGCCACACCGACATGCATAAGACTAAAAAACGGCGAGGAAGGGCCTGTTGTTGACCTAGCTGGCCGCCGGCAAATTTCGAGAATTGTGAGGGAAGGAGAATATATTCGGGAAGTTATTAGGACTTGGAACTCGCCGGGAAACTGTCTCTGGAATTTTTTCACCCTTTTTCCAGACCAACTACCCGAATTTCTATATGCGGAACCGGAAGTAGGCTGGGCAATCGGGCCCGGACAAAATCCAGGGCGACATTGGGAAGCCATTTTGGAATTGATTTGGCTTCGGAATTTTTGGATTTTTGCTTTCGGTTAAAGTAGCCATGCGTACCACTACGCAAGGGTATCCTTTCCCTTACGCACCATGTCGTTTCGCGCAAAAATTAGTGTGCGGCCCACTTGTATCTCTACTCGTAGTTTTTCATGGCACTTTGTTTCTGTTTCTCTCTCTCTCTCTCTCTCTCTCTTTCTCTCCCTCTCGCTCTCTCACACTCTCTGTATCTAGCTGTTTAACCTGCTTCGCATCATGTCACTGCGCGAGTAGTTACCAGCTCCCCCTACCCACCGTCGCTGCTCTCTCATTCTCTCCCTTTCTCTAGCTCTCTCTCTCACTCTCTAGCTGTCTCTCTCTATCTCTTCTCTATCTCTCCTTCTCTGTTCCAAACTACCAGGTTTAGATGCTCAAGCAATGGGTAACAATTCTGGTCCTCATCCGCTCGGCTGAGGCCAGCTGCGCGACTTGCCCAAATGCGGTCGCGGC